CTTTTATGTTTTATCTTCTGCTGCATAGGATGACAGAGAAACAGTTTTTCTGAACCGTTTGATTTATCTAATTAGTTCAAAAGTCTGATCTGTGCTCTTATCCCGGATGTAATTAGATAATCATGGAATAAAACTGCCACGCTTCAGGCTTTTCATTTAAGCACATTACAATAATTGCAATTCATTTCAGTTCATTTTGCCCCTAGCACCTAAAGCTATTTAATTGAAAACTCTAATAACAATTTTTCAGGCATTAAAACATTTTAAGTTTCAAAGCTTCATCATGTCCATAGCTGACATTTATTGTGGGAAGCTGGAGATTACGTTTCAGTTCTTATAATCCACACAGAAAGCATGAGTACCTGATAAATGTATCCTCTCCAGACAAGCCTTAGAGTGAGGCCAGTTATTTGCACTGGGACATAAATGTCCCTCAGCTGCAGTTTAATTTAGAGCATGCTTTGTAAAAACTGCCACCAACAAAGAAATCCCCTGATTTTTGCCCGATGTTGCTGCAAAGGCGCACTTTGTAATCCAGGGCGATCAATGTGGATCGTGATGTATGCCGCTCCACCCACAAAATTATTTCTCCTGTATTTCAAGTATGTCAGGCTGCAGATTCCTGCAATTTTTTTATAAGAACCAAACTCTCTTTAAAAATTAAAGTGGAAGCAGTAGCAACAAAATGCAAAAAAATAATAATAATAATATTCATCAGGAACAACCTGTTATCTAGAGAATTAACAGCACAAAAAGTTCAGTTTTCAATTAAATTCTTTGTACATCAGCTGTGTGTGTGACTAGAACCTGAATTCATTAAATGTTATGGTTTTTTACTTTCTTTGCAATTTGAGGTTTAAAAATGTTCTATAATTTTTAATTTAATATCAAGATCAGACAGAAACAAACTTGCAAATGTTTTGCTGTATTTGTCCAATCTAAGTCCCAGCCATAAGCATTACTGGGAAGTCTAGAAAGTAAATGTAGCTACACTTTACACACACTTGAATTGAACTGTCTTCTTTCTCTAAATGTTTGTGGTTTGGTCCAATAACTTATGTAAGGCTAATGTTGAAGTGTTGAGAATCTGCTTTATCTTTAAAACTCTTTCTTTGAATGAGGTGGGATGCGCCAGCTGCTCCTATATTCTATTTATTGTTATTTTCACAGTATTTCAGCTCACCGGTGGCAGTATCTGCCACTCTAGTCCACAGAGTATATGTCCATCCCTCACGCTGATCAATTTTCTGTTTGCCTGGAGGGACCCAGCTTTTTGTAGCTTCCTTGTGAAATTGAGAGACAAACACGCAGGAAGTGAGCAGAACTGAGGTTTGCAAGAAGCAAAGAGTATGTTGCATTTATGTAAGCACTTAAAATGATGTTAGGTGGACTTTTCTTGTTTCTTGAAGATGATTCACCTCTCATTCAAAAGATGTCTTTAGTTTTGATCATGGGTTATCAGGATTAAAAGTTGCAGTCAATTATTACTCTGCAAAGGTCACATGAATCACCGACTCAATACTCCATTTGGTTCAATGTTTGTGTTATCATTTGTGAAATGCTTCCTTACTATGCTAGCATGAGGTGTTTTTTTTTTAATGTTTGTTGTAGATAAATTGTTCCACTTCTCTCTTGAATCATCTATTTGCCTTGACCAGCATGCGCACATTATTGTGTTCAAAAGGAAGTTGTTTACCCTTTAGTAGTGATGTAAGGTGTTAACTACCAATCATTCATTGTTTTTTGTTTTTGTTTTGACTTTTAGGTAGTTTGTCCTTATTCAGTGCCTTGTAGCCACCAGTATCTCTTCATAATATAATGACTGTCCTGTTATTGTAATAAGGATCACTGAACATCTCCACATGTCTGAAGGCAAACCTGTGATATACTGGTACATGGGGAACGACTGTGCCTTCACTTTATTGTGCATGTAGTCAGAAGAGGAGGCTTGATGTTAAAGAGAGTTGCTGAAACATTGATATTAAGTTTCTCTGCCTCTCTGTTTGAGATGTTGCTCCTAGTTGCCAATTCAGTGAAAGTTATAAAGTCTTTAGTTCTTGTGGAAACATGAAGAAATGAAGTCCTTTGGCTAGAGCTGCATCTTCAGGCGAATATGTCCCTCACCCAACGGTCTGGACTAGCGAAAGCTGCAAGTCATTTCAGGTTGTGCTCTGGTGGATTAGGTTATGCTGTTGTTGTTGTTGAAACCTGGGCTTTCATTAAAAAATTCAACCTTCCTTTATGTCTCAGGAAGAAGATAATAATTTCGGGGGACCTTTGTAAAATACCTCTATATTGATTATACTTCCAGCAAGTAACTTCTTTTGTGCCTTGGAAGGTCTATTTATGCCCAACTTTTAACTTCTTGGCTCACTATCATGTGGCATCAATATTCCAGTATAGTCGTCCCTCTGTGCATTTGCAAGTTTTAGTACGTCTTTTTTCTGCTGCTTATGCCGTAATGGCATCTCCCTCTCTGTGGTTTTTTATGATTCATTTCACTGTAGACAGGGTTTTTATCTGAAAAAAGTGGTTATACTAAGTATTTATGTGAACACATAAGCATGGAACCTTGAGGGTTTAAAATATTGTACCCAAGAATGAATCTTAGCTGTGGAGATCTACATTTAATTTTCTTATGTCTTTCCTGATTTCTTTTGATTTTCTTTGATCCAACAGAAGAGAGAAGCAGTGCATCTATAGTGTTGCCTTAAAATATATCATTGGATGTCCCCACAAACACCTCCAATATTGGGAATTAATCTATGAGAAATCTTAAAGTCATGCATCTGAGCTTTTACAAATTACTATATACATATATATGCATCACAAATTGAAATAATGTAAATGTATGTTGTAACATAAAAATGTTGTCATTTCACATAGAGTATAGAAATATCCTGTTTCAGAGGCGTATGTCATTTTATCTACAAGAACTAAATTAAATTTGAATGCACTCAAGACTAACTATGTAAAAAGAATAACATGTTTTGAATTATTATTAAAATACTTAATGTTCTTGATGAAACTAAATGAAAGGTCCTAAAATTCACAAAGCAGATTTAATAGAGAACCTAAAAGATGCTAAGTTTTAACATTGTTGCTCAATTTGCTTTGGAACGATTAGAAGCAAATTTGTTCCTCCTAGTACTGCAACATGGAAGAGTATGAGTAAACAAAGTATGTCTGTGTTGGACTTTTTCCCAGTTTATGCAAGCCCTGAACATTTGACACAAAACGAAAATCTGACGAATCAAAAACCGCATAATTTGCATTTTAGACTAAACTTCCAGGAACAAATGTTTGTGTTGCCTGAATGTCTGGTGGCTCAATTGCCGCTTTGCTTCTGGCTACATCTCAACGAGCTGTGCTGTTGATCTATATGAGTGAGTTCTAGCCAGACAGAGGGAGCAGGTGCTTTATCAAGAGTATTAGGCTTTTAAGGAAAGTCTCCCTCTGGGCTCAACTCATGCATTTTGTCACTCGATCAGTTGAGGAAATCTGTAGACGAAGAACCTCATTTATTTTTCTTACAAGCCTAAATGTGAAGACCCTTAATAAGATTTGCTGGCAGGGTATTTCATGCTCTGAACTGAGAGCTTTGCAGAATAAAAACATAAAGTTAAAGGGTGGTGAACAACATTTTTGTCTTTTGGTTGGTCTTGCAGTTATTTACTCCACTATTTTCAGACACTTCAGATGGAATAATAAAACCAAACAATTAAAATAATGTATTTGTCTTTTCATGATTACCTATGCATATTATCCATCTAACTACCATGTAACTATTTATAAAAGTACATGTATATGTAATACTCTACATGGATTGTGGTGGGGACAAAAATAGTAATAGAGGCAGAATTGGTACAGATTGGTGAAAGAACTAATGAAACGGTGTACTATTATGTGATTTATGTGGCTGTAGATGAGTGTATTATCATCATATACTGTACGTAAAAACTTCCACTTACAACATACAGAGATTAAACCTTCAAGTCCTAAACAGAGCAGCGACGATCCAGCCAAATTTTCAGCACCGTAATTCTGCCACATTTTGCGCCACCTGAAAAGTCACAATGGTTTCTGAAAGGGGAGATGTTGCGCTTTCCAACAAACATCTGGTTATTACAGTAATTTCACATAGCAAGGAGTGAAATTAATCTGAGAGGCACTCTCTTAAAAGATGACAAATTTCAAAAATAACTTGCTAGATATTCAAAGTTCCAGTTGTCATGGATCAATGGGACTTTTAAAGAACTGGGTACAATTAAAGTAAGCAAATATATCCATTATATCCACTTTAAATTTAGGACAAAATGGGCTTAACTGAGACATTCAGGCTATTAACTATTAGCTATGGACTAATAGCAACGAGATGCCACCAAAATTTTAGCAGAAAAGTCCAGTTACGTTTTATCCAAACATTGGTATCATCAACTTAAATACTGGGGACAAAATCTGATAGTTTAGTGTCATCAGACATTAGCACATTACTTATTTTGTCCTCTATTTATTCAAATAAGAACTGTATGATGTTCTGCCACGATCAAGCATCCAAAAGCCAAAAAGCACCTTTAAGAGTATTTGACAACTAAAAAAATGTATTTTGTCTCTATTCTATATGAAATAAATCAGGTCATTTTCTGCACTCAATAATTTTTGTTGTAGATTTGTGACAAGTAACATGATTATCCTGTTATACATCTTTTAGAGTTGTAATTATCCATGTTACAAGCTGCATTTTGGACTCTGTATAATACTTTCCCATCGTGAATTGGAAAAAGTATTGCTCTGGACAACCATACTCATCTGTATATTCAGTCAAACGTCTACATTGTGCAGTGACGCTTCTCATTGCCATGGTGATGTGGAAATATTGATGTTTTTGTTGTTAGACAGCCTCACACATATCATACAGTGTTTTTTTGATGTTCCCTCAATGGGGGCAAAAGTTTGTCTAACTGTCCTGACAAAAGTCATTGTTGATTTCACTGTTGTAGGGGAAAGACTCTAGGGCTGCAGATAAGACTGTTGCCATGGTCCTGAAGGAGATACCAAGTAAGGCGTCATCAGAAGGGAAGCCCCTCCTCACGGTGACTACCAAGGTGGGCAGATCCATTCCAGAACCCCCCGCCTTTAAGTGGGACGTCTTCATGTGTTGGTGACACTGAAACATTGGCAAAGCTTAGCGTGTCCTTCAGCTGACCTCCACTGTCTGCTAACTCATTACTTGAGGCTTATGCCTGTTGTATCTAACAAAAGAGTGACTATAATTATATTTTTCAGCTGCTCTATGGGGTATAAAACATTTTACATTTGTTCAGTGAATAAATTATCTAATGGGCAGCAAAAGTAGGGTCAATTTGCTGCAGTAATCCATATGATATTTTATCTTTTCCAGTTAGGCATTAAGAAATCATGATGCCCTTCTTAAAATGTATTCTGTGGTATATTGAGTGCAGCATAAAGGATTCATGGGAGGTGCTGGCCAAACTTCTTGTCCCATTCCTAATGAGGTCAGTTAAACCTTTATGACTTTTACACCTCATAAGCAGCTAATCAAAGTGTGTGAAAGAATTTTCTAAATGCTATGTATAAAAGCATAGCATTGTGCTTCAGTCTGAGTTCTTTTTGTTCTAAATATTGCAAGATATTTGCTTTTATAAATGTTTAGCAGGATGGAGTTTCCAGATGCCAACATAGATTCTTGTGTGCTGTGTTTCTCATTTATTTGTTTGTTTCTGTGAATTGTGCGAGTGCTGCTGTGTATGTATGAATATTTATGTCTAGATAGTTGTGGCAAATCTTATATTTATATTTATTTATAAGCTTAAAAGCATCTGAAACAATTTTACCAGTCATTGTTTAAGACAATAAATAAAACTGGTTTCATGACTTAACACTCATATTCAGCTTGATAGTTAAAGTCACTATTTGCCATATTGTAAACGCTCAAAAGTTAAGCTTATTTTTGTAAGGTTTTTCACCAGGAGCTGCTAATCACAGCTACATCAAAAAACCTAGAGAAGATTACTTACAATAAATACAGACACTGTTTAAAAGACATAAACCTACAGCAAATGGAGTGTGATAATCTGCATATAATTTAAATTTGTACCATACGTTTTAAAGTTTGAATCCAGAACAAAGCAACATTTGTTTCAGCATCTATAGTTGTGCTCATAAAAAAAACATTAATTTATTGAAGTTGAGTGAGACCATAAATGTCATTACACATCTACCATCAGTTTCATCTGTACTATAAAACAGAAAACTGTCTTTTTAAAAAACAATTTACCACCAGCCTTAGAAGATGTCGGTGAAGAGCGTAATCTATACAGAGCTCCGTGCACTACAGAGCCAACTATTTTCTTCAATAATTTCAAACTCTGTGAGCAAATTTCATTGAGTCCAGTCAAAACAGATCCTGCACAAAACATTAAAAAGCTGTTTTATTTTGTTCAGAGCTCTATGAGCTGATTACATCAAGGCTAAAGAATCGGAAGCTGCTTTTATGGGTTGTCTCTTAAATATTACATTACAGACTTTACATCTTTGGCTCCTACTTTGTTCTCGTCCTCCTCTTTGGTCCTCACAAGACAAAGCCAGGGGTCATCCTTAACATTGTAACAACTACTTTTTGGGCTGCTGAAAGACTCATATATATTCAGCTTAACTCTCAGCAATCAACCAACATATGCAGTTTGAAACTGTGCATGTTTTATCCATCTGCAGCCATGATTTGATGAAGCCTTTTCTTAAGGACAGTGGGGCCAGCCCAGTTTTAAATCAAGATGTGCTTTTCACTAGTGAACCACCACTCTCACCACAGAAATCTTGTAAATGCTCAAAACTGTCAGGAAGCTTTCAGGCTCTGTCGCATGTAATGAGAAACGCTTCAGTTTGTTATTGTATTCCAGAAGATCTTTCCATGAACATCAATGCGTTGTCAGATTTTTACATCTTGTGGCGTGGTTTTATGTCAGTGTAAAGGTAGGGTTATTCCCAACAAACTTGTAATTATTAGTCTATTTCAAAAGAACTACACATAAAATTATTTACCAGGACTTTCCCGATAATACAGATTACAAATAAGTTAGTGGAATAGTAGATATATTTTGAATAGTTTTGCTGCGAATTATCATATTCATATGTCTGACTTGATTAACATTTAAAGTTAAATAGAAGCTGACTGACCCAGTTCATAATATTAATGTCAACTAGTGTGCTTTATAGTCACATAATAGGCGTTATGAATCACAAGCTAAACAGTTCATTAAAGTAGATAACATAAGCCAACTTGGCAATGATCCAAACTATTATGCAAAAACCTTCCAATTACATTGTTATGCAACAGATTACACAGTCTACATTACACAGTATTTTCCACCTACATCTAATGTAATTTACTTCTTAATTACTAGAAAGTGGCATTTAACAAGTGTGCTCATTATTCACCTGCCTAAGCAAAAAATCACTGGACTATTTGCAAAACTTCGCAGACTTTTGACCCAATCACAGAAGTTTTCTCACATCCCACTGCCTGTCATTCACCTCCAGTGGCTCCCCGTCCACTCCAGAGTACACATAAAGATCTGATTCTCATAGGGCTTTTTAATGATCAAGCATCAGCATACATCTGTTTATTCATAGAAAGTCCCCAAGGTCAAAAGCAGCCAACAAGAATTTATGGAGATCATCAATATAGTAAGCATACTGATGGATAACAGAATGCTTACTAAATTCTACAATGCTTTTTTAAAACAAATTCTTATTTTTATAAAACAAACTTTACACAAACACACGTGCAGAAGAGAGCAGCTGGTGCAAGCCAGCACAGTTTTGCAAAGAGCAGCTGGTAAATATTTTATGCATGAGCTGAGTAAGGGAGTATAAGAAAAGTCCTTCTTAAGAATTGCATTTTGATTACATGACATCTCAATATTTCGAGACTTTACATTTCTTAACACTCTAAATTCATAGACACAAATTTGAAAGAGAACATGATTATATAAAATAAAGTGAGATTTATGTGACAATAAAATGTTTCATTGTAAGTACACCAACTCACATCACACTTATTGCAAATGTTTTGATAAAATGTATTAGAAATTGCCTGTTCAATATAGGAATATGCTTAAAAACATTTAAGAGAAAAGCTATCTTTACTTTTTCCTAAAAGAAAAATCTCATGAGTAGTTTTGAAATTCTCTTAAAATGTTCACTCACTCCCACCTACTCATTTTTAGCTTTAGCAGAAATAGTGTGGGTTTAGAAAACACAGAGCCAGCAGAGTTTGCTCAAACTTATCAAACCATTCTGAAATCCAGTCATTCTCAACATGGAGGTTTGTAGTTCAATGTAAGAGCAGCTCTGGCACATTAGAATGAGTCACAAAACACAAAACAAACCTCCAGTATTCAGGCGACTAAATTACCACCCACTGAAGCAGCTAAAATATGGTAATGATTAAAGTTCTGATGCAGACATTTTTTAGTGATCTAAAAGCATTAAAAAATTTTTTACAGAAAACTAAAGTAATAATGCTGGAGAGCTAGAATTGGTATTAGGTCATTTTTATTCTCCCTCTGTGAATTTTCTGAACCACAAAACACAGGCTTTGAAAGTCCACATATATATTTTTTTTTCCTTATATTTCTGTAATACACCTTCCAGTTAACATAGTATTTTCCATCTTCTCCACCTCCCACATGTCCTCACCTCAGGTTCTGACAAGTCTAGTTGCTCCCTTGACAGCAATATCTGAGAGATCTCTTGAAGTAAAGCCCAAGTGGCGCAATTAGCCGAGGTTTTCCATTACATTTTTTTTTTTTTTTTAATATTACCTCTTCAGGCACTGGTAAACAAAACGCCAGTATGTGTTGAATAAGAAAGGAGAAAAAGTAGCATAGGAAGAGAATATGGAAAATGACAACAGGATATAACAGCAACGTTCCTGCTGCTCAGAGTAATGGGCAAATGGTTCAATAAACTCCTCTCCTGGGTTTAAACTCGACCTTTAATTAGTCTTTGCTTGGTACCTGCGTTGTGCTTGAATCATCTCCCAGGAACAACACAGTCTATCTTCTATCCCCGTTTTCTGGATGACTGGAGAAAGAAAATGAGATGTCATTACTTCAGTTTTAATGAAAATTGTACATGTTTTGAGAAAACAGCTTTATTACAGTGCTTACTTAAAGCTGTGACAATAATAATACATTAAAGACTCAATATGAAACAAGCAGTTACGTTCCAGGGGTTTATACTAATGTACTCGACAGTCGATTGTTGGGTTTCTCTTGTAATTTCTCAGAAAAGGTAATAAGAAAGGGTGCACTGGACAAGCATTATTCCACATAGAAACATGTATTGTAAACTGCATCTGATGTGGAAAGTATGAAAATTATTTGACGAATGCCACTGACCATTCTTAAATATAATAAATTACACCTGGTTTCATCCAGGCAAAATGTCACAATTTTTGTCAAAAGTTTTGTACACATTTGTTTTGATTACAAATATGTATATTTTTCAGTCACATTCAAACCAGTTTGTAGAAAAGTTTCTGATTTGCTATTATTTTGAAAGGTTGTCAGCCAATTCCATATTGTTCCTCTTTTGGTTCAAAATTATTACTTCAGTGTTGTTTTTATTTAACTGAATAAAGTTGCAGCACATTCATGCATTAGTTTCCTCTCTTACTTTTCACCATCACTTTTCATAATGTTGCTCTATAAGTAAAAGCTTAGCAGATTTTCTTAAGAAAATATGTTAAGAAATATTCAAAGATGACTTTGGCGTCTGGGGAGAGCGCCCATGCCGCCCCCGCAAGATGTCGCCCCGTGCGGTTACCCATGTCACCCATGTCAGAAACCGCAACTCAAGTGAAACCCCATGAAATATTGTATAATTTATTGTAGAACTTAAAATGGATCTAATACAAACAGTAATTTCCAGATGTCATTCACAGACATAAATTGTTATTCTCAGTTGATTTTCAGGTTATCATCTAGTCAGCTGGTCTGATTCCTGAATATCATTTACATCATTAAGAGCTTGTCTGCCTCCAGTCATCAGGTCTCCTCTGAGTTTTCCAAGTGTTCACTGCTGACATGTAATAGATGAGTCAGCCGATAGGCAGCTTGTAAACAGCTTTAAATAATGAGCTGGAAACAAGAACAACAGAAGGGTTTTTTATATAGAAAAGCAGGGTGGAACATACAGTACAGTACTTTAATTATGAAAGCTGTGCCCCCAAACAAGTACAAGAATATTTTATGTATGTTCCCAAAAGCTTTATTTTGTATTTTTTTTAACCAAACAATCAGGATGTTTAAATTGCTTAAATAAATAAAAAACAGAAAAGGTCTGAATTTATGAACTGTTCTGTCAAAGTCCTTTCAGATAAACCAATCTCTTTCACATCGATACATTGCTTATCCGGCCACAGTTTACAACAGAAATGCTGAAGATAAAGTCCAATCAGATATAATATAAATTGAGGTTGAGATGACTTTCCCATCCAGCTTAGAGTTCTCTTTTAGGAGTCTGCTGCACATACCGACCTCTGTATGTATTAGTCTTTTTTTCACATGCAGGCGTTATCAGTTTTTACTGGCAAGACTGTCTATATATTCATAAAATTGGTGTCATAAAATCACATCAAATTTAGCAGAGAAAACATTATATGAACAACTAAATAAATAACCCCTTAAAAAATCTGGCACTAATACATTTTACTTATAATTTGTCTCTATTTATAAGGACTCAGCAAAAATACAGCAGCCTTGGGCAAAATAACTTACTTCTCAATGCAAGGCTTCCTGTGAGCTACATCTTTCTTCTGACAGCAGCAGAAACCCTCAGTCGCCCTAATTACTTGTGCTGGCTCAGCGTTTTCCCTGACTCTCACACAACAAAGCGATGACCCTTGTCTGGGTTTGTATTCGTCTACTTTCTTTTTCGAAGGATTGCTGTGAGTTGCACATCTAAAATTTGTGGCACTTGCATTTCCATTTTCTTTGGAGAAAATTCGATCATTCAGCTTGTATTTTGGCAGAATATCAATTTTTTCTTGAAGTAACAAAAGACAAAGTTTTTGTTTAAATACGCGTGATGTCAAGATGATGTGAGATCTCCCAAAATCCCATTTTAGAACAGATGTTCAAATAAATAAGAATATGAAAGCAGTGAAGGGGCCAAGATGAAGTAGATCTGTCCAAATCCCATGTTGTAAAAGCTGTTGAGCGATATGGCCTTGTGCAACTCCCTACATTTTCCTTGAGTAGAAGTTTTAATTTTCATCTAAGGATGATAATGCATACTGGTTGGAGTTAGAAGATAACCTGGTGTTTCTGTGAACATCATGTTAGTAAAAGGTTGATATTCTTAATAATTTTTAGTATAAGATCATCACTATAAAACAGGAGAATTACAAATGATACGCATGATGATGTTTGATGATGACATTAATGATTGATATGATTTTGTCCAGAAGGAACAGCGAATTAGAAGCTGAAGTAAAAAATCACTGTAAGCTGAGCAAAAACAAATGCGAAGTAAAAAATTTCACATAAACTTTTAAAATTTAAAGGCAAATTTAAATCGAGACATTAGTAAGATGTTCATTTTATTGTACATGTTCAAAGTATAAAAAAGCTTTTTCTATATATATTTTTTCAAATCATTACTTTTCTTAATTAGCAAGTACATGTGATGTTCAAAGTGTTTTTCCTTTTTTGTTTTAGCTCACAAAAAACGGGTCTGCTGCTTTCACTGCGATTAAAAAAAGAGAAAATCATTTGAAATCCCTGAGCCATAAGTTGTAGATATTAAAATTGATTTTGTAACTGTACTGCTCCAATAAGAACACACACTCCAGATGTTAATTTTCAGAGCGACTCGATGAACATACTGTATAGTGGACCTGCAATTCCCACACTGAGCCATTTTTATGAACCATACGGCAGGTTGCAGACCCCCTCATCCTTAAACTTTATGCACATTTATTAAAATTCAGCTTCTCAGAACAGTCAAAAGAGCAGCTACAGAAAGTATCATGCTCCCTCAATTCTGATTTTTCTTTTTGTCAATCTGGCCAGGTGGCTTATCCGTCTAATTTTCACCTCCAAACTTTGTAGCATTGGTGGGCAAATTGGTTACACTTGCACCTGGAATATGTTGAGCCTTCTGAATAGAGATACTGACATGAAGGCAAACCATCCTGCTGCTGCACCGACAAACCCACAGTGAAAGAGAGTCGTGAGCAGATTCATAGTTTAGAAGATGAGCTCACATACAGTAAGTTAAGTATTTCACGGATCCATTCATTAAGTGTCTTTTCATTCTGTGATTCTTACCAGGGCATCTCACCTGTGCCCTGTAAGTAAAGTTTAGTAGTCAGGTTGTTCAGTTTTGGTTGTTCATTTTTGGGTGACATAAATACCATAATTTCCAGATTGTAAGTTGTAAACTTACTTTTCACATACTTTGAACACTACGATGCACCTAATATATGGGTTTTTACCAATGTGTTTTGAAAGGCTGGACTACTGCATGATTAAGAGGACAGCACAAGCTCAAGAGTGATTTTGAGTGATTGGGTCAAAAGTGACAGGGCGGCCCATTGGTGCAGTTGGTAGCTGTTGCCTTGCAGGAGATTGTGGGTTCTATCTGCATGTAGTTTGCATGTTTTTCCTGTGCATGTGTAATTGTCTCCAGGTATTCCTGCTTCCTCCCACGGCCCAAAAATATTAATTAACATTAATTGGTCTCCCTAAAATGTCCTTAAGTGTAAATCTGTGACCTCAGATTTACACTTCAGGCTTCTCCGCTCCTTACTTTGCCGGTGAACAGTCATTCCTGACCACCATGATTTACATTATGTCTGCAAACCCAGTCAAGTTTTCAGAGAAACGTGTGAAAAATGTGACATTGAATATTATTTCAGTGGTTCTGTGCTTTTAGTGCATAGTAGATTGCAATCAATAAATTTTTCTGGGTTTTTTTTTTTACTGAACATTCCTGTTACATGCAGTTTTTAGAAAAACTATTTATGGTGCATATGTGATCAAAATTTTTTTTAAAAATCTATCTTTGTAAATATCTCATGTTACAATGTGGATGTCTACAGCTCAAGTGTGGCCTATTTGAGTACAATTTTATCTTTTATTGTTAGTTGCACTGGGCTTAATGACTTAAATAGAGCTTAAAACAAAATAATACCACAGTTTTCTGATTTTCATATGCTAAAATGTTTGAAAGCAGCCTAATATACTTCTTCCCCTTCATAGTTATGTGCAACAATGTGTTGGTCATTACATAAAATTCCAATTGAACACAGTCTTTGGTTGTAACATGAGAAAACATCGAGGGTTTGAAATCCTTCACTATTATTGTACGTAATTCATATTTCTGATAGCCATTTGCTGAGTATAATCAAGATCACTATTCATGGATGGAATAAAATAGGTTATTTAAAACATTAAGCTTCTGATACATCTGAAACAGACATGTTTTTCAGTGATTTTGCTTTGCATAAAAAAGTAAAGCAAAAAATTTAAAAAGCAGCCATATTTTCCCCACAAACCTCCCCTATCAAAGTAACTTTGAAGATGACAATTTCTTTTGTGACTCAGGGAAATTACTGTCATGTGAATCATGCCCAAAGAGCGTATCTTCACTTCATGTTAGCAAGCTGTAAAGGACACGAGGAGAGTTCACAAAAATATACTGAGTGAAAGCCTGAACTGTCTCATCCATTTGTCCTTACAGCTGGTGAGCGAGCAACAAGAGAGTCGGCCGCTATTAAGCCCTTCCATCGACGATTTCCTCTGCGAGACCAAATGTGATGGGATTTCCCGCCCAGTGACTTCCAACACAGCTGGTGCGGTTCTTTTTCCTTTCACTCTGTTCAATTACTGATAACGCAAAACGCATGAGGGACTTCAGCGACACGCTCGCAGCTGCTTTCAACTGATATGTTTTTATCAGCCATCTGAGATTTGCTCGTCTTCTGTTTGGATGTATCAGATGTCTGTTATTTGAACACCCACATGTTCATTGTTGCAACTTATTCAATACATGCTTGCACATGAGGTTTGCATCCGACAAAAGAACAAGGCTTTTCAGTCACCAAATTAGTTTGCGTTGCAGCCAGTAATGGATTGTGCCTTTTTAAGTCTGGGCATATTGTGCACCGTTCAAACAGGATTATCAATGGCAATGCAAAGCCAGCGCCAACTGTTTTTCTGGCTCATATTTTTCAACAAATTAGTTTCTGTGAGTTCACATGTTACTCTGATTGTCTGTATTAACTTGAAAGAAAAATTCAAGAAGTAATAAACATCTGATGCTGAACAGAGGTGGCTCGTGTTTGTCCCAACGAGAGACGACTTCTAGAGAAATAGTCAGAAATATTATTTAAAAAGTGACATATTCATACTCTTTACTGTGATTTCTTTCTGTTTCTTTTAGTAAACTTGACTACTTTATAGCATTTAAGTGACAAATAAAACTGTGAAAATCTGAGAAAGGGCAAAAAACATTCAGACCACTATCATCCTGGTTTAGATGGTAACTGATCAAAAAGTCCTACCATCTGCAAAGTCATAATTTGCGGAGCCTGTTCACACAGCTGACATGTGTCATTTCTAAACTGGCCACTGACTAATGTTGATTCAGCTGAGAAAAAAATAGCAGAACGTTTTGGGAACCCCTCGGCCTTCTGTCTCACAGCTTCATGGTGCTCCTGCTGTCACTGGCATCAACTAAACACAAGAATCAAATTCAAACTAAATAATTGAGATAATCCATTCTTTTTAGGAAACATAAAAAGCTTAAAATTTGAGCTTGTCTGAGACGATAAAAAGCAATACAGATTTGATTTTTGATTTTCATGAAAAAGGTTTTGTCCATGGACTTCTCTAAAGATGAATGATAGTTGGCCAAGATTAATGATGATAATCACAAACACAAGTACTTCTATCCTCATTAGTCATCAGTCTTTGTTTTCTCAGTTCTTTGTGTAGCTGCAGTTTAGCCAGCTATTTAAGCCCAGTTAAAAAATGAGATGAGAAAAATACTGTCGTTGTACCAAGACACAATGTGCATCGGTTTAACAGAATCGGTCGACTGACCCACATTAAGTGAATAGCGAAAGAGTGTGTATTATAAAGGGCATAGTTTTATTGTAACACCATAGTGATGTTTCTGAAAACACATAATGTATAATGTTACATATTGTTTTCCATTTGGTAAATAGATTTAATTTACCTACTTTCCTTCATTCACCTTTTTACAAACAGATTGGCTTGGTGCATTGTGTGTAATAAACATTAAATTAAAGGTGTTTCCTAGAAATATTTTCTACCCAGTAATAGAACCAACTAGACTTACTATAACCACTGAACACCATGTGACAAATTTGCATGTTGTTTGCCTAGGGATGAGCGTGACAGACTTTAAAACAAATCATGTGTAACACTACTCAGAAAATTTATTCTCAAAATCATAAAGAGCCAAAGCCTCTGTGGTGGAGAAATATATATTTTAGTCATCGTAGATACATGAAGGATTACAAGACAATCTGACTTTTATACAGACCAAACTAAATGTCTTGAAGTAAGAACAGTAGTCCTTTGCAATGTGATATTACATAACCTGTCAATTGTGATTTGATATATTTGCAAAGACGTATGCAGGGCATATGGCTGATGGTTAAGCTTGGCACACTTCCTAGTCCCATAGCACTGTCTCTTTAAATGGATGCAGGTGCCAGCTGTAATTGGTATGGCTGGCACTGTACCAATTATTGTCACAGGCATTACTGGCATATCAGACTTCACAAAGGCATGCTTTATATATAGGACTGACGTAATTAATTTGATCTAAAGACACCGAAATGTTAAAGCAAGCTTATGTACTGTCAGCTAATTTGTGGACATTTACACCACGAAACAGCACATTGATTGGCAAACGCAGCATCTATCCAGTCTGACCAAGAAATGGAGAAGCCTATTTGACAATACAGTGTTTTCATGAGCAGCTTGTACCCATTTTAAAACACTGAAAACAGTTCAGACAACTACCCTCCTGAGTCTGTCTCCTTTGATTTGTAATTATCCTCGTCATCTAAAAGGCACAAGGTATGAAAGGCAAGCACAGTCTCTAATTACGCACAGATTTCAGTCAACAAATGCACTCTGGTTGGTTGTCATAAAACAGAAACATGCCAATTATTCAGACATTTGCCTGCAGCTATGCCTTCACGCTCTACAAAATATACAGTCACAATCTTTGGAGATAAAAGTTAAATACTTCACTTTTTACCAAGTACAAAAATTCTGATTTAGCTGACATATTCTGAGGTTGTTTTGTTTGTCTTTTTTTTTTTTTGCATGCTTTCTATAAAAGCTGCTTTTATTTTTATCCAACTTCAAAAAGCAGGTACAATTATATGAAACAATTTATTTTAGAGAAACAAATTTTAAAAAAAAATTCATGGAGAATTTGGCAAAATTTAAATTAGCAGTAGCATTCATCTGGAAGCAGCAGGTTTCCATTACTTTAAATTACAGTTTAATGCTGTCCTCAGTACAGGGATAGTAAATTACATTTTTTTTAATGAATAACTAAGATTGCAAGCAGACAGACATATGAGTGGTGTGTACATGAGCTCGATTGACAGTGCTAAGATCTTCCACCTGGCTCTGACTGGTTGTTTCTAACAGGGTGTGGTCCATTTCTGCAGATAGCAGTAGAACCACAGGAAAAAGGCAAAGCAGTTTGAGTTTTTCACAGATTATCAGTCTCATGTTACACTGTCAGGACATAGTTACAGTTTAATCAAATATGAAAAAAACAAACTTTTAAATGTTGCCTACTGCAGCTTGAAAAACAAAAGCTGTATTTGCAATGAATCTGACTGTAATCACAATAAAACTAGTGAATAAGAATTAAATATCTTCACTGAAAGGTCTTTTTCCTTTCCCTCTCATCTTTGTGTCTTTTACAACCAAGGCAGGATTTTATGCCGCAACATATAGTTTATTTACTGAAAAACCAATCTTTTTAAAAAATCTTCACTGACAGTTTGCACTTGCTATGCAGTTTGTCTTTATTCGCAGCCTCACTTCTCTCTCTCTTATTTTTTATTTTTTGCTCTTGCAGTTCTTTCTTCAACACTGGACCTTTTAGATCTCAGTGAACCGGGAGAAAGGAGGAACAGCAAGGAAAAGAAAAGTGCTCTGGTGTCCCGAGGTGACGGCCAAAAGAGCAGCTCACACAAGAAAAAGACAGATGAGACTGAGCTGATCCAGGTGGAAGTTGAACAGACAGGACCAAGCATGCGAAACCCTGACAGGGCATCGCTTGAGTCAGGTAGAGACAGTGAAGCGTTTAAAGAAGTTATGGTCCCGCAATGAGCCAGCAATTATTTAGAATTTTAATACTTGGAAACAACTATTGTCTTACTCACAACCTAAATTGAAATCTGTGTATGGTTTTAATTTTATCAAGCCAATATATTCAATGAAGGCAAAATATTAAGGAAAACTCTGCAGTGCTTTATGCTCATTTCTCCTCTGTGCTCTAAAGGCACAAAAACGTCACAAGCCTCTCTCTGCAGTTCTGCCACTTTCCCTCCATAGTGACAATTTCCATTATTCTGCCACCTCAAACATTCACAGGCCACAGAGGGGGCGAACCAATTTAGGGTAATGACAGCTATCATTTTGAAAGGGATTTCCAGGATAGGGCCAATTACTTTTGCATTTGGCATCTGAAAAGGTGAAAAGGAGAAGTAATAATGCTCTGAAAGTCAAAGAGAGTGATTCTGATTTAGGTCTTGCTGACATTTTTCAAAAAAATGTCAGTTCTTCTTTTATTTGTGAAATATCAGCTGCAATTAAGACCAGTCAGACTTAATTTGCTATTTCGTAGGTCATGTTTTATTGGAAAGTTTTATGCTTTTTACTATGATCAAAACATGATTGTGTTTGGATTCAGTCTTTCAGTTCAGGCTGATTCAAAACTATTGTCTGGCAATCATCATGTTTTTGTATTTCAATTACGTTTCCTAGTTACCATTGGATCGTTGGATAAATGGGAAGAACTTAATCCCAACGCTGGGAAGAATGGCAACAGAAAGTGGAAGCTGGAGAGACGGCGCTCTTCAAAAAACTCATCCAATGAGTTTTTATGGTGGGTGATTTTTGTTCTGACTACAAATTAAAGATATAACAAAAATGATCCTGATATGTTCTTTACTAATCTGTACTTCACATCATGCATGATGATGATGATGTTGTTTTATGATTTGTTATGATACAACCCATACAAAAAAGCTGTTTTCTTGTCAGCTGAAATGTGAGTAATCAGTAATGTCTCCATACTGAGGATACTTAAAGTAGCAACAGATGTGGCTTTTGTACTAAAACAGTCTGGTCCTAATAAAATAAACCCTGAGTTTCTGCTCATGAAGCAACACAACACCATCTGCACAATGCAGATGAAATACCAATCACACTAAGACTCGTTTGTAAAGGCAGTTTGTCTTTTACAAGCTAAGAAAATGTATTTTGATGTGAATTTTCTGAAACAAAAACATCAGAACCATAAAACCATTCTGCTCTCCACATCTCCTCTTTCAGAAACCATTGGAATTTTTGAGATAGTGCAAAATGTAGCAGAATTATGATGCTGCAGATTCAAAAACCCTTCTAAGGGTGATGATTAGAATGATTTAAATGATTTCCACATGTGTCAAATAAAAATACCCAGAGAAAGTAACTTGTAACGTGCTGTATTGCACCTCATGTTGATGTATTTCTCCCGTAGGTCTATAGACTGCAAAATCCAATCTGACTCGTCAAATAAGAACTTGTTGGAAGCAAACACCAAAGCAGAGCCAGAATCAGCCTTGGCGTCACAAGTAAGTATTCAGTATTACAGCAGAAAAGCTGAGAGATAATGTCACTGACGTGAGCTCTGTGTGTGCAATTTAAACCCTGTTCATTGATATGAACAGTTTAACATATCCAATCGTCATTTACGCATTTCAAATGAGTTTAACTTATTTAACAACTGCACAATGGTGATGTATGTCCAAGCTTGCGTCTGATGAGACACTCTGTTCTGTCACTGTTTGCCCATCATTTTGTCCTAACACCTACAATTCTTCCATTTCAGCTCAACAGGCAGTATATTAGTGGAAGACATGTAAGCCTCCCTATGTATCCTTTCAACAACAAAAGACTTTTACATTTGCACCACTTCAACAGCATGACACCATCTCAATAAGGACCAAAGTCTTAGTTATTCGAAGGAATCAACATGCACTGTTACCGTTTCCGTTTGTGATGCCTTTATGTCCAAATGCCACTCGCTTCTGTTTTTTGTTGACGCCGCTCTGTAGGTTAATGTAAGGAGTCTTGTTTCCAGATGCCATTATTAGATTGATAGCCTATGAATTATTTAGTTGCTTTACTCTAAGCCCATTAGTGTTGGTCCTACTAAGCAAGCACATCTCACCTGTTCAGCTCTCATGAATAATAGAGTTTGGAGTAAAGATAGAAGCTCCACATGGAAGGAGATTATTGACAAACAAACACAGAAATTTGTTTCACTTTGGAATTACAAGCTTTGTCCGTGACTCAGATACTGTCGAGATTACTTTTACTTCCTGTAGACTTTCTGTCTACTTAGTGACCCTTAAACCACCACAACCTCTTCACATACATAAAAATACATGGAAAAGCATGCATGCAAAGAGGAAACATGTCTTGCATGATTTATTTCTCAACTAACTGACAATTGTGTGGCTCAAATATCTAAGCTTAAGAAAAAATCCACCCTAAGTTATAATTAAAAAATTAAAAAGCACTCTTGCATCCTCTTTAAACTATAGAGGTTGATGTGTTTTTGGTAAACGGCATGGAGTTTTTATGCACGTTTTTTAGATCAATATTAACATAGCAAAATCTCATAATTTTAAATGCATGAGGATTAAATCACTGCATAGCCTGATACAATGATACAACCTAGATAATTTCCACAATAATATCCTAGAATTGACAGAGGGTTCACTTTCTTTTACTGAAAATTAAAGCAAGAAAGACAGTCAGCATTCATCCTAATGGTAAACCATAAGCTACATAGTTTTATCCTGAATTTTGCTTTACCGCATCCATAATAAAACCCATGATTCAATTGTAGGTACAATAAGGCAACATTCAGTCAAGAATCCTTTTTTATGATGTTATAAACAAATTGAACTTTGTTTGCACCATGATGGAAAATAAGCATAACTTAGCAACAGTAATTAAGAGGACAGCCAGAGACTTCTTACTCCACTTTGCCACTTTGCAATTTGTGTGACATTACTTATTTTACTACAGAAAGGCAAGAAATACACATTGATCACATGACGTGTGATCATATAGAAACTTGATATCTTTTCAGTTCAGTCAGTTTTAATTTCTAAATTTATCTTAAAGCATAACTAACTAGTCCTGATATCAGGTGAATGAAAACTATTGTTTGGTTTCTAATTGAATATTGTCCACAGATAATTAAGCTGTAAAGATGTAGAAAATCAAATTCCCTGTTTTGTGTCCCTTATGGGTGGATTTTTTCTTTAAAACACCAACTGCAGTGTATTAAAATGACATTTTGCCATCCCAAAGGGCACCAGAAACTCTAAATCTGGCAATATTTTTGTTTCTTTCAAATATTTTTGTTTCTTTCAAATATGCATTGGCTTTTTTTTATTATTTTTTTTATTTTCCTGATCCATTTTGTGGCATCAACCTAAATTAAACTTCAATTCCCATCAGTAGAGATGGGAATTGCTACAGGTAATAACTCGCCTACGTCCCAAGCAATAAAAGCAGAAGATAGAGCAGTGTTGGTCTTTGTAATAGATTTACTTGCCCTGGGATACATATAGCCTTTGCTATTTACAGTAAATTTTGTGTCATATCATACCAGAACATGAAGGGTTATCTAAAAACCATTTACTAGAGCAGATTAGTAATTACACTGCAGTCTGACAATGCCAAATTACATGCATGGACTTAACTGGATGATTATTTTTTTCAAAGCAGGACAAAGCATTGCATCTAAGTTTGTCAGAAAATATATCAGCTTGTGTTGGGGTTTTTTGTGTGTGTTTTCTTTATTACTTTTGCATGTGCAGGTGCACAGAAATTGGGCCAGGCTTGGGTGGAGGATGAAATTGAGTGAAGTTTTTTCAGATGTGGGTCGGGTGATGGGGATGTACGCTGGTGGTGGTTGCTGACATTAGTGATTCTGCTATCCTTCCTGAGCATGTCAGAGGCTTTGTTGAGGCAGGAATATTTACTCGGCCCCGAGAAAGCAGCAACGGCTGACCCTGCACACTCTCCCAACCCGCCTCTTCCTCTGGCTGCGCGTGTGTGCTGTGATGTGCTACGTGAATGTAAAGGTGTATGTGTTATAGACCTTTTCTTGGCATAAATGTTCATATCATGAAATGTGTGTATGCGTGTGTGTGTGACAGGCTCGTCTAACGAAGGAACAGCGCTGGGGGAGCGCCCTCCTGTCAAGACATCAGTCCCTGGAGGAGGAGTTTGAGCGAGCCAAGGCTGCTGTTGAGGTAAGCCATGTGCAGCTCAGTGCTATTGCTCACATCTGTCACCTGTCAAAACCAAGGCATCTTCCCCGCCAACTTTTAATGAGATTTAACACGAATCGCCAAGATGGTTTTTCAATTTCCAGCAGAGAAAATTTGTGCAACTTGTGTAATGTCCTTGTGAGGGATATATATTTTTTTAAATTAGGAGATGGAATAATGATGAAAACAGACTAAACAGATTTTTTTGTTTGTTTGTTTGATTTTTTGACAACAGCAATAATTCTGGCTTGTTTAAGAAGAAATGCTTAAAAAAAAACATGTTTTTTGTTTTACTTATAATCTTATATCTTATAGTCCTATGGAGTCTTATGTTTTTGTTATTTTTTAAAGCCTTTCTTTATAACTGCACCACTAATTTAAACCCCCCACAAAAGAAAAGAAAACTAACTAAATGTATTACTGCGCATTGTTTGGCATATATGGATAGTTTTTCAAGACCATTAAATGTTGAGCTGATATATTAAACTTTTATCCTGTAATGTAACAAAGTTCTGCTCTTGAGTTTCAACTCCTGCATTACTACGATGCCAACTAGTGTTTAAATATGGAATTTTATCTTAAAATTTTTAGATTTCAGCAAGACGGCCGATTTTCCGCTCTAGCAGCCTTTATGTAGCAGTGACCTGACAGGATGGGGGTAAAGAAAAGAAGAAAATAGTCGCAAAGAACCAATAATGAGTGTTGAACTCGGCATGGCTGTGTCAGGGCGCCCGCTCTAACCACAGCGCCACGCCATGCCCCAGTACTTTTTACGCTTAAATGAGTACTTCTCACTTGTACTACAAATAAATTAAAGTAGTCCTACTCTGCCCAGAGACTTCAGGAATTGGAAATCCCTTTTCAAACGGAGCAATGATGTCTCACGACAAAAGGCAAAAACTATCCACAAAAACAACATGCATGGCAGGTGAGCGATGACATCACAAAATTAATAACCATCTCAGCCCGCCACATCAACTTGCAACTGTATCCTTCAGCCTCAGCTTCTTTTGTGGATACCTTGTGCTTCTAGGAGGCTCAATGTTTCTTGCTTTTGTTCTAAGTGTCCAAAGCCCGCATCACATAACTCCAATTTAAAATGCAGTGCATACTCATGTCCTTTCACATTCATCTAGGAATCCTAGAAAAGATAGTTCAGAGAATATTAAATCAGCACTGAGCTTTTCACTTTAATTCACTGGATTAGAAGAGCCAGACAAACATAAGGAAATTAGGGCCCAGAGAGGCAGCAGATAAAGAATTAGACTCAGAAGTATGAGCTTCGTCTTACAGAGTCATCCCTGATAAGAAACTGTTAGGTTTTATGTCCTTATACATTAAAATCAATGGAGAAGAGAGGAGAAAGGGTGGTGATCCAAGAGACGGGACTCAGCTTTGAATTCCTGATCCAGGAAGGTGATGAAGAGATATTTAAAGAAGGCAAATGGCTGTGCATTTCAAATGAGGTGGTGGCAGTGAAATACTTTCATGAAACCTCTGAAACAGCCAAAGCATGACTTTGAAGAACACTGAGGGACAAATAAAAATACTCCCAGACCGGTGATAAAATGAGAGAAAGGTGACCGTAAGTCCTCTTTTGTGTAAAATGACAACAGGAGGGCTTTACTTTTGTTACTCAGAACATCATAAAAAGCAGACAGTTTGGGATTGCAGAAAAAATGCAATTCTGCAAAGACTGTATCGCTTCTTTTTTTCTGAAGGATCTGAAGAGTTTCAGAGTCTTCACTGTTTACTTATTTTCCTATCATCTCATCTCACCTTCATTTTCTTCTTTGTCATCTATCATATTACTGTATTATTGTTGCAAACTCTTTCATTCTCATGCAGGCAATTTTATGAAAGAGAACCATGAAAAACCTATTAAATAATATTTAAAAATAGAATAGAATAGAATAGAATAGAATAGAATAGAATAGAATAGAATAGAATAGAATAGAATAGAATAGAATAGAATAGAAACTGTAATTTGGAACTAATGAAAATGCTTCCTGCTAAGCAAACAGTCAGTAAAACCAGATTGTAAAGAATTAAATGAAGTCATAATCAGTCATGTAGAAAAATTATTTGTTCTTACCTATTTTTTTTGCATGTTTTCATTGGCATGTAACAATTTATCTTTGGGCTTGATTTCCTTTGAGAATGAAAGATCAGACATTGATTGAACTTTTGATTTATTTTACAACAGCTTGCAATGGTTTTGTGACGGTCCACAACAGAAGCACACAGTTCGCTCCTGAAAGACATTTCCAAAGTTTTATTATTCCCTTCTTTCATGGCTTTGTCGTATTTTGTCCAAGGAGATGTTTTATTCTCATCTGACTGACATTATCAGGACTCCAGCTTCCTATTTTTGTCCTGCTGACCAAGGACTTGCCCTATGCAGCATAGCAGCGGGTAGCTCATTAACATTAAAAGGCCAGGCCAGGCCTGCGCTGCAGATGAAAAGGACTGTTTTTCCCCATCAGGAGGCTGCTGTGTTACCGGTAAATAATGAGACTTTCCCTTTTTTTCTTAAATATGCTCCCTGGGCAAAATATGAATAAGAGACTCAATTCTAAATAATTAAAATTGATGTTTAATGTTAAAACTTTTAGGCTACCTGACATAACACTGTTGAATGCCAAATAAGCACTTTTTCATGAATCATAACAAATCCCGACCTGATATATTTATCCAGATTGATAAATGGGCAAATATATATTAACTCACAGGACATTTAAAGAACTGTGTACAACTCAAATGAGCAAAAATGTCCGGGTAACAATAATTGTGCGTTTATCAAAAAAAAATATTACTATTAAAAGTCTCCCGTGTCTCCAAACCTTCTTCCCTGTCAGAATAAAGAAACAGCAGATTTCTATTTTTACATTACGTTGCTGAGGTTCTTTCTTTGGGAGGTTCTTTCATTGCACTGTTTTTTGTGCTTGTCTGGCAGCTGGTGGACATAAAGTTTATATATGACAGCTGGAATTGCAGAATGTTAGGTTTTATCTCTTGGACCAAATTAATGTGGAAGGTGAAAAGGCTCATTTGTGCTCTAACAAAGCTTTTTATTCAATTCCTTTTGGGATTACAGTATACGAATCGGGAGCAATGCTTAATGAGGCAAAAACAGGGGTCGCTTTGCAGCGCTGGGTTTATGCATTGATATTTTAATGAAAGTAAAAGAATAAGATTACTGGAAAAACTTCCACAATGGTATTTTAATAATCTGACTATTGTGTGTGGTCATGCAAATCTTTTAACATCCTGTGCATTTAAATTAGTTTGAAGATATGCTGTCATATTCAATGAATTACATCATTCTTATTTTAAAAGTACATTTTGAAAATATCCTTTAAGCTGATAAGAATGATGCTTTCATTAAACCCACATTTCTGGATATAAGACGTTTTTATCGGTCTGATTATATTTAAATTTTAAATTAAGAACATTAAATAGTTTCTATGCACCTGACATGGATTGCAGTTGTTGTCAGTAGAGTGAAAATTTACTTTGGCTGTATATGTCCCGTCTGCCCTATGCAGATTAAGCCACACTAATCATGACGTTGGTATTACCAATTAATTTCTAACCAGTTGTGACATGTTTATTGGCTGCGAGCTCCTTCAGAGCGGCTCAGATTAAAAGTTGGAGCTATGGGCTCCTTCCAGTAAGACGCAGGATTTAAATTTTCTCTCTGTGTTTTTGCTCTGTTTCCCTTAATTAAATTGCCAGCACCAATGTTAAAAACATCACAGCAATATAAGAAAACATATTTGTAATATAAACATGCCTGCACCCTGACTCCATTTCAAACATGCATCTAATCATATGATGTGATTAGAGGAAGAGTAGATTGACACGATACAGTAATGAGACGATGAACTAAGTCACAGTGCAAACAGGCCCACAGCACTGTAAGGAATAATGAAAAGCATTAAGGCAGCATTATGAAAATGATAATAGCTGCTGCATGAAAATCATTAAAACAGGCATGAGGACGGAGATTAAAAGCAATCAGAAAAAAATTAGATGCAATGTGTGATGGTTCCTCCAAAGTACTAAAACAAATCTGCTTTTAATGGATAAATCACATTAAACATACCGCAACAATACCCAGTATGAAATATTTAGTGAATAAAGATATAGAATAAACTTGAACTTTATTTATTTAAGTTTCTCAAATTGCAAAAGATGTTGAAATCAGAATAAAGTAAATACTCAGTGGAGCAACATGGTGACCTCACTATCAATCATGAGGAGGATTTAACGTCGTCTCACATCAACTCCCGTATTCTTGCCGTGTAAATATCTAGATCTCTATTTTATACCAGTCTGCAGTATCAGCACACACACAGTGACTGTATTTTGATCCGTCATGTGCTGATGGAGTTCAGGGTTTAGTCAGTCAGTCACACAAGGCTGTTCTGCTTGGCTTCATTCTTCCCGGTTCGCTCTCCTTTCTGACAGGAAGACATCCGAAAATCATGGAACCATCCAGATGGAAGAGAAATAGCTGTGGCTATTCATTGCCAATAAAAGCATCTGTAGTGGCAGCCATATGCACAAAAAGAGATGTGACCATTCATTAAGTGTTCAAATGTACAAACAAAAAAAAACTTGAACTTGATTCATGCTCAACAGACGCCAGTTTGGATCGGAGTCGATCTTCCTTCAGAGAAACATTTCTCTAACAATACCTGCTTTGAGTTTGTAAAAGAAGATTTTTCAGCTTAAACAGAAGTAAAACCAAGTGTTAGCTAATAAAAATTTAATTGTAATGTTTTTTTGATAAGTGGGTTGTTTGCATATTTTCCAACTAATACAGACAAATCAAACCACAAGGTTAACGAAATAAATTTAATTTAGTTTACTAGAAATTAATTTAGTAAAATTAATTCAGTAATTAGCACTGTTCCAGTTTTCAGTCAATCATATATTTTTAATAGTTGAAACTGAAAGTTTACAGACATGATAAAAAGAGACATACTGTGCATTCACTGTATGAACGGTTCATCATACTATACATACTGAATGAGTCCAAACTCATTTTAGATCAGTTCAAGTTACCCAAATTATTTCTAAATGCCACAACAGTGAGAAGAAGAATGTGTCAGAGGTTTATTTATTAATTTATTTAAGATCATAAGTTTACATGCATTTCCTCAGTACTTGAAAGCATTGCCTGTGAACTGTGTGACTTGGGTCAAATATTTTGGGTTTTACCAACCTCAAACTTCTCACAGTAGTTTCATGGAGTTCTGGCCCATTTCTTCTGACAGAACCAGTGTTTTAAGACACACCTTATGGGATTAAGAACAGAACCAAAACACTGAATTATTGTCCTTTTTTGGAAAACACTTTTACTGCATCCTCAGGGTCATTTCCTTCATGACCTCCCTCAGCTTATTTGTTATAGACATAGACAAATTCACATTAAGTATGTTAAATATTTTCAATGCAAAGTTGTATTGTGCTTTTAAAGAGCATTTAATGCATCATAAATTACAATAAAGTCTGCTATTAATTAAATAAAATTAAGCTCATCCTTTGTTCTTAACGCTGATGTTTACTGAATCAGTCTAAAACTTATGCTGTGTACAAATGGAAAGACTTCATATTATAATAAATGGAAATAGTGGATTAAAACTGAAAACCATTCATGCCTCATATTGAAGTTTCAAACAGAGGCTTTATAAGATAAGGGTTCGTGAAGTAAAGGCTCATCTATCTCAAAGGTTCAGGATTTGCTTCCCTGCCAAACATAAAGATGAAACGTAAATGCAGAAAGTGATTTGGCATCTTAAACTGACAGGTTGCCCATCCAGAGAGAACCTCAGCTCTGTTAGCAGCTAATTAAATGCCAACAAATAACAGTTCAAATGTCAAGCTGATAGAGACTGTAAAGTCCTGCGTTGGGATATTTTCACATTTGCAATTAAGATATTTTTAAACTATAATTCATTCAATACTAAAAATATGATTATAGATCTTAATTACATTACATTATATATTTTAAGGGCATCATTTAACACATTAGTAGAATTTACTTTTGTTTTTTGTGTTTTATTTCATTAAATAACCATTTTTTTATTTGACCTGCTGCTCAATTACTGAAGGACTTGATTATTTTTTCATCCATATCTTTGTTTTCAGTCTACAAGCTTTTTTAAGCTCCACTTTGACCTGTAATTATAAATCAGAAGGAGGGTGAAGTTCATAAATTGCAAAGACTCGCTAATCTTGACAAATGTGACATTTCCAGGTGATGGAAAACCTAACAGGGGCTTTTGTTTTACAGCACACTAATCAGTCATTCCCCGCTGTCACCTTGCACTCTGTCCCCATCTAACCAACCATAATCCTCCACTGCTTCCTCTGTCTGATGTCTGCAGTCGGATACAGAGTTCTGGGACAAAATGCAGGCAGAGTGGGAAGAACTGGCCCGACGAAACTGGCTGACAGAAAACGAGCAGGCACAAATACCCTCATCTGTATCTCCACATGAAAAGGTCAGAATGTCTTACAGCATCCGCGTGCAGGAATCTCTCCAGATGGTGAAGAAAATGTGCAGAAGACATTTAAAATGATCATTTCTTTCCATTGTAGCCACATGTCTGATCAAAAGGAGACATTGTTGGTAATAACTCAATAAAATCAGCTCTCCTTCCAAAAGACAGACAATTTTTGACCTGTTGACATTATGAGACAAATTAAGCCACTTTATGTTTTACTCAGGGTTAAACTGAAATCCATGTAAATAAATGTGTAATTTGTATGTTTGTAAACTGCCTTGAGATGAAATCTGTTCTAATTTGGTGTCTAAAGATGATTCATGTAGTCACAGCACACCTACAGTAAACATTGCATTATTTACTAAGAGTTGCACAAAGTTCTCAGATTAGAATTGTAATTTAATGCATATTAAAGGCCTAAAGAGCCATAGTGCAATACCCAAATGAGTCATTTATTAATAATCATTTACATTTTTGGGAACTTTATACATAATTTAAAATCAGATAATCAAAGGTTTTTTCATAACTTTCTGTAGAAGCACAGGAACTTATTTGCAGCATTGCTAATGGAGGTCAGTGAGTGGGGCCAAAGCATTTCCGTCCAAGCAGATGAGTCACCGTCCAGTTTAACAAATCAGGTGTTACAATTTACTTATCAGTTTCTAAATTGCTGTCTGTTGCTCCGTATTTGAAATAGTTACAGTAAAGCTACAGTAAATCTTTGTCAAATTGTGTAATTAATAAATGATTCAAACATTTCAATTGGTATAGAAACTCAAACCTGTTTATTCCTTGTTTTCTTTTGCTGTCCATATAAGTGATTACATGTACATGATCATTTCTTTATAAGGTTTTTTTTTCATCCGACTTCTGAAACTTGTCCAAGTCAATATTGAAACTCAATGGTCAAGGCATTAGATAAGTCAAGACAGTACAGCACTGCAGCAGCCTTTAGACTAAAAAATAAAATAAAATGACAATCCTCAATTTTATGTTGCAAAAGGGCACTAAGAATATCAGAAACATTTTCAATGTTTTGGAAATAAGCTCTTTATAAAGTCATGCAATATTGACACACAAGAATATTGGTTTCTTTTTTGCATTCTAAATGTATAATTAATTTTATTACGTTGGAATTGGATGTAAAAGCACCTGCTGTACACCAGAGTTTTCCTGAACCATTCAACTATGAACTGACCTTCTCATAAAAGCAAACCCCATAAGATTAGCATTATGGGCCTTCTGATTCCCAGCACAGTCAGATCTTATCGAAGAAGCAGTTTCAAAGTCATCAAGAACAAATGCATGTAAAACAGTAGGTTCATCCAAGTTTTAAAAAATGCAAGGTTTAACATTTAAAGAGGAGGTCCTCATGGTTTTGATGTGAAGCAGAAAAGGGGGAGGAAATCAATGCCTCCTGTTGGAGCTTTACTTAAAAATCGACAGCATGGGATCGTGTGCATTTTCATCTGAAGGAGAAAAACTGACATTGCCTCTGCCCCTGTTTTTGTTGTTTTCTCCTCTGCTGACAGGGTTACTACTTCCACACAGATAATCCTTATAAGGACTTGCCTAATGCATTTGAGGAGGGACTGAAGAAATCTCGAGAGGGAGACTTGCCAAACGCTGTGCTTTTGCTCGAAGCAGCCGTCTTGCAGGACCCTCATGATTCAGAGGTGAATTCATTTAGCACACAAGATAAGACACACACTCGTTGGTTTGTGGTCTGTTTGCTCTTTTCCCTATTGTTTGCTCTTTTCCCTATTTGACTGCCAAAGTTAACCATGGGGATGTTCATATTTACACATGCATTTAATCGGAGGAGAAAGAGGGAACATTTATTGTACTGATTGCAAGAAATACTGCAGCCAGCACCTGGAAAAGCTTAATCACAGTCCAACCTTTTCCACCTCATGTGGTGAGAAGCTGCATAGGAAGAACACCTGCCTGACCACAGGCTGTGTGAAGCTGATTTAGCAGACAGCATCCACAGGCCTGACGCTGATTGCCTGCAGCAGGAGTGTTTACTGTAGCTCACAACTTGCTCCTCATCAGGGCTTCCATTTGCTCAACGAGCTGAATAATAGCTCATTCTAGTATATTTTTAAATCTTCCTCTTTTTACTAAAAGAGTGACCTCTTTGCAAGCTCAAAGAGCAAAGCCGTCACACAAAGTGCTTTCAGAGTCCCCTGGAACATACAGAAATGTGCCAGTTACTCCAAGGAGAGGATTATCCTGTGGTGTATGGAACTAATGCGATTCCCAAATTCCTCATTGGGTGCTTTGTGGCTTATTGCCCCACCGTGAATCATTCAGAAATCATTTTTCTCCTCGTTTCAAAGAGTCAAGGAAAACAGCATCGTCAGATATTGTCTTCAAAATAAGTTGATGAACGTACCTTTCCATTATAGCTTTTAGATTCCAGTTTGGTAAAAATGTTTAGTCATTTTCTTTCTACTTAGCAATTATCTGCAGTCTCTGTGTTTGTGTTTTGATTATGTCTGTCACATAAAATCCCATTCATGTGACAAAGTGTGAAAACATTCAAAGGGTGTGAATATGTTTGCAAGGCATTGTAGTTATGAACCACTTCTCCTTTAAAAAATATGAGAATGTAAAGAACATGAATCTGTTTGTGGAAGACAGGGCATTTAAATGGAAATAAAATTAGTGCTGCTGTTGAAGGGTTTAGTTTCCACCCTGAGAAAATCACTGAGATCATACAAAAAGGAGCAATTTTCGTCAGACGTATAGAAAAAAAAACAACTCAAACATTAAATCTTTTTCTTGTTGTTAAGTTAAAGAGCAGAATAAAGTTTTCTTGTAAAACGAGATACTGCCTCAGCTCTTCAGGAACTGGTACAACTCCTGTTTCCATGTTAGCTGTAATGGATCATATACAATCCCTGAAATTTGCCTAAGAAGTTATTACACTCGTATTTCTCAGTGAGTTAGAAGCCAAAGCTGATCTCATCTGTCGGTCTACGGCTGATTAATTTGACTGGCTCTGTTCCTTGACTTTGCAAACATTAGACCTCTGTAAAAAAAAAAAAAAAAAACTGCCAACACAGCAATTTGTATGTAAAGTTGTAATACCAAAGTGCTTTATTTTTCCAAGGTAGATATAGGCCCTGAATGCAAATCATCTTATTTATCTTTACAATGTTCTGAAATACAAATGCTGAGTCAGGTTTTTCTACTCATAGCATTTTTTGCACTTCTTAAATCTCCAAGTCTTCTGGCTTGTTTCTCTATAAGTTTTGAAGTAATCAATTAGATTTCATTCTTCTTTGTCAAAATTCAAGGCATTCTTTGGTTAAATGAGCAGCTTGATGCAAACTCTGAAATATATTTACTCTGGCTTTGCTATTACAACATTTTCCAACATAGTTTGTTAAAGTAAATCTGATGTCTGCTGTGAAAATGTCTTACAACCATTGGAATAAAATAGACAACAAGGCAAAATTGTTTATGCACTTTGAAAATTAGGATCCATCATTCACAGGAAAAAGATTCTTATCTTTGATCCACTGAAGATTTGGTGTAATTGCTTTTACCACCTGCATGGTTAAAAATGTTCAGGAAAAGATTTATTTGACTTATAGGCATTTACCAAATCAAGATTTTAACAATTAATTACCCTAATGAGATGGGGGTAGGACATTTGGAAGCTAAAATAATCAAACAAATAAATTAAAGGTACATTTCTTCAATCAAGGGGAACAAAATGCTCAGCTGTGGTTGTTGATAAGTTGATCTGCAGCTGCAGCGTCAGTCGCTCTGTGAAAATCTCTGTTTTTTATGCCTTCTGTGTTTGACCCCCTCTGAGAAGACACGCTGTGGTTTTTCCTTCCTGCTATTTGCTGATATCTGTATTCTCTGTTTCCCTACAGGCCTGGCAAGTCTTAGGGACAACACAGGCAGAAAATGAAAATGAGCAGGCGGCAATTGTCTCCCTCCAAAGGTAATGAGAAACATCTGAGTTGGGTTCTGATTTGAAATCAAAAAATGACAAAAGATCCTGATTTTATATTGGCTCGTAGGTTTATACAAAATTTCTGACAGTATATGCACATACAGCTGGAGTTAGAGATAAATGGGCCTTTATAAATGGGCATTTGCAAAGTACCATGAAATGGACAGTTTTTTTTTTTTTTACATTTTGTCACATTGATATTTTATGTGATAGACCAGCACAAAGAAGCACACAGATAGAAAAATGAAATATGTTTTCCTCATAATACTCAGAAAACTATGATGTGCATTTGTAACACTGAGGAGAATCACCTATAATAAATACAATAAAAAAATTTCTTACAAAATGTAAGAAAGTAAAAGGATTATGAATATCTTAATAAGAAATGGAAGTGTAGACACAGCTCTAAAAAGCATAAGGTCTCCACTAGTTTTTATTGAATTCTCTTAAACCATATTGGAAGAACAAATTATGTATTTTTATTGCGTCTTTCTCAGAAAGTGAACTGCTGCAGAGGAGAAATAATCCATATTTTCAATGCATTTCATCAATTTACTTTTTTGTCAGATAAGCAGATAATTTAGGTTCAAAGTGAATTGATTATAATGCAGATCTATAGTTATTTTTCTCCCTCTAAAATAGTTTTAAAATAGTTTTTCTTGCATAAGAGCATTTTTCAAATTTCAAGTTGCTTGCTGGCTTCATATTGACTTTGATTGTTATGTAATCACTCCATCTGTGAGGAGTAGTTTGGTCTGAAGTGAGATTAGATTTTTTTTTTTTTTTTTGGCATTAATCCTGCTGTTGCTACACTGATCTTTATCAACTGGCAGCCATCTCGTTGCTATTTTGCAACTAATTACAAAAACTTACTGTCTGACTAGTTTTTAGTTTTTAATCATGAAAGTATTCAGCCACAATTCTGGCAACACAAGCACTTGCTGTGTGTAGCTAAATAAGTCAAAATATGAATGATTTATTCCCAGACGGGACAATCGGTTCTTTACAAACCATAGAAGTGTGAAGAACACACAAACCTAGCTTTTTCTTTTCTTCCAAAAAAATAGACACATTTCTTTAAGTGTTCTTTGAATTCAAACATTGCATGTGTGCAAGCGCAGCCAAGAACAGTTCCCAGCAGGGGGCTGGAATAATTTAGTTGGTTTGGGATTATGATGGTTTTAAGGAAGTTGGCAGATAAACTGCAGCAAATCAGGCTTAAATGTTGCTGAAAGCCAAATCTTGTTTTGGCCTCTCACCTAGTCTCTTAACTTATCCAAGTCCTTCTTCCAGCTCCATGGTCTACTTTCCTTTTCTCTTACAAAACCAACAAAAGATCTTCAGTGATGTATTTTGAAGATATAACGACAGTAACCACAGCAGAGACACTTCCAATCTCCTGCAACATCACCAAATGAGAGTTTGCACAAATGCAAAGTTAATTCAAATCAACCAGGTGTGGGCAGCATGAAAAACCTGCTCCTCTGTGGAGAATGCATGGCTAAAAGAGTCACAGCTCATCCAGGCCTGATGTGCTTCTGCCTCATCTGGTCCCAATTAATGTTTGTCACATCTAAATTTCTCTTTGAAGTCCCACTTTACACCCTCTGTCCTTGTCCCTGTCCAGGTGTCTGGAGCTCCACCCTAACAACCTAGTGGCCCTCATGGCTCTGGCCGTGAGCCTGACCAACACTGGCATGCGTCATGACGCCTGTGAAGCCCTGCTCCGCTGGTTGAAACACAGTCCCAAGTACAAGAACCTGCTGAAGGCCAAGATCCATCTGATCGGCTCCCCCAACTCTCAGCGCAGAATGTCTTACGCTCTCAATGCGGGCCGACACGAAAGGTAGAGAACCTGAACTGATCCAACGTGGATCGTCCTAAAAGTAACAGACAGCAACTCTTTGATACCCTGGTCTTTCTTCATTGGCTAAATAACTCTGAAGAAAGTTTTATTTTTTTTTTATTAAAATTTTCTTCATTCTATTCCTAATTTACTTATTGAAATTATAACCTCATTTCCCTCCTTTTTGTTTATTGTGTAAAAGAAAAATAGTTGGCTTAATCTCTTATTGATTTATTTTCTAATTAACAAACAGTTATTAACAGATATTTATAATTTATCAAATTATAAATATTGATTTGCTTTATTCAATTAAAAATTGTTGACATAGTAGCAGTTATAAATATGTGAAGTTGAGAGTCCGCACATCACTGAGGAAACAGCAAAAAGAGAATGACTAATAGACTGCTGTGATCAATAATATAATTATCTACCCTTTCATTTTCTAGGTTCGCACAGCCGTAACTGCCTAATTATTTGATTTTAATAGGCAAAACCAGTCAGTGCTGCATATCAATGTGAGGATTTGCCTTTTTAATCAAACTTTTTCACATTTCAGAACTTTCATTTGTTTATGTTTATGTCGGGGTTTTCTGTTGGGTTATTATAGAGGTGAACAGTTTTAAATTTAACCATATTCCACAGAAAATTACTGCTTCTAAGATCTCACGGTGGGAATAAAGCCTGTCCCTCTTCTTAGTTACTGTTTATTTTTACCAGTTGTGTGGCATAGACAAAAGAAACAGCAAAACCTGCACAAAAAACTGCATCAAAACCTAAAGAACTGCAGCAATGATGAAGGCAGGACTCAATTCAGCTTTTTAAAAAACATTTGTTTTCAAATGTACTGAGATATTCAGACTGATAAATTAAATGTTTTAGTTCACCTCTTTGGCCAGACGTGTATAAAACCCAGCAGATGTGCAGAGAGCTACTATGAACAGATGTGAAAGAATGGGTCGGTTTACATCACACGATGGCCTCACCTGCATTTACAAGTCATGCCTCAGTCTGGCGGTCCAATGAGTGAGCCTGTAGCATCCCAGAAGAGTCTGTGTTGTGTCAGACGTAAAGCTGTGTGTGAGGAGATTATGGGATAGGTCTATTTTTTTATTTTTTATTTTTAATCTTTTGGTTTCGTTAAAAGTAATTCTTAATGCTTCACCGTGCCAAGATGTTTTGGGAAATTTCTCTCCCATGTTTGTTGGAACAGTTTTGCGACAGCCGCTTTCCTTTAAACCTGATTAGGAACTAGGGCACAAAGCAAAGTCTACAAAAACACGGATGAGTGAATTTAGTGTGGAAGAACCTGAAGAGTCCCGACCTCAACCTATTAGAAACAACTTTGGGATGAATTAGAGCAGAAACCTTCTCATCCAGCATTTTTTTCTGGTAGAATGGTGAATAATTTTATAAATACTGCTTTAAAAATGAATTACTTTGAACAGTTTGTTACTCTAAACTAATAATGTGAAGTTCTGCAGACTTCGAGGATTTAATATTTTATATGATGAATGTTCCTCAGGAAAACAAAAACTGATGAAACTTCAAAGTTTCATCAGATCCCTTAGTTTGATACTGTTTTTATTCATGTAATTATTTACTTTGATATTAAGCATTTTTGTATCCCCTTTTGCTTATATTTCTATTTAATTTTTCTATTGTAATTTTCTTATAATGTTGTATTTTAAATATTACTATCAGGTCAGAATATCATCTTGCTTCGATGCCTCAGAGTCTAACTATAAAAAAATAAATAAATACAGCAAGTTTGCGCTTTTAGTTGTTCCTATTAAATTTAAAATGAGATGTTTTAAAGTCTCTGTCTTTATGTTATTGGAAACCTTTTGTAAAAAAAAAAAATTTGCATCCACAGATAGTATAAATTGAATTTACTCTTAAAATGCCAGACACAAACCAAAAAGCATCCTTTTTGTAAAATAGCTCTCGCTGCTTAGGAAGGCAGGCTGTCCACTTCATTGTTAATCCGATGGATGCAGTCGCTCCATTTATCAGATTCTGGAGGCCTAACTTTCCTCTCTGTGTAAAGTAAAACTTCCTAGAGTCATTAATCGTCTCACCTGTGCAGAGAGATACAGGTAGAACCGATTACCATGCTGTTCCCTCTGGACAACAATCTACAGCACATACCATTACTCTAGTTCAACCTCATGATTCTTTACATATGCCTGATTCAATCTTCATCCTTTTCTAATGCTGCTCTCAGTGAAAGCTTACATTAAACTGTGACCTTTTACCCCAATCTATAACTATAGATGTACAATCACTGAATGTATTGTGTGTTTATGTACATTAGATGGACCTGATGTATTTGAAACTATGTTTTGTTTGACAACTCTTTTTCAGTCCTTGATTCAATCAATCCTCTTCCATCAGTTTATGAATGAAAGTCCCCACATTGTACAGCACAGCTTCACAAACTTCACAGCGCTCACTCAGCAGCACCTCTAAGTCACACTAATCCTGATCCCTGTGTGTGTGTGTGTTTCTGCTCGTGTGTGTTTTCAGCTCACTGCTGCCAGAGGTCAAGGAGCTCTTCCTGGAAGCAGCTCAGAACAACTCGGACAGCGTTGACCCGGATTTACAGACGGGGCTCGGGGTCCTTTACAACCTCAGCGGAGAGTTCAACAAAGCTGTGGAGGCTTTCAATACGGCCCTGTCAGTCCGGCCTGAGGTAGGAAACCCCTTAAATCAGTTTCTAAATTTGATAGAAACTGATATATATATATATATATATATATATATATATATATATATATATATATATATATATATATATATATATATATATATATATATATATATATATTTGGCTTTTTATACCAGAACTCGTAAATTTAAGAATATGTGCAGCTCAAAGTTACGTCGCTGGCTGAATGTGGAGCTGTATTTGAATAAGCCGGGGCACATACTGCGGTGTCTGAGGAAAGACGTCTTTGTACTCACTGGGTGGTTCTGATATCTTTCTTCAGCAGTTTGTCCAAAGTAGTTCTGTCGGGCTTTTTTACTCTGTGCACAGTAAAATCTACATGGCAAAAAGGAGTTAAAATTGCCTGCAGCTTCAGAGACTCCAGATGCAGCAACCTAAGGAGTGTTTTGAGTGAGATACAAACACTGCAAAAGCTCTAAAGAAAAGGTTATCTAACATTGTGCTGGATTAAATCTACATAGGCAGTGTGATCTCACACAATATGCAGCTTTAAAGAAAAAAATATGTCTGTAGAACTTGATATAAACTGATAGCCCTGTTGGGTCTTCTATGTAAAGAGGTTTTGTTGATGCACCATGGATAAGTAAATTAATGCACATTTAGTAAACACGTATTTTTGTCTCGTACACACTTCTGCAGCTAAAAGTAATTAGGCTAAGAGCCAGCAGTGGATCTGAGTCATGTTGGCTGAGATTGTGACTATAAATCTGCTGATGGTTTTCTTTAAGAATAAACATTTCAGTTTATAGATTTATTTTAATGGTAATGTGCTTTTTGTTTTCTTTTTTTTCTTTTTTTTTTTGGTGTTAAATTTTAAAACTATCATACAGTAAATTGTCTATTCATTTTGTTAAGCTCCATCCATAAAAAAAGGATAAATCTCTCAATAAAAATCACTGACAGAGTGGGAAAGGAGAGCAGTCATGAGAAAATCCATTCATAGTGAATCTGGAGGAGTTGCAGAGATCATTAGCTCAGGTGGGAGAATCTGTTGACAAGTCAACTCTTCTTCTTTCAGTGTGCACTCCACAAATGTGGCATTTACAGAAGACTGCCAAGAAAAAATGCACTTGGATTTTGAACAAGCTATTGAGGAAACAGGTTCTTTGGTCAAGCAAAATGTTGCCTTTTCACCTTTTTCCAGGCAGAAACAGAATGCTGTACATTACCTGAAGCAAACAGTGAAACATGGCAGTGGGGATATTTTTCTTCAGCAGCAGGGAAACTGCTCAGAGTTGTTAATTTTGGGGGAAGAAAACCTGTTTGGTGTTGCAAAAGACTTAAAACTGGAAGTGAAGGTTAATTACATAAAAGGAAAAAAAGCTTACAGTCAGAGCTTCACTTTAATTGTTTTGGTTAAGTATATTCATCATTTGCATTTTAAAGACCTTTTTTTTTGATGATATAAAAAAAATCTATGAATGATTGTACAGATAAAGATAGTAATGTGAGATTTAAGTGTCATAAAATGTGGAAATATTTCAAGTTTATCTGGTGTTTGGAGTTTTAAAATTTTATGAGAATGAGAATGAGAGGGGCAGGAGGTCAGTAGATCTTATTCTGCCTGCTACTTTTCGAATAGATAATGTAAAATTGTATGTCAACTGGGCATGATAATCTGTTTTATTATTTTTCTTCTATTTTTTTATTTCTTCCTTTTACTTTTTCTCTGTTTTCACCCACTACTGGATCGTAGCCTCAGCTGCCCTGGAGCAGCCTTTCAGAGTCAAGGCACTTTACAAAAAATCATTTCAGTTCAATCACTGATTCTAGTTATCAAACGGTTTGAATAATTTTGATATGTTCTATCTTTTTCATTGGGCTGTGTCCTATTTATTCAATTAATAATGCAGCCTGCAGGATCCTCAGAAGAGCTGATCAAATATGGATCCATCAATCAGACTTTCATCTCAGCTCCCGCAGAAATCAGCTGAGGTGCAGTGAGATTCTCTCAAATAAATGCATGTTTGAAAATGGTTTTAGACTAGAGATACCCCGAATAAAGCACAAGAAAAATGAATTTATATGCATCTACATGATTATTTTACAGTTAGTTCATGGTCTGAACTGAACTATAAAGTAGTTTAGACAGTTAAAAAATCCAGGTGGGTCTAAAAGAAGAGGGAAAAAGAGGGTAAAAATATAAAAATAAGAAAAAATAAAGCTTATGACCAACATACCACACACAGAGAGTAAATTCACACAGTCTTGTAAGAGTGATGTAAGAGATTCATTAGCTAACATGAGTAAAACAAATGTAAACAACCTGACCAGGGAGAATAAATCTGTCCCAACATAAAAAATATTCTCACCCTGAAAAACCTTGCAGCTGATAGATTTTTATACAAGATCAAGACGTAGTGGATAATCGCCCCCCTAAAAAGTAAACATAAATGCATATTCTTTTGGGCAAAAAACAAATACATGTGAAAAACATAAAAATAAAAATCAACTACATTTACAAACTTTCTCCTCCATCTGCATCAGACAATTCGGTCCATCTCCTCCCTTCCCTTTCTCAGGCCGGAATAACAATTATCGCTGAATCCAGTCTTCTACATTTGACTTGCTAATTTCTGCTCCCCCGCTGAAAAGAAAAAGAAAACAGCACTGAAAACAAAAGGTGGATAATTATAGCCTGCTGCTTGGCTTAGCCAGCGATGAAGGACCCCTGTTCTGTACCAGACCACTGACCTCTGAATGAGCCTGTGAGCCTGCAGGTGGGAAACAGCGACAAGGACGTCCAGTGTGATCTAACTCTGCTTTCATTAAACTAACCTTGTCAGACTACTTTTATATCCAAAATCCATGCACAGTTGTTCAAAATAGGTTCTTGTTGTTGGGTGAAGATCATAATTTGCTGATAAAATAGTCATTTGCTCTGCAGACATCAAAATTAACAACAACCCATGAATATTCACCTTATCTTGACACAACAAAAACTACTTCAGCTACTAAACTACTGTAAGAAAGAAAAAAGGGCATTAGTGGTTTAATAATTGTCCAAAAACATAATTAAAATTTTCAAAAAAGATCTATTTGAGTTTTCTTCATCACCTCAGTGCTCTTCCTCCATCGCAGGACTATTTGCTGTGGAATCGCCTTGGAGCCACATTAGCGAACGGAGACCGGAGTGAAGAGGCGGTGGAGGCTTACACGCGAGCCCTCGAGCTGCATCCAGGGTTCATCAGGTCCCGCTACAACCTGGGCATCAGCTGCATCAACCTAGGGGCCCACAGGTGAGTCACCTCAGGTTGTGTGACAGAGAACAAATGAATATGTCCTGGTTTTATTCAGTGGACTACACACAACATGCAGCAGAAACCAGAAGCACTGTAAGAATAACATCAGATTGCACTTTTCTCATTTTTAATCTTACTTTTTCCTCAATGTCTAATTGGCTATTTTTAAGCACTTTTTCTAGACAAATGATCAAATTTACAATAACAAAATGGCAAAATATGTATAAAGGTTTTTTCCAAAATGCAGGATCACAAATTGTCAACTACAAATAAATTAGTCTGCAAATACCAGCATTAACCATCTTAATTATGACAAATTTTGACTATGTTTGATAATATAGCTGTCATAAATTATACCATTATGATGCTTTATTGATCATCTCTGAGTATTTAATGGATATTCCAGAGACATCTCTTCAAAATGTTGAACTTCTTTCAGTAACAGCAGAAAGGTTCAGTCAGCCATCTTTTAATTCCTGAAAGCAAGGCTGATTGAATCACTTTTGTAAGCAAGTGAGCGTTTCACAGTTTTGATGGAGAGACGTACACAACTGACGAAGAATTAGGAACCATTCTCATGGATGAAAATTGAATGCTTTTGGAATGTGGAACCAAATTTCATCTATAGAAAAAAATATCAATTTAGAAGCTGTAAATCATCTTTGATTAACCAGAGCTTAGACTTATCTACTAAATAGTTAATTGTCTTCAGTATGATTACTTTTCTCTTTTTTTTTTTTTTTGTTAGAAACAAGCAGCACCGTTAGTCGCCAAGCAATCAGACTGTAGCTGAACAAACACGTGGCTTGGGGAGGAGAAGCAGTGACCTTTAGCATTTTGAGAGCAATTTATCCTCATGGCATGAAGCAGCAAATAACACTCTCCAAAGGTTGAGAGACTGGTTAAACCATCGATAACGATCAGAGTTTAGGTCTTTTGTCTATCACTGAGCTGAGCTATGTATTTTGATATGTCAGCAACAAATGGCCAATTTTATAAATGGATACTGGAAACAGGAAGACTGTTTATGCTATGAATTAATGAATGGAAAAGGGGTTATGATGATATAAGTTAAACTTCATCATACTCCCTTTCAGACTCAGTCACTGAATAAGTGGTGTATTTACATGCGTTTGAGTATGTAAATTTAATAGTAAGTTATTGTATTTACGCTTTGAAACATGAAAGTCTTTATTATTATCATTATGTTTTGTTGGTGAAATGTCTATTTGAAATAAATTATCATGATCATCATGGAGTTAAGCTGCAATGCTAAAACTCTGACATTTTGCATACATTAAAGTCTGAACTTTATTTCCTGTTGATATTAAGACGTAGATAAAAACAGAATTAAAATGACAAATAAAATCCCAGCAGGGAGCAAGAGAAACTTATACCTGTGGGGGAAAGTGAACGTCATGCTGTCCACACAATCCTGTCCGAAACAAGACAGCTGGTAAATCAAAGTTGTTATGCACAGCCTTGCAAAACCATTCCGATACCTTTGATTTAGGTATAGAATGTATTCAATGTATTTTATTATTGTTTTATGTAACTAAATAATCTTTTACTGCATCTACGGCTGTAGGGTTTATTGCTGTATGTTCCTCCAAGGTTCCCATGTCCAGAGAGTGATTTTTCTCATCCTGCTTTGAAAAATGGATCTTGCTCATTATGATGCATTTAATGAGATTAGCTTTCTCTTTCTCAATTTAGTTCTGACCTTTTTCTGGGCCAAACCAATACAAAAATACTGCTGGATCAAACTTATTCTATTGCAGCTCCTTCTGAAAGTTGAGGACCAACTTCTATGCTCCTGCTGAAGAATGGCAGTCCCATAGCATGACGCCACCTCTACTATGTTGCATTGTGAAAATGGTGTGCTCAAGATTATCTTTTACCGGAAAATAAACTTTGGATCTCAAGTGAACAGAGCAGCTTCTTGTTGCAAATCAAAAACAAGACTTTTTATTGCTTTGTTTCAATAATCAGCTTTTTCTTTCCACTGATCCATGAAGGGTGGATTTGTGAGCAGCACAATAGTTGATATGACAGCAGATCATCCCACCTGAGCTTTCTACAGCTCACGTAAAGTTATCAGGAATCTGAGTAATGTCCCTCTTGCTTACGGAGGACATTAATCCTCCCTAGGCAGACTATGTGGATAATAGATTTACAGCTTGGTCACACGTTTATTCCATGTGGGATGGATGATAGATTATAGATTGGACAGTGCTCTGCCAAATGTCCAATGTCTGTCAAATGTTTTAAGCAGCTTAACGCTTAACGGCGCTTAAAACAACTGCATAACTTTTTTCTAGAAATGTAGTTCTTAATCTTTGTGAAAGTGTTTATTTAAAAAATCCTTAACAAACTTTATGCAAAGATTAAATTAATTATTTTTGTAATAAAGTGAATTTTAAAGGTAGCAGCTGATTCTGTTTGATTATATGTAGGGCTGTCAAATGAAAGGGGGTTGAAAATTTTAAGGCAAATTAATATTAATATTAATATTAATATTAATATTTTATGCAAGGCACATTATATTGTTATTCATGTGACATAAAGTAATCTCCGAGTCTTGCTTTTCATCATGCTAGTGTAACAAGCTAGAGATCACATCCTATTTGAACAATAGAATCATGAGGAGATCTCAGTTTGGACATTTATAAGATATTCAGAAAATGTAATAAACCGGACATAAACTCTGAGAGTTTACGCTGCGTGAAGTGACTTGTCTGTTTTGTTTCCCCAGAGAAGCAGCCAGTAACTTCCTGACGGCTTTAAGTCTCCAGAGGAAAAGCCAGAGCGCTCAGCAGTCGCATCAGGTGATGTCTGGCAACATCTGGGCAGCTCTGAGGATAGCTTTATCTATGATGGACCAACCCGAACTCTTCCAGGCCGCAAACATTGGTGATCTGGACCTCCTGATGAGGGCCTTTAACTTGGACTTTTGAGCAATCGATGGAGTGCGCTCCGTCATTTGTTCTCTGGTCTCTATCCAGAAGCCAAAAGCGCAAAGTGCACATGGTTTGAGTGAACACACCAGCGTGTGTGTTTCGTTTCTGCATATCAAAATGAACTAAAAAGGTCAAACCCTGTCATGTCTTCTTGCCCTAAATTTCCTGAGAGCAGTTCGGAGGGCCGCTTCTTCCAGAGGTTCTGATGGTCTGCTTAGCGATGGAATGTGCACTGCAATTTGTGATTTCCCTAAAGAGCACAAGGACGGGCGAAGATTGTATGAGCAATGCCTTAGAGGACACATCAATTAAAAACCGACTCATGCAGTGGAACAGAGGTGAGCCAGGAGTGACAGCCAGATTTAAGACTCCCATAGAGGAACCCTCATAAGCCATTTGCAGCAGAAAAGATGAGGTTTTGAGAGGAAGATATGTTGACTCAGGACTGTCTCTCCCTCTCTCTGACGGATGGATACTGTGAGCCGAACAATAAAGGCTGCACCTTATAACCCCGGAGCTCTATATTGTCTTCCTGGCTTCATCTCCCCTTCTGTCAATGGAGACTTATTACTCTGCATAAAAAAAACCACAACAAACATTTTCAGAAATGGAGAGATTAGCATACTTATAGAAGTTTTCCCTTTGCACTTTTAGATGACTTCCTCTATCCACGTGGAATGCGCAACCCAGGTTGTAAAGCCTTACTGAGATGCATGCGTCCAACATTATTTATTTATACTATTTTTATGGCAACAAGGGACAAAATATATCAAAGCCATTTTCAGACTGGTTTAAATTTCTTAATGTAAGTGCTGTTCTTAGAACCTGTACAATTTCTGATCGGCTAATCTCAGTTCAGTTGATTATATATTTATGCAGCTTGTATGTAATATTTGCTGCTTTAATTCTGACTGGCTGGGTAATACTGACTTGAATTGTGCGTTTTTTTAACCTTTCCCTAAGTGGTTATATTCCTAAAAATGTCTCGTCTCAGAGGCCCCGACAAAGAAACGCCTAATTTTTATTTATGCTGACTGTATTCATTTCAATACAGCATACTAACATTAGATTAAAAGATGTGTATTTGCAAGCCAGGACCCAAGACAGCAGCTTGATGAATTTTCTTAATGTAGTCATTTGTATCTTTGCTGCTCCTTCTCCGGCAGTGAAGCTCATTCATTTAATTAAATCAGTTACCCTCAGCCATCATGCATGATTTCAATATTTATAGAGGCTTGCGTAGAGTTGCACACATTTGTTAGTTTGCTTTTACCAGATTAATATGCATCCATACAAGGAAAAACAGATTTTATAAATCAAGAAATGCTACTCAGAAGATCATTATACATTATAAAATGCACCGATTCTCCTGCTTAAGATAAACCCTTTGCAGCACCTCTAAATATTTCTTATGATTTTCAGTTGTCAGCTTCCTTTTAGCCACATTTTGAAAGTCACTGTGAGTTTAACACCGTGCAGCTTGCCGTGTGGCGGCGGAGTGAATGATAGATTATCTGCTGTGCAGTACAGCTCACTTTGGTGTTTATCGGTCGCGTCCATGGTCCGGGAAGCTTTTTTTGTCCTCCTTCTTGTTATTGTCGGCTCCTATGCAAAAGGTCACGTTTCATGTTTGTCCCCATCTGCCTCAGTGGACCAAAGAGAAGTGTTGATTCTGTGTTTTGAATGAATGCTATCAGCGGGAACCAGAGACCAGAACCAGAACCATTCATCTTCCTAACAGTGCAGCTGGGATGACACACTCTGTGTTAGGAGGAGTGTTTTATCAGGCGGCTGGGGGAGAACAAACACAAACCTGCTGAAGTGCAGCATTGACACTGCATGAATCTGCGACATAATAATGCATCTGTGACTGCAGGTGCAGGCACCAAATTCACAACTGTAGACATTTTTTTCTTCTGTCAGCTCACTTTTCTCTTTGTTTGCATAAGTATTCATACTTGTCACATTACAGCCACAAACATTTGCTTATATACAAACAAAATTGTGTATCATTTTGAAGAGAAAGAAAACTGATCATTTTTGGTTATTTTTTTGCTAATTCAAATGAAAAAAGTGTAACATGCATTTGTCCTCAGGCCCCATAAATAATTTCAATGTAAAATCAATTTTTACAAAGTTTGCAGCTCCAAATCTTTTAGGCTTTTCTTTACCGGCTTTGAAAAGTTGCTAATTTGTCGGGTTGGATGGGAAACGTGTCAGCAACAACTTTTCATGCTTCAGGCATGGACTTTGACATTTTTGCCATTCTAATGCATAAATGCTTTTAGCATATCTTTGGTGGTAGGTTTTGCAGTTTTGTCATTTTTGATAATTGTCTTGTATTTCGGCTCTATTCACTCTGAAGGAGCAGCAACATATCCTGGTCTTATGACTTTCTTTCAACGTGACTGGCTTGTTGCCACTTGTTCACAAAGACCAGTGCAACATATAAACATTCTCCAATCTGAGCTGTGAATCTCCTCTGAAGTCACGTTGGTCACCATGGCTGATTTTCTCAATGCTCTCCCTCTCTGGCCAATTTACAGAGGTCTGAATTGTTCTGCAGCTGGGTCAAATAATTCCCCATTAGATGTTCAAATCATGGGATATTGCTTGCAAACCTCACCCTACTTTCAACTTATTTGATGCGTTGCTTCGTCTCTAGGATGTTATTTGTTCACTAATGTTCTCTAACAAACCTCAAGGCCTTCACAGAACAGATGAATTTATATAGAGAAGTTACACACAATATAAGTAAATTGGTAGCATAGGGTATTAGCATAAATGTGCTTATTCTCTGTTATTTTATTTGTGAAAATAACAAAAACATTTATTATTTCCGTTTGACTTCACTGTCTTGGAGAACATTGTGTTTGTTGTCCCTCTTATTTAATCTGCTTACAATTCGATGATGTTTGTGGCTGTACTGCAACAATTCTCAAAGATATTTGTTTTACTTTTGGATGGTAAGTAAAGTCAGTTTCACTTAAAAAGCAGCCACCTTCAACAAGATGTTCAGTGGCCAAAAAAACTTGTAAGAGGAAATCACTTTAGTTGGATACCAGTTGCTCACAGTGACGATTCCATTACAATTGAAAATGAAACAAAATTGTTTAATTTCAAAGAGGCACATGAAATGCAGGTTGAATGTTTTATACTTTGCAAAAGTAGCTTCTAGAAAGGCTTTACAGAAAATTAGGGGACAAATTTATTCTTAAGTTTATGTTCACAGAGGTTAGCACTCATTTGGCAAGTTTAGTTTAGTTACACTTAGAAACTCATTGTGTTATTAAACTGTATATATTTGAAATACTTACTAATTTAAAATAGGGAGTTTGTCAACAGTTTCTGATGCACCAACTATCACTCATGTTGTTTTCACTTAATTCATGTGTAATCTCTTGTTTTGTGTAAAATCATCCCAAATCCAAATTATTCTCAACAACTAAACTCCCCTTCAACAACCTGAAATGTTAACATTATGCTTTAATTATAGCCTTCCCTCATCAGCTCATTAAAATCAACATGAAATACACTTTTCCCAGCACTTTGTGCTGGGAAAAGTGTAGCCACTGAAAAAAGCCACAGAAAAAAATATGTAGCCACTGAAAAAATGACTCATTAAGTTTTGCAAAAATCCAAGCTCATGTAATATTTCAGTGGCTACATATTTTAGATAGCAGTGAATGTTTAGATGTGTCAATAGTTTGATAGAATGATAGTGACATCCTTGAGAATTAGCAGGGGAACTTTCCCTTTAAAGTTTTTTTTTTTTTTCTCCAATCTGAGCTGTGAATCTCAGTTTGATTCAGCTTAGCTATAAAACAAAGACAACATTCTGGCAGTTTGACAGAGTTTTCCAGTTTAGAGCTAATTGGATTTTTAATAATACAAGCATGGGATTACAAGCATACAGTAAAATTCATTCAGTTTACTCTTCTTTTTTTTTAGCTCAGTCAATTAACATATTGACTTGTAATTTTTTTTTATATTGTAAGATTAAGTTAAATACTAATGATGATCAATAGATGCTACTTCCAGAAATGTTTCCACTCAAATAAAAAATATATATTTACAGATGTCATTTGTTACCTTCACTTACATCTTCAGGAAGTCTTTCTGGAAATAATTAGAATAGTCAAGCAGTAATGTCTCAAGAACACAACTACGATAGATGTTGTGTGCACGAGTGTTTCTGTCTGCAGACATGAGTACATGTTGTGTTTGCTTGATAAGCCTCTGTCTGTCTTCATCCTGTGTCTTCTTTGTAATATCTTTACTTACTTTTAGAAAAGAAAAATATGTCATTTGTAATCATTTTATACGTACAAATTGTTTCCATGTGTTCTCTTTGTCAGCAGATCTGTAGAAAAACCCCATGTTTTGGAATTTTGTTCATCTTTCAAATCACATCTTGGGCCTTCTCTTTTTTATTCTATAACTTTGAAACAAAAAAAGGAGGAAGCTTAAAGCTCTGCCCTTAAAGTCAAGATTTTTGTACAATTAGGACCCTCCTCAGGTGAACTGAAGTAGCATAGTGCATGCTTCTGAGCAACATCATGAGGAGATAGCATGTTTATTATGGCACAGAATTATACCTTCATTTTAATGCATGTCGGTGCTTGCTTTTGCTATCACTAATATATGTAACATTTAGGCATATGAAGAGGCTTCCTTGCAATATTTCTACAATGTACTGCAACCTTAGCATTAAACAATATCTATATATTCAGTATTTATTCAGCACACGATATGTTTTATGGCATAAAAGAAGTAGTGCAGGGCTCATGCAGAAAAATGAGGATCCAAAAAATAATTTCATAAAAATCTAGATTTAGATCATTTTCCTGCAGCAGTAGGCGATCATAGATTATAACACAGAAATTTGGAACCCAACCTATAAAATGTTGCTTTTTGCCTCCGTTTCTTACCTTGCCATGTTTGTTGCCATATCTAAAAACACGTTTTGCTTTTCTATAAAGTTTGTATGCTGCTTTCGCTGTGACCTCTTTTAGTGTAGTGCAAGCACATCGGGACGAAGGGTGTAAATTACTACTGCTGTTTAGTTTCATTTTTCCTACTTAGCTCTTGTTTGAGGAAGCCCATTCCTCCCTGCCTAATAAAAAAACAAATAAACTTGCATCTCATTATATTGACATATCTTAAATTGGCTCTGTGACATTATAAAGAGATGAGTAAAACAAGTCTGGCTTACTATAAAGAAATTGATGTTGCAACATCATGGAGTAATACTTCAGAAGCGATTTTATAAATATAGTAATCCTACCAGTTTTGAAAAAATCCCACAATGTAAAAAGGAAAAAAATCTGAATGGTAAAAATAACAATTATGAGATAAAAGTTTTTTTTTTTTAATCAAAGCAACAGAAATGGGCTTTCCTGCTTGTCCATCCCTCTGGGAGTAAAATTTCAATTCTCTACACCAATTTGTGACTGCCTCCAAATGGTCAAATAATTATTAGTTGATTTTTATCAGAAAATAAATCAGCTAAATGGCTCCATTTAGCTGTTGGAGCCACTTGAACCATTCTGCATGCTGTAACATAGAATCACTAACATTATCTTGCTGAAACATTTAAGTAGCATTTATGTCAAATTTGTAGCACTAGTGCCTATGTGCGTCATATATGGCATCTCTTAGTTGCAATGCTCATGTGAAAGATTTATTTATTTATTTTTATTTTTTATTTTTTGACTTGTACAAAAGCTTTCTGGCATTTCTTTAACTGGAGATGAAATGACACTTTCATCAGACGAGCAGGAAGCCACCCGTTGGAAAAACGAGGCAGATATGCAATAGTGTGACAGAGATTAGGTATTTAAAATGTAAAATGTACAAAATGTAAAGTAATACTGCAAAGCAGTTTATTACAACTATTTGAAATAATTCTACATTCTTACATTTACAGCTACCATCATTGTTGCTTTTTTTACCTAAGAGATTTAACACTTTTAAACACCTCTGTTTCTGCTTTTCACAGAAAGAACAAAAGTTCACACATGTAACTAGAATAAAATTAAATGTCCAGAGAGACATTTTTTAAAAAAAGCATCTACTTTAAGAAAGAATGCATTATAGTGCAAGATTACGTTATTTTTTTACCTTTATTAAATGCATTTTCTCATCTTAAATGTTTATTCTATATTTTATTAAGGCTCAAATGCATTTCATGTCTCCATCGATGTAAAGAATCTGTACTTTACAGATGTAATAATGTATATGTTGGTTTTGTTGCGATGTAACTTTAAAGCATATAAAAAGGATTAGGGTTCAAAATAAACCCTAACCCTGTAGGCCGGGGCTCATGGACGTCATTAACCCATGCTGTTACTTTGTTGCAACATGTAAAGTGATAGTTTGCTTTAGCAAAATTAATTGAAGCATCACATTTGAATAAAAAATATATTTTGATGATTGAAACTAGAAATTATATACTTTCTATACATGCATCCATTTATTAAACCACTGACTATCATGCTTGTTACTGAACTTGTATAATCACAAGGAAAGCATTAGCACCTTTAACAACAAAGTATGGAAGTAACCTTTTAAAATAAACTATTGTTATATATTTTCTGCTTGTCTGTCTTTTTTGTGGGGTACCTCAAGAATCTGTTCTCGGGCTCCTTAACATCGTTTGATATCCGGCTATTCGGTCTGAATGTCCACCAGCTAAATGCAGAACAGACAGAATCCATGTGATGTCAGAAAGTTTTGATGGACTAACAGTTGACCTCCAACAAAATAAAAATAAAAATAAAAAAGAGGAAAAAAATCAGCCTAGTACCTTTTCAAGGATATCACCTTAAAATATGATTTAAGAAACAAACCTAAACAATCTGGTTCAAGCTTTTCAGGTTGTTAATGTAATTGTTCATAGACTGTACAGGTCACTCAATAATATTTGGTAACGCTTTGTTGAAGGAGTGTGTATAAGACTGACATGACACTGTCATAAACATGACAAGAGTCAAGAAGATGAAGGAGTTCTCATCAATGTTTACAACTGTTGTCATGAAGTCTCATTTGGTAAACAGTTAAAATGCAAATTTGACTATTTTAATTCATTTTTAATGCAAGTTTCAATGCAACTTTGCATTACAAGTGTCATTATTTACCAAATAATCCAGAGTTCACATTTTAATGAACCTTTAATCCAACTTTTTGTGCTACTTTGTATTAAAATGTCATTTACTGAATGACTCTTCATAACAACAGTCGTAAACATTCATGAAGACTCCTTCATGTTTCAAATAAAGTGTTACCTAGTCTCTTAGGTAGAAGCAGTTTATTCAAAATGTTGCAGCTGGAGTTCTGAGCAACACTTGAAAAATTTTATAAAATTATCCAGTCCTTAAATTGTTGCACTGGTTCTCCATCAGTCAATTGGCTGAAGTTATTATTATTATTTTCCTAAATTGTAGTTTTATTTTTTTTATGTGGTTATGTTATCTTTGCATATCTTTATGTGATGATTCATGTTTTTAATGTGTATCTTTATTCTTATTTTTAATTTGAATTTCCCTCTGTTTGAAATGAGCTTACAAGTAAAACCTTGGTTTAAAATAAAAAGAACTTGTTTCAACAAATGTGGAGTTTATTAAATTACCCAAACATCATTAAGTAAACAGTGCCACTGGATATACTGTACGGTATTTACGTACACTAAAGCCTCATTTGGATTAACAGCTACATTACAAAAGTAAAATAATCCCGCGAATAAAAACTAAGGTGGTGGTACAGATTTTTTTGCAAAAAGGCAGCAGGGAGAAAAACAATTAACATGTTTGACATTTATGGAAGTGGAAAAAAAAATAGAATAAAATCTGCAAAAGTACTATTGTACAATCCAAATAACTACATGTTGACCTTTAGTGCACATGCTGAATATGAAACTTTTTCTTGTAACAAATTGAATAAGACAAGAACGGCGAGAGAAAAAGAGAAAAAGCTGAAACGAGACAAGAATAAAAAATAATAATAAAAATATCTATCCAGGAAACAGAAGGGGCAGCGAAAAGACAAACTTCAGAACATAGGTGGACACATTTATAACTGACCACAGCTGAGCGAGACGACAACCTCATCAGTCATCTGCTGGCAAAGAGCAGCAGAAATGCAGGACTTGCATAGAGACTTTGAGTAATATTTCCTGCTGCATAGATGAGAAACACAGCAGCAATTTCATTGAGAGGTGGAGATTTGATATGAGTTAAGATTTGTCCAGGGAGGTTTAGGCACAATGTTGTTAAAGAGGAGCACAGTGAAAACTGAGTATTTGTTTAGACAGCTGTTAATGTGTGAAGACAGAATAGAAACAGCCTTCAGGTGATTATGAATGAAAGAAGCGTTTTTGTTTCTATTCCGTCATATTCCAACTACCAGCTAAAAATAGCGTTTTTGTTGCTGTTCTCATTCAAACTACTGTTTCTTTCTTTTTTACAATACACTAATTAACATTGGTTAGTCGGCATCCATTTTTTTATGGGAACCATTATGTCAACAATTAAATGTAAAGATGGACTTGAGTTTTGGAGGACAAAAAAAAACTTTTACAACCCCCAGATGTCAAAGTGAAGTTCTGCAAAGCAAACAAAGACATGTGACCAGTCAGGAAATACATTCATCACCAGTACGTTAAATAAAGAAGAATAAAATTAGACCTTCCAAACCCTAAATACTGAATTATATTTTTATATCCAGGATCAATTTGAAAGTAAACTTTGAATTCTCAAGACCTCCAGCTTCAGGAGCCACTGAGTTGCAGCCAAGCCTGTCAGTGCACAAAACAAATGGCCATTGCTTTGAAATATTGCATTGTCTTTTTCTTGGATGCATAAAACAAAACCAGTTTATATTCCAGACAAAACTAAAGGACAGCGTGGGCCAGTAGGAGATTCTACTGGTTTGAGAAGGTTGTGTTAAAACATCACGGCTTCAGTGCGTCAATGTGTTTAAAAAGAACAAAACATGAAAATTAGTCCCACTGCTGTAATTAAAATAAATTATACTTATTTATCATTAAATTATTTATTTACTGTTGTTTTGATTCACAGCAAATTGAATAAAAAATGCCCCTTAAATTTAGTTTTTAAGTGCTTATTGCACTACATTTATCTTCTAAGCTGTTCTGCTCTTTATACTCTCTAAAGTATAACAAGATGATATTAGCTGGAAACTAACCTTTTGAAGTCATCCTATTTAGATTCAAATGAGTTGAACTATTTTTGCTGGTTCATGGGTTTTGAAGAGGAGGTTCTGTCTACAATGAGCACCATAAAGATTTACATTCAGCGATGCAAAAGCATGTGCATCGTGTGCACAGCAGAGGAGACACAGATCAGTGTGCAACCTTCATCCCGGATTTAGTTGCCATGCATATTTCTCCAGACGTGCTGCTCTGGAGTCTGGACAACAGTTCAATAAGTAACAACAAGAGTCCTGCAAATTGGCAACAACTCAATGAAAACATTCATTTCACCTTTTTGGGTCACAGTCTGAATCTGTCGGAGTGATAAAGAAACCAAACTCCGGCAGGTGCAGCTGGGTTCAAGTTTGCAGAGGAAGCAAATATTTTGCAATTTGGGCAGAAACTGTTGAAAAAGTTCAGAACCGAGAACTTTTATATGAGATATAGCTGCAGCGCTGACCTAATATTTATTTAAACAGGCTTACATATGCTCCAATTGGGCATTCATGATATTACCTAAATACTGTCACGGTTTAAGAAATGATTTAACTTTACTTGTTGGTGAATAGACATGTTATTATCCTCCTTTTGCATCCAGTGCAGAACTTTTTTTTAAGTGTTTTTGGGGGGTTTGGAAACAGAAACAGAAACATCTTGTTCCTGAGGCAGTTTTCAGCTGTAATCCAGCAAATAATTCTGTATATTTACAGTCTAGATAACATTTTAAACTTCCTTGTGCTTTCCTGAATCTGGAAGCTTAAAAGGCGTTTGGGGTGTTCCCCTCAGCATCCAGAGTTGCCCCAGAGTGAATGAATGGGAATGAATGTTTGTTGTATTTCCTAGCAACATGCAAAGCCACCGACAGCACAGACATCACGTATGTTTTGTTGCAGAATCTCAGCATTTGTGGGGTGGAAGTGTAGCACTGCCGTCTAAGCACACATTTATAAAATGTAGCAGTGTGAATGCACAGCTCAGCAGCTGAAGGCAGACGGGAGGAACAACCTGATTTGATATGTTGCATCGTTTTGTTTCCAGACCACTCCAGAAGTACAAATTGCACGCATACCTGTGCACTTACTTTTTTTTCCCCTTCTTCATCTCTCCCAACATAAACAATAAAATATACATTCAAAGCACAACAAATGCACAGAAAATAAGCACATTGCTTTCCTTTTTGGATCAGTATTTCTAATTACTCCTGTGTGAGATGAGGATAAGGCAAGAAGCTGGTCTGTGAGGTTTCTTCCATCGTTTCTGCTGTGGCTGTTGTTGCAGGTGTCTGCCTGTCTTTCTGGGTAAAAGACTGAAGCTATTTAAAGACTGCAGGGAGGAGGGAGGCAGCGATTTTAACTGCTCGAGAGGCGACGGTAAAAGTAGATGTAGCCCAAGTCCTTTGGAGGCCTTTCTGACAAACACACCTTGTGGTCATTGTAGATCACCCACCTGAATGAAGAGGAGTGAATATTATTCATTATACATACTGTTCAGAGCCATGAATACCACAAGATTAAATAGAATAAATAGAAAAAGTGACCAGATGTTACTGGATGCTACTGACCTTCCCTCTTTTTTGATGTGACAAACATAATGTCCAGACATTGTGGAGGCTCCCATGTGGCTGATGATGGCAAACACCTCATATCCTTAAGTGAAGAAAAGCCACAAACATAACAAACAAACTAACACAGAAATGTTGCAACATTTTAATTTGAAAAAAAAAGCCATTTCAAGGGTCATTAATGTCAGATTTCCTTGTGTATGTAAAGCACGTCAGGAAAACAGTCACATTACTCCTTCTATGCCAGAAAACGTTTGCAGAATTTCAGATTTTTAAGTCCTGAAGATTTCTTAAAAGATGCTTAAAAAGTCCAAAATCTGATGACCTTTTCTTCACAGAAAGATCAAGAATAGACACAGTAAGTGTGAAGCGCTTACGTCCTGGTCCATCTTTGACTCTTGGGCCTGATGTTTCTCTGTCTGGGGACAGCGTGGAGTCGCTGTGCGAGTTCAAGTTGGAAAAGGCGTTGTCGTTGGGCTCCGTGTCCGCCATGTCAGAGAACCCGTCGCTCTCCTCTTCCTCTGGGTGGGTGAAGATCCAGTCGAGTGCTCGCTCAAGATTATTATTCTAGAAAATCATAAAACGAAGCCAAGTTAAGAAAAAAAATACGTTGATATCAAGCCGTCTTTTTGTTAGCCAGTTTCACAGTTGCTGCAAACGAAACTGGTCATTCGATGCAGATTTTTAAAACACTTTCTGTACAGAAACTGAGCTACCTATAATACAAAGACTAACAGTAGTTAGCATTAGTATTCATGGAGGGGTTTGAACCAGCAACCCTCTGGTCACAGGACTAACTCCTCCCTCCTGAACCGCCATCACCCACATACTGCTCTAATAAAGAGCTGCAATCTTAGAGCATGCTACAGAAACCAGGATTAGAGATGTTTACTCTTCTAGTTTTGCCAATTTGTTGAATGCCCCATGATGAACATGATAAATGAGCAATCTTTCACTAGAGAAGTGGGAGGCTTTCATCTGTGATAAACTTCCCCCTGTTTGTTTTGGATCCAAAGCAGAGGTGTGACAGGTGGGGAATGAGAATCTGGGGAACGCATGTGGAGACGGCTTGGCTGATGGCATCTGCTTTTATCCCACAGAGAGGTCTATGGGGTCAGATAAACGTGCCCCACGCTCGATATGGTCCGGCAACAAACCAGCAGTGAGACCCCTTGCTGTTTCACACCTCCCTCCATCTTTCCTTCCCTCGGGAGGAATATGCATTCTTTGTTTTCTCTCCACTTCAACAACAACAACAGCAGCAGCAGCGTGTCTGCCAGTGAGCTCTGTGGCTTTACTAATGATAAACAAGAAAGCCCGGCATCTATTTTTGCTTCCTACCAGCCGTCTGCAGGGCTATTTTTGCTGAGAGGGGCAGTTTGAAATATGAAACATGAAATGTGAGAATCAGAGGCCATTTGGAGGCTGGAGGAACTTGGAAATGGAGGTGGCATTCTCTTTGACCTATAAAAGAAGTAAAAACATTTCATTTATTCCACACCATTTGTGACTATGAACTGTTTTACCAGCTGTCTGATGTTTTTGTTTGTTTCTCAACCAGAAAGTTTGTGCAACATGGAAGTGAGAGGAGGGGGCATTTGTGTGATGCATGGACTATTTGTAAACACCATGTAGAGCAGACATCTTTAATCACTCTGACATGTAGGACCGACTAAATCCGCATCTTGGAAAGTGAACAAGTAGGGCAGCCAGAGCCTTTTATGACTTACAGAGTTCACTTTTCATCGTCTCGCACAGTCTTTGCCCTCTTTTCAAATGCCACTTCACTTCCTGCCCTCCTCCTGCTTTTTTGCTCTTTAACCTAAGCTCCAGTTTCTTTGAAGTTCAGGAAAATGTTTCCTTGTGCTGCCAGATAGTTGTTACAGATGTGCTTTTAGCCCATCGTTTCTCTGAGACACTCAGCACACGGTGTAGGCGGTCCCTTTTCCATCCTCTCTCTTACTCAAGTTTGACTATTTCCACTTCCTTTCAAACTATCAACAGTCTGCATGAGAGGCAGACGAAGGGCCGTCCACCTAAGATTTCTCCTCTTTAAGCAGGTCAGACGTGACGGCTGTGTCTGCCCACGCTGAGACAGCTCAGCTCTGCTTGTTTCCAGCTAAAAGAACTCACTTTTCACTGCAAAGTTGATGGTCATAGCACAAAAGACTTACATTTGTAATTGCAGAGGAAAGTGGTTCCACAAAGTACTGTCAACTGACTGTCTGTCACACAATATCCCAATAAAATACATTCAACTTTTAATTTGTAACATGAGGAAATAATGGATACAAAAACTTTTCTTATGCCCTGCATTTATATCTAACAAACTGTGGCTAAGAATATGCCATCAGTCTCTATGAGGTTTGTTTACAAGCAATTTTAGTGCAAAGAAAGAACATATTATTTAAGTCCAGTAGGAGCAAATGAAGGAAAAGAAACACAGTAAGCAGATGACTGACCGTGGCTTTGAGAGCGCGGATGCTGTGATTGCGAGGAAATCCCATCGAGGTGAGGATGGCGATGCTCTCCTCCGGAGGCAAGTTGTCCAGTGGCGTCGCCCCCATGGGGCTGTCACTGGTAGAGGGAAGAGGATCCATCATTGAGGGCAAAGTGAGAGGTTCAGCAAAGTCTGCAAAAACAGAGGAAGATCATTTAAAAAAAAATAAAGAGACTATTTATTATTACTCAGAACATAGAAATAACACTTCAAGTCCTTGATGAAAGCCACCCAGTTTAATGATTTATTAGAAGGAGGAATAAAATAAAGAAATAAAGAATTAAAAGGAAGGTGGATAAAAAGTATCAGTATTGTGAATCTGATGACAAATTAATCAGACAGTACATACAAAATGTCTGCATAAAACTGAGGTAACTGTGCTCTCATGCATCATAATGACACGAGAAACAAAAACATAAGGCATGTTATTGAAATTTCCAATGAGACTGCATCTGGGCTGCACAGTGGCACAGTTGCCAACAACTAGAAGCCAGGAATCAGAGAGACCCCACACACAGTCCAAAAACATGATTGGTAGGTTAATTGGTCTCTCTAAATTGACTTTAAGTCCGAGTGTGTGCGTGATTGTTTGCCCTCTGTGTTGCTCTGTGATTAACTGGCAACCTGTCCAGGTTGTATCCCGCCTGATGCTCAATGACTGGCAGAGATAGACACCAGTCTTGCAAAACAAGCAGGTGTAATAGCTGGATGGAGGGAGATTTCATGCTGCATAGTGTTAATGCGGTTCTCAGCAGCACCCACCATATTTTTCTTGCCACTGTGACCCTTTGGTTGTTGTGTTGCTTGGAAACCAATCTGCAAAATGCTCTCCTGGTTATTTTTTATATCAAATTATTTGTGAGGAAAACGGTAGAGATGTGGCCCACCTGGAATAAAGTGGTAACCATTTCAGATTTAACCCTAAAAAAATAATAATAATCATGGTTTCCAGCCAAATTATCCTTCAACCACAAAACAAGGGCACTTTAAATAGACACTCTTGCACTGGTATTAGACAGAGCCTCTATTATAGTAATTGCCATAAATGAAAATGCAGAACATTATCTTCCAGGATCATTTTCCATCTCAACCTTGTAGTCCTGCGTCCGCGCTGGTAATAATCAAGTTGTTTTTATTCCCATGAAAATGGGCGTCTTCAAGATGTTATCATTAGAGCTGGGTCAGGAAACCATATTCTAACGGCCCATTGTAAACATGCTTCAATATTTTCTAAAAACTAATTTAGGAATAAATCAAATATAACAGACTGACCTTGTTAGCTAGCAGCATCAGCTAGAAAGTGTGCATTAGCTCTTTTTGTTAACAAGCTCACCTCTGCAGACAGACTATGTTACTGAAATATCTCAACCTGGTTTTTAAATGACTCATAAACAGGAACACAAAGTGCCCACTTCACGTCTTACGAAGTATTCGACATACAAGTAATCATTGCATTATTACCCAAAATAAATAAAATAAATTCTTCTGTGCTTATAGTACCAGAAGAATATCCTTTTATATCTAAACAACAAATATTTACAAAGAAAAATTTTATTCATTTATAAGATGATGCTGTGCTAAATTAGTTACGTTCACCACACAGAGAAAGACTCCATTTCTCCACCTGCACTTCACTTTTTGACTGTTTCTCAAATGTTTTCATGAACAAATTAAATTGCATTCAAAAATAGTGTCTTTAACGTCAGCAGCCCCCTGCTGATAATAAGACCAATGCACTTGAAGCATTGCATTTTCTTTTCCAGAAGACACTCGGTCTAAATTTACAAAAAGTAAGAAAGCTTAAGTGTCTGCTATGTTTCCTGCCAAACTAGGACATTTACTCTGTAAACTGAAAAAATCTAGAAGATGTAGCTTTTCTGTGACTCACTGAACAATCATTTAGTTTAGTTTAGAGGATTTGGTCATCCTCTCCAAAATGTTGATCAAGAACTTGGATACTGGTCGCCTACTGATGCTCTTGCATTGTCTTGTTGAAACATCCATTTTGGCAGCATTTTTTCTTCAGGTATAAGGCAACATGTATCACAATGTTTTCAAACTGATCCACGATACCTGCTATGTGCAAAAAAATAAGCTTCAACATCACAATCCTCATGACATGGAGCCTGATCCACAGTGATTCCCACTGCACTGTGGTTTGAATGTAGTGAAGGTCTTTGTTGCCCGTAGATCCAAAAATAACATTCTTTTACCCCTGAGGTGTGTTGTTTTCCAGAAATAGGACCTTTTGCAGTGGCTCTGAGGTTTCACACCAATTAATTATAACAGCACCAACAGGACTGATCGTTGGATGTTTCAGCTGTCCCATCATCTATTTCAATTATAATTTATCTTCGCTTCATGTTTTTTCTGCCTTTGGTTTCCATTCTAAAACATTTGCAATCATTTTAGCTAGGCCTACAATTTTCTATATTTCTATATGTTTGATGTAAAAAAATAAAAATAAAAAATGATTTTTGTGGCACAGATCCCATTTTTTGCACGGAACATCTTTGTAGCATTTTACGTTTATTAAGAAATCTACAAAAAGTTTGTGGAAATAATAGTTAAGTATCTTTAACTATGTTTTCAGGCTCTAAAAACTTGTGAAAAGATGTATAACTTTCTTCTGGCAAAACATTTAGAAGAATCTGAAGCAATAATAGTGAGAAAAAGGCTAATCAAAAAGAAGAAAGCAGAGCAAGAATAAAACTTTATGAAGCACACTTGAACAGCTGATCCTGCTGATATTACGGCGTCTGAATGCAGCCATTTTGCAGATGCATTAGTCCCATTTAAAGACTAACTGGTGGGAGGCTGCTCTAATTTCCATCCACTGTACAAAGGCTCTTTACATCCAGCAAGGGAAATAAAAAGTGACACGCGTTGACGCCTTGGGGGAACAGCTTCACTGCTGAGCAGCTCAGATACCCTGGGTCGATTTCCACTAGTTTTTTGTTGAGGATTGGTAATATACAGACATGAACAGATAAACACTTGCAGTCCAGGAGAGGAGATTGTCTGAAACAGTGTCGGCTTTCTATATATACAGAGTAGAAAAACATTAGATGTGACGTGTCTATCAGTTCAAATTACCTCTGTGCTCAGAAGGTCCCTAATAAATAAAGTTCTGCCTTTTCTCTGCTCCTCTCTGCACCCTCTGAAAGCCTGTAGACCCTGTTTAAAATTACAGCACAATAACTTTAAGCAAAGTTTTAGATGCAGTTGTTAGTGTCTTAAGTTCCTCAGGCTTCAGTTTTCCTTCAACACTAACTCAAAACCTTGAGAAACCTTTCGCAGGTTTTTGATGTCATGATTTAATTTTGATGGTGTGCAATTAGTTTTTCCACATATTTGCTGGCAACAAACTGCATAAACCCTTAATTTCTTGGGTTGCTTTCAAAATTGGATGTTCATAGACCCCATGATTTTTAGGATTAAAGCAAATGTTATGCTATTAGTCAACTCTGTTCCAGCACCTTTTGTGCATTTTATTAACAGAAGAGTAAAATCTACAAAAAGATGGATAAGGTGGAGCCTTAATTTAAAACATAAGAGCATTTATAAAAATCTATGCACCAGCCTTGAAAATTTGAGGCATTTCCTCAAGGAGCTTGTTCAGTTTCTGTCAAACACTCCCCCCCTCAGCACCATGCTGCCATTCTCTGTGAGACATTGCTGCCTTACCAGGCTCCTCCATGTGGGCTATGATCCAGTTGAAGGCCATCTCTGGGCCCATGTTTCCTGTGTAGTACACCGCCTTCCTGCAGGCCTCCAGTGGAAAACCCATCTCTGCCAGCTGCATAACGGCACCTTCATCTATCTCCGGAGCTGTGGTCAAAATAAACCAACATCAACAGCATACACTCACTGATTCAGCAGTAACAGTAACCCTCTCTCTCTGGGACTCATTAGACAAAAGGACCAGAGGAGAATTGGGTCCGGCGAGGCATCTTTGCCCAGGTAATATTTATCAGTGAGAGAAATGAGCCTGGCTAAAATAAGCAGAGCTACATTAAAAAAGAAAAAAAGTTAAGTTTGCCTGAAAGCACAGAGAGCACCTGCAGTACCTGCTCAGCTAGTGGAGGCATTCATCACAGCTGTCTAAAGGAAAATACACTTTTTAAAGCAAAGCATGCATCTAACACATTTGTTCAAGGAGTGTGAGTCAAAAGAGAAATAAATACTCACAGTCAGTTGAGCTCATGGAGTTATCTGGAGAAAAGGAGGAGAATGATTGCTTAGAGGTAGCAGCACACAGTGAGATCAATAATCACAAGTTGTGCTTTTTATTTCTGCTCAGACCATGCCGCAGGAAGAGTGAAGCTTTAAAGGATTTACAGATGTTCCCTAAACGCCTCACATCCATAACGTTTTATGAGACCATCACAAACACTTCTCCTCGCAGCTTTAAACACTGCAAACACACAAACTTCATTAAACGAACATGAGGAGCAGCCCAATTTTAATTAGAGGTAATGAGAAGCAAATATGCTCGAATTCTGATGCCATGTTTCGAAGCAGTCCCTGCATTATTTTGTGTGATTTATGCTCATTCACTCCAGAGAAAATATTTACTTTGACAGTCATTTGTACAGTAAAGTACATGCACTCAATAGTTTTTTGGCCTCTGAAGAACAGGTTCTTCAACTAGTCTCCTGCATAGATTCTCTGAGGTTTAGCTCTGGTCAGCTTGGAGGGCAGCTGACTCTGGTGATGGTCATCAGAGCAGGCACTGGGACCTTTAGCACTTTTTGGCACTTTTTGGCAGGTGCTAAATCCTCCTGGAAACTTAATTCCTGTTCTCCTCAAATGAAAAAGCCTTATGGAGATGCAGAAGTGCTCTAAAGTGCCCTGGTTGATTGCTCTGCTGACGTTGAAAGAAAAAAACCTACATCAGATGGCTCCCTGAATCATGGCAGGCTGTAGAAACCTCTCTCTGGACGTGAAACAGCTTGTACTATGTGTCTCTCCACTCTTCCTCCAGACTCTCAGACCTTTTCCAGTGAAATATAAAATGTACTTTCATGTGCCTTTTTCCTCTTAACTCAGACAGAACTTCAGCTGCAGTCCACATTATTTTAATCTTCTCCCAAACTTTTCAAAGGATTTTGCTTCAGAATCTTCTCAAGGTTGTAGTTAACCTTTATGCTTTTGAAGCTCTTTCCACTTTTTCATTCACTCAACTTTCCATGTGACTTATAAGGTGTTGCTGACTTAAGCTGTCAGTCTTCTCAATAATCACATGACCATAATGCTAAATTTCTACAGGAACTTTCTTTTTTTAACCAATATTTGTGTTCAAAATTGTAGCTTTTAGAGAAACAGAATTTTGGGTTTTCATTAGATGAAATTCATAATGATTAAATTATCACAATAGAACACCTAAAAATTATACATTTATGTAATGACATATGCAAGTTTCATTTTTTGAAACTGAATTACTGAAATAAAATAACTTTTCATCATCGTCATATATTTTCTTATTATAACTCATAAAAAGAAATTGAGATTCCAAAGACACACAAAAAAACATTGTTCTGTTCCTATCTTCATCTATAAATAAATTGTTTTGTACATGTTCTTCCTGTGTAATATACACAGGTAGAACACACTTTCCTTTGAAAAAGGAAATGTTGTGCTCCTATCCTCTGCTACATTTTAATTTAGTTACAAATGAAATATTAGTTAAAACAGTTTTGCATATTTATTCTTGTGGCTTATTTTCATGTTTGAATACAAAAAAAAATAACAAGAAAAGGTGAACTATCTGAGTGTGTGCTATCCAAGATGCTTTTATTAGTCTGATGTATTAAAACAAACATTGAAGCAAAACAACTAATTTCTGTTTTTCTCCCCCTAACTGGTCTAAAATATTTTAGCACACAATTGATTAACAGACTGATGAGCAATATTGTGGCTCAGTCAGGCTACAAGGAAACACGTTTGTGGGCTGCGGTCTAATCAGTGTGAAGCATTGATGCATTTGGAGACAAAAGGGTGACCAATCATTCATCACTGCCAACTCCAGCCAGATAAGATAACAAACCAGTGGTTCATTGGCAGCAAATAAAAATTCAAGATATTAATATGAAATAAGCAAATATAGGAGCATATTCAGAAACAGCAAGTTGTTGACTCTGACCTCTTTTCATTTCACAGTTTTAATCAGATTAAATACAAGAAGAATGTCATTGTAACCTTGCATAAATGCATTTGAGCAGAAAACTCAGAGAAAATAACACTGAAATAAACTTAATCAAATGAGAAAAATGATTTATAAGTGTGGTCGCCATTTTTGTGGTCCTGTAGTCAAATTGTGAGATTGGTTTCTGAACATGCGTCCATTGAATTGTAAATTTGGTCAATGTGAGGCAAATAAAGGGCGTATAAATATTGGCAAAAATTACGGGTAAAAGTATTTATGTGTTTTTAAATCCAGCTCAGTGAGAAATTATGGTTTGTGAAAATGTACGTTTTCTTTTTGAACACTTTGATTGGTCACAATCAGTGCAATGCATAATAAGTGAGGCAAAATGTGCACTTAGACATGGAAAGGGTTTTATACACATTCTGTTTGTACAGAGCTGTGAATAAAGAACAAATTTCTTCTTTTTGTTTTTTTGTCACAAAAATATTTCAGATCAAACGAGTTTTTAAATCGGACAAATACAATTTAAATAAAAATATAAAGTCTGGCTCAAACCACTTCATTTATTAAGAGGAAATAATTGTCTAACTTTTTTTGAAGAAACCAACTAGTAAATAAACCGCTAAAGTTTCAAATATTCATGTCTGTGTTTCTCCAATTAGGTGTTCCAAAAAAATGTCCAAAACTAGAATCTAAAAGAAGGATACTTTTTCTTTTCTTAGACATTTTACAACATTAGAAACCTTGATTAAGAAGCACAGAACATTTTTGGCACAGTTTTGTGCCCATACATAATGACCAATAAAGGTATGTTTCATATATTCTGAATCCAACTCAGTGTGTTCAGGACAAGTTGTTCAATTCTGAAATATTTAGTCCTGCTCAAAGAAATTCCAATTTGTCTTTTTGTCCTCCAAGTTTCCTTTACCGAGATGTAGCAGCCTAAAGTCTTTTTTTAAATATCCTGGTTTTGTACTTTCAATGAGCTACTGCAAGTGTTGCCATCAGCTCTCCCTCTATCTGCCGTAATTCTTCTAAAATATTAGGAACACACCAACAATTTCAAGTAGATTAACTTTTCAAAAGGATGTGGATTGAACAAAGATTTTTAAAAAATCAAATTAAGTCTCACAAAGTAAAAATCTGGTTAAACAAAGTTTCTAGAAAAGAGAAGCCAGCATTTCCTCCAAAACATAGCAACATATTTCAGTGTCTGTTCTCCAAAAGCTCAGTGATGTGCATTAAAAAAATCTCACATGAAATAAACACGACTTTCAGCACAACAACCTTAATTGACCGAGCATTTCCCTCCCCTGAGATTCTCACTGAATGTGTACTTAGGAGAGAACTGGGGTAGCTTTGAGCAGATCATACTAAAGACAATTTCACAGATGACTGGGTTAAAAAAATACTCCACATGAAGAATCTATCTGCTTTTAACAACTCTCATTGAAGTTTCTTCTCAAAACAACTGGAAGTTGTGACTTTGTTGGACAAAAAAAAAAAGTCACAACTTGTGTGTGACTCAACAAAGGCACAAAAATTGGTTTGGCGAAACAGAAGCGCAGGCGCTCAGGGAAAACGCTGCCCTTTAACAACACTAACGGGACTGTGAAATTGAAAATGCAGGGCCAAAAATGCCCCAAGTTGTAAAGAGTGCCATTTAGCATTTTCTTCAACGAGTTCATGCATCACCACCGACGCTGCTGTGGGCCACTGCTTGTAAATCATGGGAGACCCCTGTCCGTGAAGTGAGGCTGAGAAAAAGCACTACTATTCCACAACTCTGCTCCACAAAAAACTGGTACATCATAGGAGATGTATAAACCTGAACACAAAGAGTTATATATTTTTTAGCGTTCACTTTAAAACTTTTAAGCAGACTGTTAAATCACCAATCGTATGTTTACATTCTGTCAAATGTAAATATAACAGAATGATAGAAATAATGGATATTTCTGTCTATTTGCAGTAGATAGAAATATCTCAACATCAGTAACAATAACAATATTGAATAAAACACCTTGCAAATGTTTTAACTCATATATTGCAAAAGCATATTCTGCTTGCTGTACAGAAGTTTCCAAAATGTCAAACAGTGGTCTGGATGAATAAATAAGGGTATATTTTTCTAATATGCATACTTTTTTAGTAATAATCTCGGTAATACAATGGGGCTCTGTCAGCTTTCTTTTTCTCTGAAGATAGTAAAAACAGGTCAATCTAAAATAAATATTACTTAGAATCGAAACTGACTGCAATCATTTTTCTGTTTTTCAACATTTTATCTACGACAACTGAAGCATTTTACGAAAAAAAAAAAAAAAGTAGCTGAATTATATTTGTATAAGAAGGCTTTAACTGAGCCAGAACCAAAAACTAGAGTTTGTATTTAATGTAAGTGCACAAAACAAAAAAGAAGATTTTTCTTAGCTCAAAACAGAGTAAAACCTTTTAGCCATATTGGTCAATGTCATACCTCTGGTGTCTTCCGGTAAAACAATGGGAGGCATGAGATCCGGCAGCTCCTCTTCGCCCGCCTGCAGCCCTGTGGCTCGGAGCCGGCTCAGGTCCAAGAAGTCTGGAACATCGATGGCCAGGTCTGTAAAACCCAACATGCACACTGGTGTCAGTTGAGGAGATTCATTAACAACTATGCTTGGCAAGCCGCTAAACACCATAAATAATTTCACACAATAACAATAACAAACATGTCTGTGTTTATAATCAAATTTATGCTTTCAACAGTGTTGATAAATATGGATGATGAAAAAAAATGTTATCTTCAAACTGCAGGTGAATTATTTATGAATTTGTATTAGTTTGTCAGACATGTAAATGCTTTGCAAAATGCAGGTTGGTGCTTCCCTCTGCTGGTTATGTTTAGTATTGCAGCACTTAAGGAATGTCAGTTTCAGCTCCAATTAATCATTTCAAGGCTGTAGCTTAATTACCAAGCTTCTTTGGCACCCAGTCAATACCAAAGGTGAATTTCTTGATCTGCACAACAAGATACTCTGGGAACGAGGCGAAGCGGGACGTTCTAGGAACGAATGTTTAAAAAAGATTTGGATTAAAAACCAGCATTAAATGACAAATAATAAAGTGATTTTATAGGATGAATGTCTGATTACTTCACTCCAGCTGACTTGGCCTGCAACGCTGAACTCCAGAAATCGGGGACGTTTTCAGGCTCCATAAAGGCCTGAAGGCAGGCTGTGAAAGGGATCCGTGCTCGCACCGGTTCAGGAGGAGCCCGCGTGTTCTCCTCAGCTTCTTTCCGCTTGACCTCATATGCAAGCAACTCCTCTGGAAAAATCAGAGTTCAAAGTGAGAGGAATTGTTAGCAAACCAAAGATCTCTCAATCCTGCATGTGCATTAAAGGTGCATGTATGTAAGACTTTGAGTAGACCCTTCTGCTGTGAGATTCTTAAAACTTATATACACCTTATATACACCTTTGGTTTATAACATCAATTTTCAAGTAGTGTGAAAAATGAATTGCATAGGCAGTTTAAACCAGGACCAATCAATCCCTTGTTGCTTATGTATTTCTGAAAGCCCAAATGAAGTTTGATGGAAGGGCTCATTAATGCAAAAACAGCCACTGTCTGTACCTCTATTCGTCGCTGCTTCTATGGGAGCCGGTAGCTGGATGCAGTAGTCGACCCGCTGAGTGTAACGAACCCGCCGACTCTGACAGCACTGAACTCTCTCCTCCACCAAGAAACGAAATGAGTCGCTTGGATTCTCTGAACCAGCACTGTTTCTCTGAAAAAAAACAAATTCAGAGAAAAACATAAACCCATTGAGACAAAGTTTTACTAATATGTAAAAGCTAATAAGCTGAACTTTTTTCATTTGTGATAGAAGATTACAAAACCAGCAGATTAGAGAATATATAAACAAGGAGCCACTGCATTTAGAGACGGAAGGAGTGAGGACTGAAAATACATCTTTTCAACCGAATAGATCTAAATTATGTTCACAGTATGAAGTTAAATTTTAGCAAGAAACTTTGCTATGACAACACCTAACGTCACCCTTCTGCTCCTTTTGGCTTAACTCAATTTCCATGTATTGCTCCATCGCAGACGTAGCAATGACTATAATTATTATGCACTACAAGTCTGGCCACAATTGAGAGGGAACGACTGCTTGTTCAACACATCTGAGTCAAATGAATAGTTCATCACCAGGCCTCAAAAGACTAATGACATGCTGAAGAGGTCATTTATATTTCTGCTGTGCTGGACATACAGGTATTTTAAATGTGCGTGTAAATAATGTAGTTTACTGTACTTAGATCACAGAGCAATGCCACTTAATCTCAAATTTATCTTTAAATTTTGACAGACTCGCATCTTTTTAGAAGCTCCACCATATTAATTATTTTCCTGGAGCTGCTCAGGTCTCCAGTGCCAACATAGTATGGAATCACTGGGGCCTTTATTTGAGCGAGGTATGAAAGGGAAACCAGTCTGCATGGCTATGGACTGTTGGAAATGCAAACCTTCTATTCTAAGAAGCTACAGAAATAGATAAGCTATAATTTCACCCAGGCCCAGCTTGTAGAGTGACTGATGGTTGTGGCTTTCGTCTGGTTATCTGCCTGCATAAACCAGGGAGTCGTTTACAGGCAGCTTTAAAAAATATCAGCAAGTGGATTAAAAGGAGAGTTTAGAAATTGTTTAAGAAGTTCTGTTTATACTGAGACAACATGAGAATCTTTAGCAAAGGGAGAAATAAGTTGATGTATTTAATTAATTCAACAGGACAGAAGTGTCAGGTTCTTCTTGGGGGCTTGATTATGTCTGATAACCAGGAAATGTAAGAAAGCATTTTCTCATCACAACATGTAACTGATAGCAGTGAACATAAGTAAACCTTGCATCAGAAAAATCTATTTAAAGATTTTTGTACTGCATGTATGAGCTGACTATGGAGGTTCTGAACTTCAAAACCAGCAAGAACCAATCAGAAAGGTTTGAAACATTGGATCAAAGTTTAGTTGAACAACTTTTCAAAAAAGAAGAATGTTTTTGTTCAATTTGTGAAAAGAACAAACTGAAACAAAAAGAGTATTTGGCTGACTATATTTCGAACTGTTCATAGCAACATCATTTTGCATGAAAACCTCTTTGTGTCACTCTAGTGGCGGTTTCTGGAAATGCTTTGTTCAGTTTGTCCTCTACAGCGACAGACAGAAAGTTAGCTCCTGTACGACTGCAAACACAATGTATATTCTGCAGATGCTGAAGGGATTGATTCACTTACTTCCACCAAGTTGATAAGGTGCAGGAAGAACTCATGGGCATCTTGTTGTCTGTTGGAGGAAAACTCTGGGTGTCCCCTGCTGACCAGTGCCTTGAGCATTCGGGGAGAGATTCCCCTCTGTTGGTGCTGCAATGACAAAAATCAAAACATTGAAAGAGTCATGCACACCAACTGTTCGTGAGAAGTTACCTTTCTCAAAGAAAAAAGTGTGACACTAAGACTAGCTAAAAAAAAAAAAAAACTAATTTGGTTCTGAAATGAGGCATAAAATCTGGACAAGGTGCCGGAGACTTCACTGTGGTAACTAAAATTACTCACCACTAAGAAAATGTGACAGGATTCAAGTATTCAATGACATCCTTAAAAGTGAACTCTTAGCTCAACCTTATATTTGTTAATTTCTTGCATAATAAACCTTAAATACTCTTTTCACCACATTAAAAAGGGTAAAAGTTTGAATTATCTTTTGTGTTAACCTGATAGTGTCACTGGACAGATGGTCCACTTGTCTTCTACTGTGGTTGGAGAGTAGTACTCAGGTGGGTTACATTTACAGTATACATATTTTCTGAACATAATTAAACAAATACATTTCATTTGTGCTTATAACAACAGGACAAACCAGTTCTAGGGGCACTGAACCCTGACATTCATTCTCACAGCAAACAAGTCCATATCTCAGCATGCCAAAATTTCCCATCATCAATAAATTTAGAAAGCCAGGTTAATGATATATATGTGATTTCACTGGTTGAGAATCCCTCTGTGCAAACTGAGCACAGCATGTCAGCACAAGTTCACCGCCATTTCCTCTCAGCTGTCAAGACGTGTCCAAACTTGACTCCTCCATCACATTTAAGTTCAGGATCACAGCTTTGCCCTGTCAGTTACTGGGAGCAATCAGGCTAAAAACAAGCCATGAGGTCACAGAAAGTCCTGGTCTATGCAATACTTCAACTACTTTCTCACATCAAGAAACCGCTACATTCATTAGAAGGAAATTACTTTGTAATGCTTTATAATGCCATGACCACTGATTCCGTCACATCTCATTTTCAACATTGGCCATGGTCTCTCAGTTATGGAGCAGGACATACCCCGTTTGATACCTTGTGTTCTTCTTTCATCACCTGTTCAATGAGCTCAGATTTCATGGGTGGTTTGGAGTACTGGCCTGAGAGGAGTCCGTGTCCCAGTTTAGCCCTGATGGACGAAAACGGGCAGAAAACAGAGTCTCATTTCACATTCATTTGGCTTCATTTCCTGTCCATCACACTCTGAAGTTACAGCAATTCTCACTTGAAACAAAAATATGTTTGTGAAGGGACAAAAAACACCTTATGGCAATGGTTACACGCCATAGCTACTATCTGGGGTAAGAAATGAAGAAGAAAAATCTTTCCAGCCACACAACATTCAAACCTTTTATTTATGAAGATAAATATGCGTGCTGATATCTCAAACATATTACATGTTTTTGTTTTATATTACGCCTTGTTTGCTGCTCTGATTCCTGTTGAGGCAGGGGAAATATGAAACAGGGCAAATCATTAACCAAATTTAGATTTATCAGAGTCAACAATAAAACCAAGACTATATTTATAATCACTTTAAATCAAAAATACCCCTGTGCAGACAACACCAAACTTTAAAAAATGGGGATGAGGCAAACTTACCGTATTATTCTACTATAATTATCTGTGCAAACTATGCATCCTCTTTAATGGTTACCACCAGACAAATTATTCTTGTCATAAAAGCTAATAATAGAAAGAAATACATTAATGTGTTTAAAAAAATACTAGAGGATCCTTGTCATCTAGAGATGACATTAAAATAAGTAAACAACTTTATCAAATTGCCAAATACCATTTGCCTTATGGTATAAACATGTTTATTTGGCCACCTGTCTGATAGCTGCTGTCAGGCTCTTGAGGCCTCTTGCAACACATGTCCTTCAATAAAAAATGTTGATTTTTTTTTTCTAAATAGAGATAAAATAAATAGTTACTGCACTATACAAATTATGCAATTTATGCTTATGTAATTTAGGTTACTTGTTAATGAAATTTTGTTTTTAAATATCAATAACACTGACAGAGCAAGCTGGAAAACACCTTCTCTTCTGTCACTGCATTTCATAACTCTCAGGAGTCACTTACATCTGTGTGGCAAAATCCTGGGTGGGGTCAAGGGGTGAGTAGTCAAATATCCTCTGAAGGTTACCTACATACCTAAGACAGAAAACATATGGGGGTTGATATGTGGGTTGACACACAGACATTGCCTCCAGAGAAACATGTGAGGAACTTAAAAGACTTGCTGCAGGTCAATGAGTTATTGAATTATCATCTATGATTATAGACAGCCAAATTTGTTTTGGATCAGCCAAAGGAAGTGTCAAGTGTCAAACCATAATCAGATATAGAATCTGCAGAGGAAGCTAAAGATTAGGGTGATGTTACAGAGGCCTTTCAACTATAATGACCAGGAGTTAATCATCAACTACATGCAAAATCTGGTCATATAGGAAAGTCATTGATAACTGCCAGTTGTAAATAAAAACATATTTTAAAAAAAGATTGATACTCCAGTTACTCTATTATGTTATTATTTACAAATAGTGAAAACGGTGTGAGTATGTCAAAAGTTATGTCATCAAGGATTTCTGTAGTTAAAAAAACAAAAACACTGCGATATGAATGTGTCACAGCGTACAGTACTCACATCCTCTGGAAATCTGGGATGCTGAACAGGACCTGTAGCACTGTGCTGAGGTAGCAGCTGTTTCCCAGGTTTTTGATGCCAGTGTAACCAGAACCAAACACCGCCTTCAGCTTCATGCCCGACTCTTGGATCACTTCCCACTCACTGACTCGCGGTCGGGGGTTATTGTCTGTGTGGTGTCCATTTTCTGTCTGAAATAGGAGGAGATGGAGATGACATGGACGATTTTATGTGAAGAATTTTCTTTGTTTTGCAGAAATGTTGACAAAACGTCTAATATAGCTCTAATAAATTATATTTTGACACATTTTCTTTAAACACTGCAGCTTTTTTGAATTGGATTGAGTTCATAAAAAGTGAAATTAGTCCACTTACTCTCCTCTGCATCTGTAGCATGTCTATCCCAAAGTGTGACAAGTGCTCTGACATGTGTGGGTCCAAAACAGCCTCTTCCTCCTCAAACGAATAAACATCTGTAATAAAAATGGCGAGTAAATCACTGTGGCAAAGTTACTAATAAAAAAATAGATAAATGATTAATAATATGAAGCCATGGCCATACAGACACAGAATCTGCTTCTAATGAAATATACTCACCATCAAAAAACCTAGTTTATCACATTTTATTATTATGTGCTATTGTATCAAAAAACAGCACAATAATTGCCATTAGTCATATTTTTGATGATATTAATAGATATTGATGTTCACATGGCAATGTAGAAAAAAATAATAAAAAGTAACAATCCCAACCACACTGTTCTCCGGTTTGCAAACATTACTATTATTGTCATGGTAAAGATACGATAATTGCCCAATACTAAACATACTGGGACACTTTAGATAACAATAACCATAGTGGTTATTGTGCAACTAAAAATACACTGTAAACAATTTACATTTGTAACAGAATTGGAATGGGCAGCTACCACTCCTTAGTTTCAAACTGTGTGCCTAAAAGTCTACTTACGACAATAACTACACCTTCTTTTAAAAAAATATTACAAACCTATAACAGAGCAGAGCACTTGGATGTTTCAAATACTTAAATTCTGTTTTGTCGATGAGCTGCCGCATTATTTGGTTTTGATTTGCATTGTTTATTTATGCATGTGTGGAGGTCGCAGGGGCAGACTTATTACTGTCTTTATTTTATTCTTCTTTCATGGCTGGAACTTAAATAAAATTTGCTTTTTAAGAAAAAGAAAACCTGCTTCACAACAACAGTTCTGACAATGTGCCCCTTATAAATATAGGTTCAAGGTCCAGTGGAGGAATGGATGAACTGGGATACAAGCAAACTGCTGCAATACAAAGAGGATGTTTTCAGCCCAAACTGCAGTTGTTTTAGACTAATTAGAGTCTAATTATTATTTGTACATATGTCTAATTATTAGACATATTTCTAATGTAAAACTGAACTAAAAGGAAGCACTAAATAAATAAAACATGGGGACTTTAAATCAAGAGATTCTGGATTTAATTCATTTTAAGAGAAATTCTTGTAAAAACCTTCATAAAAGTTTGCATCCCTGTTATGTAAAACATTCTCAAACAATAAGATTTGCAGCTTTATAATATGACTGTGTTGTGATAAATCTAGCAGGCAAAAAAATACTACCCAGTAATTTGATTCTGACAACAAATAAATGCTGTACTGTGTATATTTTTCAAAGTAATGATAGTTTTGGGGTTTAAGACTCATTGTAAGAACACATATCATACACAGTTTGTGGTTGTGTTGTGTTTTGTTGTGACCAGACCTGCTCCGTCTGGAGTGATGGTGTCCAGTTTAACAGCCAGTGGGTAGTTGGTCTCTCTGTAGTGCTCCAGAGCGTGGCCGTTGCCCCCGCTCCCATCAAAGAACCACTTCCCACAAAGAACCGAACCGTCTGTCAGGTTCAGCCACAGGTTCTCTCTCATCTCGCATTTCTGACACTTCCAGCCACTGGCAGCAAAACCACAGAAACAAAAATCATCTAACAATCTCATCAACAAAACATAATTTTTAATGATTTCCATTCATGTTTTCTCCTTTCTTGTAAAGAAACAAAGAATATCACAGAGATATTAGGCCATAAGCTTTATTGAGGTGTATTTTTTATAAGCAACAAACACTAAGTTGACAAAAATTTGCTAAACCCTTTCAGAAACAAAGATTGACCAGAATATCCAAGAACAAATGAATCAGAATATTATCTTTTTATCTTTCACTTTTAAACTGAGTGGACACTTTAGCTCTGATTCATATACATACTGCAGTCTAATGTATTTTATGACTGAATAAGAAGAGCAGTCATCCTATGATTAATAAAGATTAGAAGTTTGACTCCAAAACCTTTATAATAATCATCTTTATGCAAATGATCTTTGTGCACCGATTAAAACAAAACGTCTTCTAAATAGTTAATAGTCTTTTTTCCCACAGAAGTTGTAAAAAGTGTTAATAACATCAATTTCTAATTGAGAATAGACATTAATTAGTATTTGCTGATTTGCACATGGTTGTACTATGTTAGGTCTACCTGGGTGGGATCCGGACTCCGTTATCCAGCTGTCTGAGGCTTCTGGCATGTCTTGACACCTGGATCTCCTCCTCCCATGACTCGGGTTCTTGCTTCTTGTAAGCTGAAGGTGCGTTAAGCACTGCATCACAGGCTATGGTCACCTGGCATCAGCACGGCAGAACACGGTTAGGTTGGAGGTAACGCACAAATGAATTCAGGCAGTACAAAGAAACTACATTTCCACATGAAACAGTGCACACAACAAGATACATTAGCCATGCAAGGTTCATGCTAGAAATTATATAAATGTGATACAGTGTGTTTGATAAGGTATAAAAACAGAAGGGGTGAAATTAAACTGAGACAAAATCACATGTCAGATTTGACATCTATTTCAGACTTGTATAGAAAATTAAGTCCTTTTGAAGGATTAAAATACAGGAATAATAAACCCACTTTTATGCAATTTACAGACAATTATAATTTACCACAAATAAACCCCGCTGGATACAAATATGGATTCTAAGTGTTTATGCTCATCCTCAATCACACACAAGTTGTTTCAAGTTTATTTCTCCTGCAGATGCAAATTCAGAAAAAAATCAGTAATAATGCCTCTTTTAAACTACAACATATAACTGAGAATGAATCTGTAACTTCTGTATCAGGTGTTCTGATAAAAATAGCAACAAACAGACAGGCATGCCAAAGTGAAGATTTAAAAAGAAAAAGTAGAGAAGTATCACAAAACAAGCAAAGAACCAAAAAAATTGAAAGCATCAACATGTACACCTAGTGGTTCCCCAGAATCATGTTCTACTGAAAACATAATGTTTCACTAGATGCCGTTTTGTCAAAATGATTTGTTTTACTGAATCTAAAAGGTAACAGATTGCAGCTTCTCTAAAGGGATCATATAGGTTTTTTTAATGAGGAACTTTCAGGTACTCTATACCTCACCTGCAGCAGTCATCTTAACCTCATTTGGAATAACCACATGAATGTAATCTGAAAGATCAACATTAAAGGTCCTCAAAAATAAGTTTGGCATCATTTTTATGTGTTTAATAAAAATTATCGGTTTTGCTATGATAGGCTTTTCCTTACAGTGACAACTCAGTCATCAAATGAATTAAACCATGTTTTGCAAGTTAATACAGATCTCTCAAAGATATCTGAATTTACATTGAGGCAAGCATCAGATTTCAAACAAATGTTTTTCAAGACAAATGCTTTTTTTATTATTATTATTATTTTTCAGTAGCTCGCAGGTCAAAATCTAATGAAAAGGGAACATCTCATCCAACCAAAAATATTCAAAAGCTGCAGGTAAGACAGACACGGTTGTTTCACAATTTATTTCAAAAACCTCAACTATTCCTTTTTTAATTCGTAGACCTGACTGTCCTGAAGCCGGGGAACCACCAAGCAGACGTTTCCCCTCCAACATGCACAGAGACACACAGAAACAACTCACTGACCAGAGCGGGCAGCTCCTCAATATTTGGTAAAGGGATCTCGAAGTGGTCTGGGAAAATGACGAGCTTTGCCTCATCCTCATACTCATAGTCCTCTCCGTTAAAATCTCGGTTTAGCTCTAAATCTTTAAGGGAGGAAGTAGGATTATTAGGTGTAAGAGTGATCACAAGTTTAAACCATTAAACAAAATGAAAATACTAAGAGAATGATACTTAAGCATCATTATTAAATTAGATCTATAAGTGGAACCCTGAGAAACTCAAGGTGCAGGGTCCAAATCTGGACCACCATAGCTTTTTAGGTGGATATCTACACCAAACAGGAATAAGTAAAAACAGTTGCATGATAAACATTATTTTATCAATCACATCAAAGTGGTTTTTACCACTGTTTTGCCAAATTATATCAGCATGAAAAGAGATTAACGTCTTCTTTTTATTTTAAGAAGCATTCATCAAATTCAAACATTTTGACAGCTTGTTAAAGGATTTTATCAACAAAATTATGCACAATTGTCCCTTAGAATAAAGACATATGGAATAAGTTCAACACGCCTCCTATACAATATGAAGAAAATTGTGATGCCATTTTCTTACTGAAACCGGGTTTTTTTTCTGGTTTGAATTTAAAGTTATATTAAATCAGAAGTGATGCATAGTTTCATATAAAAAAGTAACTGATTTCAAAGAAAACAAAAACAAATAAAATAATTGAACAATTTTAAGCAGCTCAGACTTATTTTGTAACTGACCATAAAACAAAATACATTTCTTTCCCAATAACCGACAAATTATTTTATAAATTTGTTTGATCAATCACATATTTCATCAATGAAAAACTTTCCTGTGACGTTACTACTATTATTAATAATATTATGGCAACTGGCTGGTTAAATGGAAACACATGATGTTTGCAGTCAGCTGTCTGATTAGATCACAGAACCGGTATGGATACGTCGAACCGGGTCAAAGATCTTAAAGGGACAGCGAAAAATGTCACAAAGAGTAAGACAGCAGATGTCGGTCAGACAGGATAAGAAACGCATGACAATTAGCCTGAGGTGGGAAATATAAGTAGAAATAGGAATATGAATGGAAAATGGAGTAAGAGGAGGGAATTCCTCAAACAGAGAGGCCGGTGGAAGCCAAACGCCTGGGCTTTGGCGAGATGCGTCATCGCTTCAGTTTGATGTGTGTCAGCCTCAGCAGGACACTGACAGGTGGCAGCAGCTGAGAGGCCGGCTCATGATTGGAGGAGGCACCGGGGTACACTTGCCACCCCTCCCCAACCCAGAGGAAGAGATGAAGAAAAAGGAGGAGGAGGAGGAGGAGTGGGTAGGCCAAGCTTTGATTTAGACCAGTTAGCAACCACATATACAAATAAATAGGCTATTATTAGAGGACAGGGGTTGGTGGAGAGAGCTCATCAGTGGAAATATCTAATGGTTATGGTTGTGGCCGGTTAGAACGGCAGCTGGCTGACAACAAACAAACTTTGATAAAGTTGTATTGGATGAACTTCCCAAGCTGACAGAGATGCCTCTAATTATCCTACAGACATAAAAATCACCGGTTCAATGAGAAAACTGTAATCAGACGACGCTGCACTACTTTTAATGATCTTCTGAAAGAAACACATCATCCAACCCAAGATGTTCCTAAAAGGCTAAAGCAACTCTGGGTTGGACTTGTTTTAATGGTTCTTTGGGATGTTTCTAATTAAGAGAGGATTTGCAGTTGTGGAACCAGAAATGGTGTCTACAGAGAACTACTTCTTCAGACTGACACAGAAAATAATGTCAAACTGTTATTAAGTGCTCTTTTATTATGCGTATCTGATAAGAAGCTTATACCCAGAGTCTGGACTTGTCTCTGAACCCAGCAGCAAAAAGCAAGGTAAACACTCCCTTTGAGCATATGCCTGATAGAAAACAACAACTTTGTACTGAGGCTAAGTACCAATTTATGCAAAGTGCCAGCAGCAGGTGATTGCTGGTACATACCTTTTTTTGCCTTATGTAGCATTTTTCACTGACTGGTTGCTATTTCTTGAACATACAATAATCATCTACATGCACACACCATCATCATTCATTAAGGCCATGTAAGTCTTAAACTATCAAACCAAGCCAGTTTACGCAGTGTCACTGTGGCACAAAAGATTTTACTACTGCTGAACCAGGTTGTGGTAAACCAGATATAGTCAAAAATATATATATTGTGTGAGAAATTATTTCATTTCTTCTAATTTTAATGTGGCTGAAAAAAAACAGTAGGGGAAATAACACAAAAAATGAAAAAAGCTTTAATCAGATTTGTGAAACGAGTCTTCTGATACCTCATCTGTTCTGTTTACGTTTCTTTCTTCCCATGATTTCACGCAAGGAAGCCATGTGTTTGAGGAGTTGCCTTAAAGTACTGTCACAAATATTCATCTTTTGTATCTCCAGAGTAGTGAAATTATCGTTAAAATCAGAAACTTACAAAGTAAAATCAACAGGACTCTCCCACATTGTACAAACCCAGTGTTTGTAACAATGTTTCAGCATTTTAAAAATGTATATTCCCTCTGTCATTAACTTGACATTGAGCAAAAATATTAATTACTTAGGTAACTGTAACAAACCTTAACCTGACTAATTCTGAACAAACACACACACAAACGCATACCGGCAAATTCAAGACAGTTAGCAAAAATTTGAAAACAGCAGTAATATTCTAAAATCTGGGCCTTCTCAGATAGAAGCAGGCCAGTAGGGCTCCCAAAAGGTCAATGATAATAAAAAAAAAAACAACAACAGTGCAAAATCAAAAGAACACGGAAGAGTTTTCTTTGTCACACACTCCAGTGGGTGGAGATGATGTGAACGGAATAAGTTAAATTGTCCTCAGGAACTGCCGACAATTTTACTGCTGAGCTAAATTGACAATCTTGTCATTTTCCATTTGTTTGTCACAGTAAGCTAATAGATTTATTTAAAATATATTTTTTAAGATTTTCACATTGCAGTATAGAAGCATGTCACTCCAGTGAAAATAACATACCTAGAAACACTTTTCCATTTCTTCGTCTGGGGATGGCACCTCCGGCAGCACCTGTGGTTTTCTGCAAGAAACAAGTAGTAACAATATTATATATATATATATATATATATATATATATATATATATATATATATATATATATATATATATATATATATATATATGCAAAAAGATATTTGTTATCCTTCATTTTTCAAAACTAAAACGAAGATAAACTTATACGCTCCCCTGAATCAGATCTAGTCTGCTGCTATTGTCTTAGAAGTAGTTTGGTGGCCAGATGAGTTTATAAGTGAAGGGAAAATCTCCAGACCTTCAAACATTATTCATCTGGGTTTACCCTTAACTGCAAATAGCATTTCTAGTGTGACAGCAAAGCAATTTAAAAAACATAATAACCTAACAGATAAAAACAAAAAAGAAAACATTTTCATAAAAACATAAATATGCAACCTTAGTCCCTTGTCGGCTAAACGACACAAGCAGATTGATGTCCAATTTGACAAGTTTTAGAGAAACTGGAAATATTGACACCCACAGAATCAAGGGAACCACCATGAAGGAAAAGCAGCACAAACAGAGGAGCCTGCAGAATGTGCAGCAGCTGTTTGTGGTCAGATCCAGGCATGGAAATAGCAGCTCTTTTCAAAGCAGAGCTGATCTGATAGCAATTAGAGGTAGAGAGGAAACACAGCACCAGCTTGAAGCAAAAACAGGGGTTTGTTTGAGTTTGCTGCCCTTAGGAAGAATCGACTTGCTAGTTGTACTAAACAAAACCAAAAACTCAAACTCAAAGACTGTCGATTTTAAAACCACCATAAAAATAAAAGATGTGCACAGATGACATCTAAATAAAAATGGAATCATAATAAGTTTTACAGTTTGTGTTTTTTTATTGTTTAAAACAATAACAAAGCATTAAATCTACATTGATCAAGGTATTACTTAAAATGTATTTAATAATATAAACAGAACATGCTTATTTGAACATTTTTTCCAAAAACATATTATTATAAACATATATTTTCATCATTGACAAAATTTATTGGATGTAAACAGGGACGTATGCATATGGATCTTTTACTTATTTATGTATAAAGCACAAGGGTTATTTACTGAAATCCTGAAAAACATAATATGGAAAATGGGAACAGAAATAAAGTTTGGGCGTGCAAATGTTTCTCCATATTTATGCAGATATAAAAACGTTTAAATAAATTGACAGTGTAGACAAAAAAGAAAAGGCAGAACAACAGTTTCTAAACTTAGTCTTTTTGATTAAGATAATAATTTATTCATTATTTTTTTATTCAGACTTTTTTTTTCTTTAAAATAAAAAAACATTATAATAATTTAAAAAACTAAATTGAAAACTATTCTTGAATATGATAAATATGACAAAATAAAACAAACAACAGAGACACCAAAAACATCATAGTTTTTGTTGTGGTTGCATTTGACTTTTCTTGATTGTCTATGGTGTTCTGTTGAAAACAGAATTATTGAAAAAGTTTTTTTTTTTTATGTACAAGGCAGGGGACAAAACGTACCTCTTTAACATGTCGTTTGAGGTGCATGTAAACGCTCTGTCCTGTTTTGCGATAATGTCTCTCCACATGTTCCCGTCCGAAGCCCAGGAATGTGTTCATACACACATACAGGCCTCCCTCAGACTCCTGCACACAAAAGGAAACAATAACAATCAGCTGCAGCATGAGCTGAGGAGCCAACAAGGCCAGATGAGAGGACAGTCTGTGCAGTCATCTAAATTACAGGCACATTTTCAAAACATTTAAATGGAAAATCTGCTAATTAGCTAATAATCCATTCTGGAAATTTTTATTTTATTTGCAAAAACCTGCTTCTGAAGCTAATAATTTTGCTGTAGAGAAAGGACTAAATCATCTTCAATTATATGCAAATCAAAGAAAAAAAGAAAAATCTGTGATCTTAAATCCTATGCAAAAAGAAAAAAAAACTGAATTTTTTATGCTATAATTTGTATATAGCATATAGCAACAACAATGTATTCCCATGTTGGACCATCTATGCTTTCAGACCCTGCAGTGACTTTACTTACAAAAAAAAACTATTTTTAAACATAATTTCACATATTAACATAGTTTATTTCATTTGATCCATCTATAGGTTGCAGTTAATAACTCTGATTTAGTTTTAAAATGCCTTTCGAAAGAAGCAACAAAAAAAATACACTCCTACACCTCACACATGGGCTCTAGGGGCAAAGCACATGGAAAACACAACTAACCTCAAATGTGTAATTAGTGTATAGGCTTTATAAACCCCCAGTGTTAAACCTTTAAGTGGTTCAAAGTGACATATGAGCCTCAACAGTGCAAGATAAAAATAAACCCGTCTTCAGGCCAGCATGATGAACTCCAGCCACCTGAGTCACCTTTAAAAACGGTTTCAGTCCAGATAGTCGTGTAGGAAAGCAAAGGGAACGCTACATTCAGGTTCATCACAGAGGCTTTAGGAACACGCACACAAAAAATATAAAATCTATGCTTCAGTCAATATATTCTTACATTTACGAACGTAAACTTTGCATATTTTAATTCTGCCACCAATTGTGAAAATAATAAATGAGAACTGGTCAAAAGAACTTAGTTTAAAACATTTAAATATTGGCCCTACTAGTTGTTCCAAGGCATAAACACGAATAAACCTGGGCCTCATGATGATATCTTCTTTGAAAAATGTATTAAACCCTCACATTTTGAGCCAAATAGTGATTTGTTTTAAAATGATTCAAACGGCTAAACAGTGCACCTATCACACAGCCAGTCTGTTTTAAACAAAAGGTGTGGTTCAGAGGAATTATTACCATCATTATGAGTATTAAATGGCTTACTTCAAGTGCAGTGTTTTTGAAACGACAATGAAAGCTTTTGGACGTGAAAAGAAAAATAATAAGCCTGCACCTCTCTCCAAAGAGGAAAACAGTGTTTTCCTTCACGTCTCCAAACACATCAGATTACAGCCGAAAACACGTGTGACGTTCAGTCCGCCTGCGACGCTCCTTTCCTCCCCCTCATGTTCCTGTGTGCGTGGGTGTGTGTGTGGGTGGGTGTCTGTCAGGCGGACACACTTACGGGGGAGTCGAAGGAGAAGGCGCACTCGCTCTTGTAGACTCTGTCTCCTGTTTTGGGGACTCTGATGGTGGGCATGAAGGGGACCAGCAGCTCTCCCAGGTCTGCAGCCATCTTCGCAGTCCTGCCTCTCCCTGCAGAGTGCTGCGGAGCCTCCGGAGCGGCGCTGTCAGAGCGGAGGATGCTATTTTTAAAGCCCCTCCGTCTCTAACATTCCTCCGGCCAGGCCAGAGGGGGATGTGACGCTGGAAACGTAAAAATAAAATGACAGTTGTGGGGCGGGGGAGGGAGGCTGGTCTCTGAGTCTGAGGGTAAGGGCACGGAGGGTGAAGAGCTGCTCTTTTGTTTTGTTTTTTTCCTCCTATCTGAAGCATGGACCTGCGCAGAAATTGTAGCGCTGCTGTTGACTGTAGTGACGTCCTTTCACATTTCCAGAAAGGACCACTCCCACGTCTGAGCGAGGATCCAGAAACACACCGTCTCTCCTTCTTCCATCACTTAAATTGACGATCAAAAGACAAATAACATAAAATACACATGGGTTAAAAAGAAAGTAATGCATTGAATGTGGATTGTTTCTCTTTTATTGTACGAATAAATAAAAATAATTGTTTCATATCCACATGGATTTATTAACCTTTTATTTGGCAGACAGTCTTCGGAGCTCTGCCACCCAGTGGAGAATCTGGTTCAGTGGATTCATCAGAATACGGGTTTATGCAGTGGATATTCTTGCGTTTATGATTGTCAGCCTCTCCTTCTGAGAAAACTATTGCAATTTTTGCAATTGTTGTACAATCGGACATGAGAGCACGAAATCAAGTGACGGAAATTGGTGTAACAATTGATCTTGATGAATGCATTCCAATTTATCTAGAATGCATTCACCCATTTCATTTCAATTTTGATTCCTTTGAATGAAATTATTTGAGATGGATGGACAAAATCGAAATTGCTTTCAGTATCCTCAGGTAAATTTGAGCTGTATAAATACAACAACCAAAATGACCTGAAAATAACTGCAGTAAATGTGTAAGAATGACCTCTTGTACAGGGACACTGTCACAAAGCCAAACCAATAGATGGTAATCCACACTGATGTGGTGGAATCTATTCACTTTATGTTTCTGGATTATGATAAAACTGAAGAATGAAATTTTAATGTCAGATGTTCAGTAATTACAGCCACATAAAGATACTTTATTTAATCAACAAGGGAAAAATTTACAAACAGTGGGACTGTTAATCGTTAATTGTCAGGTGAAGCCTTGGGGCTGTTGTCAATCAGCTCCTTTTCAGGCGTCGGTCGTTGGTACCAGGGGCCGTCTCCATGATGTTTCATCTGCCGACGAACCTCCTGCTCTATCAGTCTGTTCAGGGTTACAAAACAAGTCAAGAAACAAGCTGTGAACTTGAGAAAAGTACACTGCTCAAAAAAATAAAGGGAACACTCAAATAACACATCCTAGATCTGAATGAATGAAATAAATATGAAAATAATTTCCACCTGTTTATTCCATTTGCACAGCAGCAGGTGATATTGATTGTCAATCAGTGTTGCTTTCTAAGTGGACAGTTTGATTTCACAGAAGTTTGATTTACTTGGAGCAGTATACATCTACAACTATTGAACTTTGTCACTGTAATCCTGATGATGGCTCATCTCTAAAATAACACATCAGCAGGAACAATACCTGCTTCTCTTAGAGGATGCAACATTTACATCCTACGAGATAGTAGTGTAACAGCAGTGCAGACCCAACAATCCCTCAGAAAACATAAATACATGGGTCCAGACCTCCAGTTTCTTGTCATATTGACATCCATTCAACTCAATAGATGCAGGTGACTTTGGGTTTCAGCTTTGAGAATCTCTTGAAATCTCACTCCTTTAATCAGTTTCATTCTGGTACATGTAAGTCAGACACTTTGCAGAAAATATTGAAGACCACACATTTTAGTTTCCCTTAGAGACTTCAACATTTTGGTTTTAAACTGGTGACAGAAACTCTGATAATCACCTCAGCTCAGCTTTTTCCTTTTCAACGTGGATTGCAGCCAACACTTTTTCATAGTCCTTCACTGGGGAATCATAAATGTTCCGTACAATCCACCTGGTGATGGGGTGCTGAAATGAAAAGAACCAACAAGTAATACTAAAAAATGTATTGCTTTCAAAAGAGCACTATGTTTGCTTGATTAGAAATTCTTCAAGAGTTTTTTTACAAGCAGCGTCTGTTTTTATTTGATTTTGTCGTGGAATAATACCAATTCAGCACTTGAAAAAAATTTTTAAAAACGCATGTACAAGTGGAGAAAAAATTTAACTCTCCTTTGTGGAAAATCATAACGTCTGTGTGTGGCTGCAAGACTACTCCAATTGAAACTATCTGTAAAATAACATTAATCGGCCAAATGCAAAGCAATGTATGTGCTGTGACCTCAATACGTAAATTTATGACGAACCTGAGCCTAATTATTCTGACAACATTGTTTAAGAGTTGTGACAAAGCAATGACAAAATGAAAAAAGGAACACACTTTGTAATATTCCCAATACTCAGGTTCATATCCTTCAGGAATCTCAGCAAGCTCTGCCTCACCTAAAAAAGTACAAGAAAAAACTTAGAATCATTCATAAATAATTTACTCAATTTTTCCTAAAATTATATCATGGACCAAAAGGACACATTAATATAAATTACATTAAAACACCAAGAACAAGTGTACTTACCAATGAAGATATTCACAGCTGTGACCAACACAGCCACTGGAATACCAGTCAGCAGGATGTAATATCGCTGCAAGAATAACAAAAAGAAGTGAACATTTATGTAATCGTACTTCTTATATGTTGTTGATATTACATCAGCAAGTTTCAATATATTTTGTAGGTACTTTATGTGACATCCACATAGATCAGAGCATATCTATAAACTGGCAGGAAAAGGATTTTTGGTTTTCAAATGTTTTTCAGTTTGAAACGTAAATTTTTTGCCTCATATACTGTAGTTATCTGCTTCCCTATTTTGTAAAAGGACTTAAGCTCTGTAAAGAGAATTTTGCTATTATACATACCAATAAATGCAAAAATCTCCTGTCGTAATAGTCAGTTGGCTTGACCACAAACAGCTTCTTTTCATGGCCCCAACGGGTCACCACTGAAAAAAAGAGCAATAGTTGAGGTCACAATAAAGTCTCTGCCAATTAAATATTTACATCTGTGTTCTAAGAGATCAAACAGAGCATTTGTTCATTTCAAACACATTTAAAATGCAACCATTTCATACAATAAAGTAGTACAGCCATCGAAAACAAAGGAAAAAAAATTGGTCACAGAGGAATACATTTCTACCAAAATATTTTGATATTAATTTCACACATTTACAAGAAAAGGAAGAAAATGTAGATATTCTCTGATATTGAAAGGCTGGAACTGACCATTTTTCATGATTACACACATAATTTTGTAATATTAAAACCAACATATTGTCTACCAATATAAAGACAGAATAGCAGAAGTCCTTTAAGAATGAAGTGATAAGTTAAAGAAATGTGCACCTAGATATTTTCCAAAGTATAAGTGGTAGAGGCGGATTGTAACCCAGTATCAGAATGACATACATCTCCTGCAGATTCACCTTAACAGTGAGGAAGAAACTGCAACACAATTTTATCAAGTCTGGACTCCGGCGATGTCAACCTGATACAGACAAAAACCCCAATCTACCATTTATACTTTCGAAAATAGGATTTTTTTTTTCTTTGAAATTTGTTCAAAGAAACAAACTACTACATTTATGAAAAATGTAGTAGTCAACAATGCCTGTTATTCAATCAATCAAATAAAATTTTATTGCTAGTAAATAGACAATAATACATCTCAGATAAATTCGTTTGAAGAGCTTAATTACGACATAAGAGATTTATAGAATGACTTGTAAATTGTACAATGTGTACACTAAAATGCTACTCCAATATATTAAAGTGCAATCTAACAAATTGCTAAATCATATGTCCTTCATCCATTTATGCTAAATAACACTTACCTTCTATCTCTATAGAATATAAATAAACGTATGGAGAATAAAATATCGTAACTACTAATTACATTCATATGGTCAACAAATATACAACTACAAGATCAAACATAAAGAATTTTCATCATTATACTTGAAGTTTTTCTCTTTGTTGACAACAGGGCGAACGTTAGCAGTTAGCTGAGGTTAGCATGCTAACAAACTCCGGCGCAAGGTCATAAGAGAAAGGAGCTGATTTTAGAGTCGAAAGCTAATCTCTCCGAACTAGCAGAGAATCTGTCACCTTTATTTGTCCGTGGGATGGTTCGAGCGAGTATATTGGCAGCATTATTCCCAGCTTTCAGAGGACCTAACCTGGCTGCAAAGGCAGCAGCCGACTTGAGAAGGCTCATGCCCACCATAGCTGCTGCAGGGACAGTTCAACAAGCCGCGCTGTGATTGGTTCAAGGAAAAGTAACGTACACCAAATGTATATTTATCTTGTCAAATGTTATGTTATTATTATGCCATTAATGTTAAAGGTGTTCCGATAATTGTAGAATAAAAAAAATATTATTTTAGAAAAAAAAAAGTATTTTTACACAAAATGCATGTTGGGTAATTCTAGTTAAAGATGGCGTCGTCCTCATCGTTAGGACGTGTTTTGACTCTGTGCAAACAGTTACAGAGCGTCTTCAGGATATCTCCAGCGATTAGCGTTCAACGCTGCGCTGTAAATTTGAAAAGATGCCAGAACGATCATCTAAGGTAGGGCAGTGTAGCAGCGGACATGGCATTTTCTTGTTCTCGTCTGGTTAAACTACCTCAGACCCATCGTCCCTTCAAATCGGCGGTAGTGCGCTTCAATGTCTGGCCTATGAGCTCAACCTCAGCATCTATAACCTTAAACTACTGAACCTCGATGAAGTACAAGATGTAATGAAAAGTTTAATGAAAATGAACCAATTATAATATTATCATAATGTAACGCTTTCTTTTGATGCGCAGATCTGACTGCAAGGTATAGTGTTAACCAGTTTGTAGATCAGAAGTAGGTACGACATGGAGTCATGATTGGGTGAATAATTAATACAATTGATGCCAAAAAAAGGTTTGTTAATACTGCTATTTATTGCAGTGGCAATAATAATAATAATAATAATAATAATAATAATAATAATAATAATAATAATAATGATAATGATAATACCAAAACAACAAAAATAAATAAATAAAGTTCTCAAAAAACAGGAAAATAGAAAACAAACAAAACACTTGTCAGTGACACTTCAAAACCTAATAGAGTCCACAAGAGGTCCAAAAATGAAGGGAGAATAGTTATTTTCCCTTTTTTTTTGATACTCCTTAGAGTCTGTTCAGTTCCTATATGGAAAGTGTAGTTCTGTTTCCTACCACCAGATGGTGGGTGGGTAGCTCGCCATCTTCCGTCATCCAATGTATCCGTGCAGGAGTCCGGAAGAAAAAAAAACCTGACCTAAAAGGCCAGCAAACACACATTAAGTTCATATATAAATTTTACATTTATATAAAACAAATACATACTTGCTATGTTTCGACAATTTCATTATAATAAGGAAAAAATCCTTTTAAAAAGTGCACTTCATAATTCAAGTTCAAAGTTTCTTAATTGACATAATTAGCAGTCATTGCAAACAACTAATATTGAATCAAAATCAATCAATTTAAAAATGTGATTGACCAAAGTAGCTACAACAAATCATGTTGGATATGAGACTTCATTGCTGCACCAGCATAGAAAACAACACCAACAAAGAAATCATGAAAAATAATCAAATCTAAAGTTAAAAGGGAAACCTTTAAGTATTAAAGGGGTAGTCTTTAATTCGGCTGAAACAGTGTGACTTGTCATTAAGTAAATAATTCATAAATAGACTAAATGATGTGGCCCCTGATTGTCGAGTTGGTAGCTAATGCTAATTGGCGGAGCGTAGCAAAAGTAACGGCCTACTGTAAATGACTATTATTTACTCACCGTCGAGTAACGGATTGTCTGAGGAGGTGGATGCAATGGTAACTTGTTCAATTCAGGAAGGTGTTCCAGCTGTTAATGGGCGAATATTGCAATGGGAGGGAATGTTAGCGGCGCTATTATTGCAAATACAATACGTCAAGTCAGATCGTATTTAACAACTCACCAGAAATCTTCAAAGTTGAGTTTAGATTAAATGAGTGATGAGTCGATTTATAACTTCAAGTTGTTTTATCAACAACGGACGCGACAACCAACAGTGAGCAGCAGCCAACCCGGAAACACACATGACAATGAACTTAAAGGGATGGGCTTAAAGGGAAGGTGATTGGGTCATGTCGGTCACATGGGTTACAGGTTCCCCCCCTGATCTCATGCACGTCCCCGTACATGGACCGGGTTGCGTTTGAATGACAACAGGAACAGTCATGGGTTCATCCTCCTCAGTCCCTTCAAGAGCATGCGTAAATGCAGTGGTCAGCCCATGAAACAATAACTGGATGCTCTTCAACAGTGGGTGACCCAGTTGAGAGTACTGTAGACGTTCTGGTGGTCTTCTTGCTCGGACTGACCTCCGCAAAGATGGTTCTGATTCGGGGCTTGATGGTTCTGTTTCAGGGGTTGATGGTTCTGTTTCAGGGCTTGATGGTTTTGGGTGAACATTTAAGTCCACTTCTAGTTCAATATTGTTAGTGGAAGGCTCTGGAGTGACTGGCTCAGGAGCAGGATTTCCCTGAGCTGCAGGGCCTCCTGCAGCATCTCTTGCAGAATCATCAGATCTTGAACTGATGGATATCACCTCTCTGTCCAAAGGTTGAAATTCCTTTTGCTCCTCTGTAACCACTAGAAGTTCCTGTTCTAAATCCTCTTCTGCAGCAGAGGATGGGGGCTGATCAGGAACTTCAGGTAGATCTGCAGGTGGAACAGATTTCTGGACAGGTGGCAATGGTAAATTAACAGCAGTGATGAATTTCACAGGCTCGAAGGAAAAGGGATCATATGAAGGTGAGATCATCTCATCCTCAAATGTTTCTTCATTGTCAGGATCAGGTAAGTTCACAGGCAGATGTTTTTTCTTCTTCACAGGTAAGTTTTTTTCAGAGCTCTGCTCAGGTAAGTAATTACAAGGCAACAAAAGATCACGATGGAGTGTTCTGAGAGGTTTATCCTGGTTCTCTGGTTTTACAGTGTAAACAGGGAGATTGCCAGCCCTCTCCACCACTACATACATATCAGGTTCCCATTTGTCAGCCAATTTCTGCTTTCCTCTCAGTCGGACGTTCCTAACAAGGACCCTGTCTCCCACGGCAAGTTCAGAAACAGTGACATGCCGATCGAAGGAGGTTTTGTTGCGGGACATCACTTTCTCCGAGTTCTTCACAGCCAACTGATAACTGTCTTGTAGACGTGCTTTCAATCCTTGGACATATTGCAGGTGAGAGGTGGAGGTATCCTCTTCCAGCGGTAACCCAAAAGCCACATCTATGGGAAGACGAGGTTGACGACCAAACATTAGTTCGTATGGCGAAAACCCTGTGACATCATTCTTAGTGCAATTATATGCATGCACAAGTGGTTTTACAAAATCTTTCCATCGTGATTTATTCTGCTCACTTAATGTCCCCAGCATGTTAAGTAGAGTACGATTGAATCTTTCCACAGGGTTACCTCTCGGGTGATAGGGAGTTGTCCTTCCTTTATGGATGCCAGCAATATCACAAAGTTCTTTGATGGTACGAGACTCAAAATCCGGTCCTTGGTCACTATGTAGTCTCTCTGGAATGCCATAGTGGACAAAGAAATTTTCCCACAAGCATTTAGCAACAGTTCGAGCTTTCTGATTTGGTGTTGGAACAGCGACAGCATATTTTGTGAAATGATCTGTAATCACAAGGATATCTTTCACTCTTCGGTCTGGCTCCAAAGACAAGAAGTCCATGCACACTAACTCTAGAGGTCTTGAAGTCTTGATGTTAACGAGAGGTGCAGCCCGTTCTGGTAAGGTTTTCCTTTTTACACATCGTTCACAGGTCTTGATTTTATTATAAATGTCAGTAGACATTCGTGGCCAGAAAAACCGAGAACGAATTAGGTCTAAGGTCCTCTCGATCCCAAGGTGGCCCATACGATCATGAAGCTGAAACATCACCATATGCCGACACTCTTCTGGTAACACTAACTGATATGTTACACTGTTTCCCACTTGCCGTCTCCTGAGAAGAAGGTTGTTACGGAGCTCCATTTTATTTACTTCTCTCAACAGGAGTGGCAGATCTGGAAGTACATCTCTCAGTGCTGGCGGTGGAGATTCCCCTCTCTCAAGCTGAGCAATCACATGTTGGATGGTGGAATCAGCTCGTTGTTTGGCAGCAAGATCAGCAGTGGAGAACCGAGGGAGAACAGAGGTGGCAAATTGGGTGTCGTCTGTGTAGCTGTCAGGTAGACTTTCCACATGAGCAGACAAAGAGAGAACAAGGGCATGGTCATTGTTTGAGCTGAACACCAGTTGGCGGTCACAGATGGCTTCAACCATTTGTTGGTCAACTGAGGTGCAACCTGGTTCCTCGAGATGATGTTGAACAAACTTTAACACTCTCTCCCTTTCTTTACAAGACTTAAAATCATCAGGCATTTCAGAATGTGGTCGTCGGGACAGCCCATCAGCATCAGCATTCAGTTTTCCTGCCCTGTAGACAATCTTAAAGGTAAATGTGGACAGAGCAGAGAGCCATCTATAACTTGTAGCATCAAGCTTAGCTGATGTCAACAGATAGGTCAACGGGTTGCTGTCTGTGACCACAGTGAATTGTGTGCCATAAAGGTAGTCATTAAACTTCTCAGTCACTGCCCATTTAAGTGCCAGGAATTCTAATTTATGGGCTGGGTAGTTTGATTCACTTTTAGACAGACCTCTGCTTGCATAGGCTACAACTCGATTTTTTCCATCATTTTCTTGATATAGCACTGCTCCAAGGCCTGCTGAACTGGCATCAGTATGAAGAATGTATGGCTTGCTCGGATCTGCAAATACCAATACAGGAGCAGTAGTGAGTTTTTCAATAATGGTTTTAAATGCATGCTGACAGGATTCAGTCCAACGTTCAGCAAAAACCTCTTTTGGGTTAAAATAATTCTGGGGTTTCAACATAGGTTTTAGTTTCTTTCGGCTAGGTGGATAGCCAGCGGTAAGGTCATGTAGTGGCTTGACGATTGTAGAATAATCTTTCACAAATCGCCGATAATACCCTGCAAATCCCAGGAACGATCTTAATTCCTTCAAGTTTTTTGGCACCGGCCAAGATGCAAGAGTGGAAATTTTATCAGGATCCGTCTCCACACCATCCTTGGACACAACATGGCCAAGATACTTCACTGAAGTTTGGAAGAAGACACATTTTTCAATGGACAGTTTTAGTCCAAAGTCCTTTAATTTGTTTAGGACTTTCATTAATCTTTCTTCGTGTTCTTCAAGAGTTGGTGCGAAGATGATCAAATCGTCAATAAAAACCAGGACTTCTTTCAGATTGAGCTCACCCATACATTTTTCCATAAGTCGTTGAAAAGTGCTTGGAGCATTGGTTACTCCCTGTGGCATGCGATTAAATTCCCAGAAGCCTAAAGGACAAACAAAGGCTGTTTTGTTCTTATCAGCTTCTTCCATTTCTATCTGGTAATATCCAGATTTTAGGTCCAGCACAGAGAACCATTTAGAGCCTGCCAGTGCAGTGAATGCATCTTCTAGCTTCGGAAGGGCATAAGCATCTTTAATGGTTTGCATATTGAGTTTCCGATAATCAATACAGAGGCGTACAGAGCCATTCTTCTTGCGAACCACCACAATGGGTGAGGCAAATGGAGACTCCGATTCACGGATTATTCCAGACTCAAGCAATTCTTGCAGATGTTTTCTCACAGCATCCACATCCTGTGGATGTATAGGACGTGGTCTTTGTTTAAACGGTGTAGGGTCAGACAATTTAATTTGATGTTTCACCTTGTCTGTTCGACCAAAATCAAGGTCGTGTTTGGCAAAAACCTCTGGTATATTGTTGAGCTTTGAAATAATCCGACTTTTCCATTCTGATGTTAGAGGTGATTCTCCAAAATTGTATTGAAGCTGAGTTGTTAATGGCTCTGCAGACTTATGGATTTTAACATTGTGCTCTTTTGAAATAACAGACTGGAACGCAGCAATCTCTGCAATCGCTGCTCTTGCGGGGATGATGACTGGATGGTCTGACTCATTAGTTACCACAACTGGCAGGTGACAAGGCCGATGTTGAGGTATGTTAATGAGACAGGTATTAACCATAAGTCCCCCAGGCAGACAGGAAGAGGCTGGGTATTCGACAACAACCACCTTCTCTTCCTTCAATGACTGCGTGGTCAAACATCCCTCAAGGACAACAGTTTGGCCAGATAATATCATTTGTGGTTGGTCAGGCTGCAGAGTTAGGACAACTGGATGTTCAGATGCAGTTTGAGTATGCCTGTGCTGCAGGATCTTCAGGACAGTTTGATACCCAAAGGCAGTGGGTTTAAAAGTAGTACCCTGGCTCTCAAGGTGCTTCTTGTAAGCAATGTCAAGGGTATTTGTGCCTACTAGTAGAAGTGGATGTGTGGTTTTGGTATCTGGGACCACCAGAGCTAAGGTGTCCACTTCAATTGGTGAACCAAGAAATTCAGGTGGAAAAGTCAAATTTAATTCAATGTACCCAAGGTATGGTACATTTTGGCCATTAGCACCCTCAACTTCCAACAGATTGTTCAGAGGCATAATTTCATGGTCAAAAAGGTGCGCATTATAGAATGAATGGGGTACTGTAGTGACTTGCGACCCACTGTCAAGAAGACAGCTGAAGGGGGTTCCTTTTATTTGAATCTGGCCCATGCTCTTCATACCAATGAGACCCTTGGGTAATACACAGGACAATTCAGAATGGGATTCGGGACAGCTGATGGTAGCAGCTCCTGAGTGTCCCTCAGCAGGAACTGCATTTAGTTTAACTGCTGGCTCGATTTCTTTTCATCCCATGCTTGTTGTTTCTGACGAAGCTGTTTCTTCTTTTGTTCCACAAGGCTTGGATTCGCTTTGTTATTGCAATGGGAAGAAATATGGCCATCTTCACCACAGTTAAAGCAATATCCTGCCTTTGGTCTTCCAGCGGTCTGAAGTGAACTATAATTGGTACTTGGCTTAAACTTGGTCTGCTGTACCTCTGATTTTTTACTAACAGGTGTCTTTCTGGACATGAGGGAAGACATCTGCCTTTGGAGTTGTTGAATCTGCTTTTTTAATTCTTTCAGCTCTTCATTAGCTGTCTCATGACCACAAGAGCAAGTACTCTGAGACTGAATGGTCACTTTTTGTTTAGATGACTGAATATGCTTTCTCATTAGAGATTCTTTAGCAATTTGTCTGTCCTCTTCTGTCCGGAGTGACAACAGGAGTTCAGAAAATGGTGGGGGATTGCTTTTCTTCTCCTCAAGCTGCAACTTAGAGATGACTGAATTGTCCCAGCATCCACGACAGAACTGCTTAAGTAAATATATGTCCTTGTCTCCTGGTAATATTCCTCCTCTTTTTATTACAGTGCTGAGAGTAAGCTGTAATCGCTGGAGGTAAGAGGATGGCCGCTCTCCAGGATTCTGAAAAATGTTCAGAAACTGAGCAAAAAGCTCCTCTCCATCCTGTACTGTCTGAAAAGCTGAATCAAGGACTTCAAGAAGAGTGGAAGGTGATGCACCAGGGCTCAAACATTTAATCAAATCAGCAGCTGGTGATAACAAACTTTCAACAATTCGCCGATTAATATGCAATCTGGAAAGGCTGGGATCAGCAAGCAGCAATTCAATCTGGGATCGCCATGAGTCATAATCCGCTTCATTGCTTGGTTTAGGAATTTTTCCTGAAAATGAGCGTAGTCTAAGTGAAGATGTGGAAAAGTCGCTATTTTTTACAACATGCTCCACCACCACTTTTGAACATTCTGCGGAATAAGGTCATTCCCCGATAAAGAAACCCTCTGGGTTGGTGGGTGTAATGGGGCGGCTAAATCCAGGTGGCGCCCCCTGCCAATTACTGGATGAATGGGGTGGAGGGGCTGAAAACGCTTGAGGCACAGTTCGCAGCGTCTGCTGACTCTGCACAGGCTGGGCTAAGTTGAGGATTTCATCTTCCTCATCTTTCTCCTTTCCATCACCACCATCATCATCATCCTCATCTCCATCATCGCCTCCTGCATTCTCCAAATGTGTGCTTATTTGATCCATCACACCTTTAAGAACCTCCTCAAATCGTTTTCCGCTTCGTTTAGCTATGTTCTTCAGCTCATCAATGTAGTCCATGGAAGGGTTGCTGCTACTCACTGAGGCTTCATACTCTGAAGCAAGAGAAGTAACACGAAATGTCAAATCTAAGCCACTTCGGGAAGGATAATTATATGGGAAAAGGGGTTGTAAGGCATTTAAAGTAGAATCTTCTTCAAACTCGACAATCAGGTTTTTATAAAATGCACTTTGTGGATCACTAACATGAAAAACATCTTTTACTACACCATAACATTCTAAACGTTCAATGATTTCTTTTTCGTCATCACAGCTCTGAGTGCCAGTAACTAACACAGATCGTTGGATGTTTAAACCCAACTGAGTAACAACATCCATTGTTTCTTTTTGTTAATGATAACACATCCAAAATCAAAGCACTGTGAAATTGTTCAATTATTCACCCATTACAAGACTCCTGGCTAGCTCACCACATGTAACGCTTTCTTTTGATGCGCAGATCTGACTGCAAGGTATAGTGTTAACCAGTTTGTAGATCAGAAGTAGGTACGACATGGAGTCATGATTGGGTGAATAATTAATACAATTGATGCCAAAAAAAGGTTTGTTAATACTGCTATTTATTGCAGTGGCAATAATAATAATAGTAATAATAATAATAATAATGATAATGATAATAATGATAATGATAATACCAAAACAACAAAAATAAATAAATAAAGTTATCAAAAAACAGGAAAATAGAAAACAAACAAAACACTTGTCAGTGACACTTCAAAACCTAATAGAGTCCACAAGAGGTCCAAAAATGAAGGGAGAATAGTTATTTTCCCTTTTTTTTTGATACTCCTTAGAGTCTGTTCAGTTCCTATATGGAAAGTGTAGTTCTGTTTCCTACCACCAGATGGTGGGTGGGTAGCTCGCCATCTTCCGTCATCCAATGTATCCGTGCAGGAGTCCGGAAGAAAAAAAAACCTGACCTAAAAGGCCAGCAAACACACATTAAGTTCATATATAAATTTTACATTTATATAAAACAAATACATACTTGCTATGTTTCGACAATTTCATTATAATAAGGAAAAAATCCTTTTAAAAAGTGCACTTCATAATTCAAGTTCAAAGTTTCTTAATTGACATAATTAGCAGTCATTGCAAACAACTAATATTGAATCAAAATCAATCAATTTAAAAATGTGATTGACCAAAGTAGCTACAACAAATCATGTTGGATATGAGACTTCATTGCTGCACCAGCATAGAAAACAACACCAACAAAGAAATCATGAAAAATAATCAAATCTAAAGTTAAAAGGGAAACCTTTAAGTATTAAAGGGGTAGTCTTTAATTCGGCTGAAACAGTGTGACTTGTCATTAAGTAAATAATTCATAAATAGACTAAATGATGTGGCCCCTGATTGTCGAGTTGGTAGCTAATGCTAATTGGCGGAGCGTAGCAAAAGTAACGGCCTACTGTAAATGACTATTATTTCTCACCGTCGAGTAACGGATTGTCTGAGGAGGTGGATGCAATGGTAACTTGTTCAATTCAGGAAGGTGTTCCAGCTGTTAATGGGCGAATATTGCAATGGGAGGGAATGTTAGCGGCGCTATTATTGCAAATACAATACGTCAAGTCAGATCGTATTTAACAACTCACCAGAAATCTTCAAAGTTGAGTTTAGATTAAATGAGTGATGAGTCGATTTATAACTTCAAGTTGTTTTATCAACAACGGACGCGACAACCAACAGTGAGCAGCAGCCAACCCGGAAACACACATGACAATGAACTTAAAGGGATGGGCTTAAAGGGAAGGTGATTGGGTCATGTCGGTCACATGGGTTACAATAATCTTTGCATCAAAGCATGCGTCTGTAGTCTTTATCAGATTAATAATAAAATTCAAATTGCATAAAAGTATTACAAGCTTATGTCTCTATTGATGGTGAAGATGGTGAAGGACTTCTTATTTGAGATACATTTATTAAACAGAAAAAAACTTATTTTTCAGTGTTTGATCAGTCAGAGGGAAATATGCCAATTTCCTTTAAAAAGGAAATTATTTAGTATTTTTTCAAACAAAAACATCAATAATGAAGATCAATTATCCTCTGAAAATCTTTCCTTCAATTTAGGACAACCCAGTCCCAGTCAAGGAGGTAAATGTTCTGCAGTTTGGTTTTTTTCTTTGCTGATTTGGAGGCTTGTCATCCCAATAGAACAATCTGAGAGTTGGGACATTTAATTAATTGAGTAAAATGAAATTATATGTATTGATTACAATGCATGAATTAATCTTTTTTCCCCCTTCAGTGAAAAACCCTCCCCGTTTGCCTCTTCTTGGATCACTCCCTTCAACTTTGTGGGTCAGCATCGAGCTTTGCACACGACCATCAGCAGGAGAGGGTTGGAAGAGTTCTTTGATCAGCCTGAGAACTGGGGAGAGCCCAATGTGAAGTCTGGTAAAACATTACACTTATTAAATTGAATGTAAAAGTTGTTTAAACCTTGTTTAAATATCTAAGTAATTTCAGAGTCAGAAAATAGTTATTACATGCTAAAGTGATCCACTATGGTTCTCGGCAGATGTTAGGATTTGTCAAAAATTGCAGATTAGTAGCTGCACAATGTTCATGATCATGCATAATGTATTTTAAATGTCATAGGTCAACATTTGTTTCATTACAGGAGCTCCATGGACAGCAAAACAGCTGAGAACAAAGAGCAATGAGGACTTACACAAACTCTGGTGAGCAATGTCAAGACTATGTTACAACAATGGAAAATATTTGAAAATCTAATACATAGTTTTGATGCTATAATGTTTCTCATTTTTATCTAGTTGTAAACCTTGAAGAGATTTTGCCAGACTTTATCCTTGTCTTTTTATGTAAGGGACTTTGAAATGCCTCATTGCTTGAATGGTGCTAAATAAATAATTTTAAAAAGAAGTTCTGCATTTACCATTGCTTCTAACACCTCAGTTTTGTCTCAGGTATGTGTTGCTGAAGGAAAGAAACATGCTGCTGACGCTTGAGCAGGAAGCCAAAAGACAAAGAGTTCAGATGCCGAGCCCTGAACGGATGAAGAAGGTTGGTGCGACGCTGAAGTGACAGTTCCAGCTCCCACACTTCAGAGGGATTCTTTCTAATGTGTAGTTTATATTTACAGATTATTGTTGATGTGAAATAAAAACCCAAGCTAAAGGGAATATGTCTGTGTCTTCACAGATTGAACGGTCAATGGCCAGACTGGACTCTGTGGTGAGAGAACGGGAGATTGCACTGCGTCTGCTGCAGACGGGACGGCAAAAAGGCCGGCCAGGAGACTGGAGGAGGAACGTGTTCGGATATGAATACTGGTACGGAAAGTTTCTGTGAATTTATACTGGATTTTTACTGAAGCAACTTATTGGACTCTGATCCCAATGGATTTTTTTGTACACAACATTTGGTAAAATGCAACTCTGGATTCTGCCTGTCTTGTAGTAAAGGCAAGAAACTTTTACTCTTAGTAAATAGTTATTTTTCATCTCCAGGTATCGGTTCAAAGAATACACAATTCCCTGGTACATAAATAAAAGACACAAGCGCAAGAAGTTCTACACGCCCTATTTTGTCCAACCTCATATAAGGTGAGAACATTCATATGCTGCAGTGCAGTTTTCTTCCTTTAATTGTAATATTAAAGGAATATTAATATTATGGGTTTTTTGTTTGTTTCTGATAGGTTGCGCATTGAGAGATTCCTTCGAGAAAGGGCCAGGAAAGTCAACTTAAAGAGGAAAGCGTTGGCCAAATTAAAAGAGAAATTTCCCCACATGCAGTCTCCATCTTCCTGAATAAGGGATCTTACTTTTGAGTTTGCTACAACTCAGCTGCCCGAATCAGCTCACATAATCTACTGAAGTTTGAGCAAATTCTTATCCAGCTGTTATTTGATTTTACAAGATAAAACTATGTTTTCTTGAGAGGAAATGTGTTCTGTTTTGTTACTATCTAATAAATCATCCTGCCTAACTACTGTTTTGACATGTTGTAACTAAAGCAAACTCAGAATTACTTTTAAAATGACTAGTCATTTAATCATAACAAAATTGACTTTATTTTTCAAAGGTCAGATGTAGCCAATGACAAGTAAAAATGAAAATTAAATACAGATTCTTAGTTGAAATATGAGTAACCAGGGGCAACAACTGACCGGCAACTGCTCATGAATTTACCAAGTACACAAAATGACAATAACAAAACACATTCACATCCTGCTAAATGAAGCTTCCTCCAAATAAAGTCACACAACATCTTACCAGTTTTCTGCTGGGATCCTGTACAACCCTAATTACTCATTTGTCCCAGTGTAATTAGAAACAACTTTCTGATGACCCAAAGTTTCCATCAGCAGGTAACAGAGAAGGCAAGAGTCTAACTGTTTTGGCTATTAAAAAAAAGGATCATGAGTTGATTTTTTTTTTTTTCTATTATTTTTTTTTTTTTTAAGATCCTGACAGGTGACCAACACAGATTTAAAAACAAATCATACAAAATGAGAGTTGACTGTTCCTGAGTCTGGGTCAGAGGTTGACTCCTCATGATGTTGAGCTAGAAGAAGATGGAGAAGGGAAGATTGAGGCTGGATGTCGGATCAAGGACACTTTCTGTCCACACACTGCTTTCCTCCTTCTTCATATTCCTGTTTCGAGATCCACATCTGCTGAAAGGTTCCCTGGAGAACATGAAACATGTTGTCAAATACCCAATATATGTACATATATAATAGGTTCTACCAGTTGAGGGGCTCACAGTACTACAGAGCCTCTGTATGGTCTTACCAGTGATGCCAGGATAGAACCTCCTATCCATGCACTGAACCGGCGCTCCACCGTAGTGTTGTTGGCAATCAGCTTCAGTCTCATGCTCTGTAAATTACAAACAAGGGGAAATCTAGCATTTAACATAATGCAGCTAAAACTGACTTTACCATCACAACTTATGATAAATTCAAAACTGTTTAGAAATGATAATTGTTTCTTACTGGAGGGGTTTTCTGGGAAAGTTCTCTGTTCAATCGGTCAGTGAAGCCCTGGATGAGTGTGTTTCCTCCCGTCACCACCACACTGCCGTACAGACCCTTAGATGCACGTCAATTATCACAAAAGTTAAACAAACTCAGAGCCAAACATTTTCCTTTTCACAGAAAATAGCTTCTGATCCAAATTAGCTGACTTTCAGCTGGACAAACCAGTGAAACTCAAATATTCAGTCATTTTCTAATGAGTAACTGAACGATACCAAACATGATAAGGCATAGACCTAAAAGGCCATGATAACGACTCCATGATGGGGAAATAGTTTGTAAAGGAGGAAGACTTAAAGTCAGTCATTTTTTAATCAAAATATCCTGGTATTGCTTATCTCAAACTCAAAAACTTGTCTTGCATTATTAAAAAATGAGGTACAATAAAACTTTAAAAGCTGTCCACTACTCACCGGTCGAATGTCAATGTCACACATTCCTACACTGGTCGTCACCACATGGCCAACTCCTAACATGGTGTTTCCAGACAGGCCCTAAAAGTGAGCAGATTATGCATCGGTTTTATTTACAAAAAAGGCGAATTATGCAATAATAAAAATATCTGAACACTTATTTTTTTTATTCAAGGTACCAATATACTGACTGTGTTTTTTTTTATACCACTGATAACTGTCCATTTAAAAGTACATTAATTTATTGTCGCCTGACAAACTTAGCAGCAACCTTGGCATTAGAGGGGTCAAACAGTCCCTCTGGGATCTTTAGCCTCTCCGCACCAAAGTCACAGTTGTAGCCATTAGGGAGTTCATAATGGACTGTAGGCATCTGAGCAGCAACTCTGATGAAAAAGGAAAGATGAAGTCATTTAGATAACAAAAATCAACATATCTACTGAAAGCTGTAGAATAAACACTGGAATCATTGCTAAAAATAACTACATTTTCTATTAGATTTTGATAACAGAAAATCATTTTGAACTCTAAGAATATTTGCTAGTGACTCACTGTTCATCATATGGAGAGTCTGACACCTGCAGGACAGACGCCTGAAAATCCTGGATTACACACTGCGATAAACAGCACAGAAAATGACTCCTTTAATCCCAGCATTCCACTGAAATTCTGAAAGTTCTGTAAAACAAATTAACTCTTTCCTTACATTACACATGTAGTTGTGCCAAGACCGAGTGACTTGAGGTAGTTTCTCCTTTTTCTTCCAGCTGGCTGGGGCTCCCTCCCGCACTGGATCCTGTGACACGTTCACACAGCAGGCAGCAATCGGCAAAAATGGCTCCTTAAAAATGTGTCAAATCGAACTTCAAACAGGTTTAAAATTAACAAAATGTTTTACCTTTGATGCAATCATGTAGGGAGGGATTATCTCCACACTTAACTCTTGAAACAACTCCCGACACTGCATGCTCATAAAATCACCAGCCAAAGGTGACTTTACAATACCTGTGATAATCAAAAACAGCACAAAAAAACAGCACAAAATTAGCTTTACGTTGGGAAAGTTACGAGTTCAATTTTGATAGCAAATCTTGAGTTTTTGCATAATACACCAATGGCCATTTCCACTGTCTTTGTTGAGTTTAGCTACAGCGTTTGTTCACAATTTGCACCAAATTAAAGGATCAAAGTTTTCCCTTTAGAGTGTTCACACAGATTAATGGTGCATTCACACCAAGCACGTGTTGAGTGTCATGCGCATTTAGTTTAGTCTATTTGGAGGCACGTCTAGCACAGCGCAATTTGAACCGTTTGACGAGTCGAGTGAGTTTAACGCTCCACATAGACTTTGAACATAAACCAGACGCCCCTGATGCTCAAAACTTTTGGTGTGAAAGCACCAAAGGTGCACACGCATCAAACTTGAAGCATCAGATGCTTCAAGTTTGATGGGAACGCACCATAAATTTCTTCACATTTTGTGTTGCTGGATCATAGCAAAGT